TCTAGTATATAAAGACGCGCGAGATCAATGCTGAAAATGACAGCTACCTAAGCCATAACAGTGGTATTTGCAGTCCCTAGCTTCTACTTAACTTCCCAGTTCATATAGTGGGTGTCGCCAATAAACAGAATTCTGGAGGCCTATTTATCAAGGTCCATGGTTGACACTGACTCGAGCACTGGGTCAATGATCGAAGTTAATAACAACCTTTGTAGCGCTGTGGTTATTGAACCTCGCGTAGGCTGCCGGTGCGTCTTCGATGTCTATAACATCGCTAACGATGAACCCCGGCCGGGCCTTGCCCGATGCGACCAGCTGCAGGAGTTGCGGTGCAAGGTCCAAAGGCCTGGAGATGCCGGCCCCCCAGTGGAATCCCCTGCTCCAAAAGTCCGCCAGGGAAAGATTAAAGTGAGTATGGATGGTGGAAGCCCGAGGTTGACTTGCAGTGTTGCTATGTCCATGCTGTAGACGCCCACGGTGCCCATGCCACCGTTAATCGATGTCACGGCCAACATGTTCTGGATGATGACATCCGACTGCACGGTCAGGTTTCGATTGACCTGTTCGAAGCCCACGCAGTCGAGACTTCGAGCAACGCCATTCGGTTCCAAGGCCATGATTTGGTCGACTGGGTCTGTATCTCGAAAGTTGATTGGGATTGCTCCAATCGACTCAGCAAGCCGTAAACGCTCTGACACATAGTCAATGCTGTAAACGCGTGATGCGCCACGCAGTACTGCCGAATATGCAGCCATCAGTCCAACGGGTCCGGCTCCAAAGACGGCTACTGTGTCGCCTGGTTGCATGTCGGCAAAATCAAGAGCGGTCCAGCCAGTCGCGAAAATGTCAGATAACATTACATAGTCATTGAGTAGGGAAACAGTCTCATTAGTGGCCGGGTCAGTATAGTTTACGTTAGGAATAGGAATTAGGCCCTCGTCGGCAAAGGGAACCCTCAGATATTCCGCTAGAAACAGGATATGAGCATCTAAAAGACTATATTCGGGGACAAAGCAAGGTATTACCTTGTGTTCCACCCAGGGTCCCTCCGTTACCGAACGCCGCGTACGGGATAGGAGTGAGAGAAGTATCGAAATGGCCATCAGGGCTCGTAAAGGGCACGATAACGGGATCCCCGATATTTAGAGACCCTACGAGTGACCCAACCTCAGATACATATCCAACTCCTTCGTGACCCACGCCGACGGGCAGGACCTGTCCTTCCATTGTGCCACGATAAATGTGCAAGTCAGATCCACAGATAGCTGCCCTTGACATCCGAACAATGACATCGGTAGGGTTCAAGATGGTTGGCTTCGGTACATCAAGGACAGAAATATTGAATGGTTGCCCCTGCCAAACAACGGCTCGCATTGTCTCGTTCAAGACGGTCATATTGGATAGAGACATATTAAAAGTCGCATGTATCGCACAGCTGTCTAGTTCGGCAGGAATGAAGTCAAAATCACCAAAAGGCAAGAGTCAATTGATATACTGACAACCTTGGTGTCTGCCTGAGCTCTTATATATGGCAAGATATGCATTACCAACCGATCGGCAGGAGTCTTGCCATTCACGATGTCTTGCTTGACTCTTGATCATGGCTTACAGAGACAGACACTCTGTAAAGCCCTGGGGCTATGCATAGGTCGATCGTACACGTCAAACAGCGGCATGAACGGCGGCTGCCTGATTTCAATGAACCAGATGGACGTGTCCTACATGGACCTTTCTAAGCGAGCTAACCGTGTCTTTTCCGTATCATGAATATTTCACCGTCCTGCATTTGGCGTGCTCGCTGCCTCTCCAAGTATTTTCCTCATTACGAAAAGCCCTTAGGCTCCCCTCCAAGTCACTAAACACTACTAGATTCAATGAAAAGGCCATTCTCATGGTCATCACACAGCGATGATATACGAGATGACCATCTTAGTTCCCATCCAACCGTAATGACCCATATCTGCTAATTTGACATAATCACCTATGAAGGGATAAGATCATTAATCTCACCGGAAAAACTTCGGCAGTCTCCTATGTACGCCACTGTCTCAATCTTGCTATCGAGCACTTAACCCCGTATCTCCAGTCTATAGATCGCTGCAGGTGCAGACGCTAATGTAGGCTGATGACTTGAACCTCAATTCCTGTCTTCCTATTTCATAACTACGGGTTTGCTCCACCATACACTCCAGCACAGCCACAAAGTCTTTCGGTCCAAGACAGTTCAAAGAGGAAACTAGTGGGTGATGAACGAAAACAAGCTACTGCAAAGGACGCGCAATCAATCTTGATAGTCCTGTATACCAGACTTTTGCCACGAAGACTTGTACACCGCTCTCTATAACCCTACTCAGCCATTGTTGAAAAGCTGCCTAGGTAGACCGCCCCACAACGCATTCTCTTGGTGGGTTCTGGGTCCGGAGATAGGGTGATTCTGCAGGTTAGTAACCGAAATTAATATGGCTCAAGATAAGATAAAGTGCTGCACACCCAATGTATGCGAAATAGCCGTAGTTCCTGCCTGTAATCAGAGAAGCCGGGCTGAAGGAGCCGGTTGGATGAACTGGTTACTAGTCCGCATTTCTGGCTTCATCGTCAAAGTGCACTCTGCTGTTGAGTCGATTGTATGCAATTTGCGTCACTATGTGCTATTGATAATTAAGCAAGTCTAGCCTCCAGGGCACATATCCAGTAAGTAGAGCATTGGCATCCGTAGGTGCAGGGTAATTAGAGATCCTTTTGCCAATGCTATACCGCGAAGATTCTGGCAATCGCAAAGAGGAAGACAGCTACAATCAGGTAACGAGAAAATGATATAAACTTTGAACAATGAATTTAATTTAGTCTTACTTTACTCCACACCCAATCATCTATTTATTTACTCTTTGGCCTCCAACTTCAGAAGAGACCGCGCAGCATCAACAATGGTTTCCTCTAAAGAACGATACTCTAGCCCGAGCACCTTTTGTGATTTGGATGTGTCGACCGTGTAAACATCGGAGGGAACATCTCCCGTTCCAGGGTTTCCAACTGGTATACGGTCTTTGATCTCGGGAAGGTTGGCGCGTAGAACATCCACAAATTGCTGATAGGTAAAGTTGCCTTTGGTGATGAAAAAGCGCTCGTTGCCCGCCGCAGGCACCTCGTAAGCGCTCAAGTGCGCCTGGGCCACATCACGCACATCCACGAAGGACCAGAATAGATTTTCAGGCACTGGATCGCTGGACTTGGCTTGTGGAGATATCAGACGGTAGATATCCATGGAGGAGGTATTCAACTTGGCGAGGTCGGTGGTTGCATTGATATTCGGGCCGTAAATCATGGGCGGCATGATCGTTGAGATCGTGAATTCGGGTTTGTTATCTTTAACAAAGTCCCAGGCTGCACGCTCTGCCAGCGCCTTTGCAGTGGAGTACGCCAGTCCCGCTGGAGCACCGGGAGCAGCAGCAGCTTCGTACGTGGCTGGATTCCAGTCGAGTTCGGAATAGACGTGACCCGGCCAGTTGCCCTTGCTGACATTCCTCATGGCAGCGAAGGAAGAAGTGAGGACGATACGCTTGACCTTAGGGGCGCCTTCGTGGACAGATTTGAGGATGTTGAGTGTTCCATCGATGGCCGGCTTGAGGAGGTCGCGCTCGTTATCTTCCACCCCAAAGATTTGAAACGGGGCAGCAGTATGGATTACTCCATCCACTCCTTCGACTGCGATGTCAAAGGCTCCTGGTCTTGCAACATCTTCAACAATGGCGAAGGACAACTGAGCCGTATACTGGGGGAAAGACTGTCGAACCTTTTCAGCCGTTGCAGCTGAACGAACAGTTCCCCGAACCTGGTAACCAGCGCGGAGGAAATAGTCAACCACATGGGAAGCCAGGAAGCCAGAAGCTCCTGTGATAAGGACCACTTGATCTTGAGGGGCCATCGTTCCTAATGAGAATTCAGGACGGTGAAAAATCAGGAAGAGGGCTGTAAAATGGATTGATTGAATAGACGATAAGATGCGCCAGTCACTGAAGATTTATATGTTTTGTGACGGTTGGCCGTGACTCCGGAAATGGAAGATTAAGTCGCTATACTCCCAGAATGACTTACAGCAGCCTAGGAGGACGCAATTGGAAACCACTCGGGTGGGTCCGCATCGCCATCAGGAATTCGCCTGAGTGGATCGGGTTCCAACTGGTCATCAACTCACGGCATTTTGTCGATCCTCGCTACTTGGCCGGACCCACTACGGCAAGATTGCATGAACCGGATATCAGATAGCATGTCATCAGGTCACCCAAAGCCGTTAAGGCCGTTAAAGCCGGGACATCGGACTCTGTCCTGAAGTACTCTTACTGTGCACCTAGATAGACACTAGTAAGGGGATGATCGAGATGCATCACAGTCGTCGTATGTACCACGGGTAATCAGAGTGAAGATTGCATGCAACAGCACATCTCTTCTGCAATTAACCGCTCTGTGGCTACGTCCTAAGTACACAGCTAGGCTATAATCTGCTAATAACAATATTTTTCAGATTGTATATCGGGAATCTCTGTAATCAACTCATCTGACACCCAGGGTCTAATCTTGTTCGAATTGCAACACAATTTTGTACTCATCCTATATGTCAGAAGATGCAGTTTCTGGGCGGGAGCTCTCGTTTTGCTCGATAGTATGTAATATCCACTGTAGATTCTTTCTGGAGACCGGCGGAAAATCCACACCTATATATAATCGTATTATACAATTATACTAAGGATGAAGTTTAGCCTAGACACCTTAAATCTTGATACAGGACTGTATGTCATTTGAGATAGAAAACTTGCACAATACCCGGGTACATCTTCTATTGGGAATAAACCTTGCCGCTATTGCTGTCTAGGTGGTTGGTCGATAGTTTGTCGGCATGTTCTACAATATAGCATATCTCTGATTTAGTCACGGTGCCATTACAAGTCCTAGACGATTTCAAACGGTTCTATAAATTCCGACTCTTTGTCAATACCCTGTAACGCCTCCCCGTCCATAATTCCCAACACGAAACAAGATCAAATGTAGATGTAGTGTGAATCGACTCGTCGCAAGACAACAGGACGGGGATAACCAAAGAGGATGGGAATACTATCCTCTTTTCGCATATTTAACGGACCACAACGGAGGTAACCTGAGTTAGTGGTGAAGAAACTAGTATCTAACCGGTATGTTAGGTTGCGACCTGCCAGAGCTAGAGTGGCACAGGAATTGGCGACCGCTTGATAAATTGCAGAGAGGTAATCTTGCCATAAGTCCTCGGTACACGAATCTTGGTCCAAGTAAGTGGCCATGCTACTGGGGTTGGTGAGGCCGTAGTCCTCTAGTACTGACCTCGAGTCTGTCGTGAACATCCCACTGGCGTGTACAACCGCCTTGACTAATTGGCGTGGCTCGCACGATAGATTATTTATAAATTCTGTCTCCGGGTCTAGATCCAGCAGTAGTAGCCTTGCCATAGCCTGGAGAATCGGGATTCCCGTGACGTAGCGTCGAGAGTCCTGGGCTTTGCCAGCATGTTCCAGCCAAAATAACATGAATTTGCTTTGATCACCATGAAATCTATGGCATTTCGACACATTGTCACACTGAACTCCATAGGCATTTAGTGCACATCCGCTGACAGAATGAGGCCGTGCACGAGGAGCAAGCCTGTGGCATTCCCCATAAGGTGTAACATCATGGCTAAATACCATAACGCGCTTTGGATCTTTGGAGAAGGCATCCCAATTAGGTACCCAAGATGGCAAGAATAAAGGGTGTTCCGCTATGGCTTCTTTCGACTCAGCTAGGGCGCCATGACCGGCGTACCAAGGGAGGTCCAATCGCCCCGTTTCAAGAACGACTTGCGCGGTAAACTGGGTATATACATCCTCGGAAGATAGAGTATAGTCCGGTTTAATTCCGCCAGAAGCCAGTGCGTTCATGCTAAACAGCTTGTCTCGGGATTCGGATGCCTGTCTGCTTTGGGTCCAATCAAGTAGTCTTACCCATGTTCTTGCAGAGCTTCCATGTTTCTGTGGGCCCCAATTAGAGGCCTGATACGGCCGAAATCGTAGAATGTAGACCACCTTAAACCCCTCTGTCCAGTACCTGTGCTTATCCAGTCCCATAACTCTGGATCCACAAGCGGCAGACAGGGCGACTCTCGCATGTCGTGGAGCCACGTCGCTATGATAATGATATGTAGGAAATTGAAAGTCTTATTCCCGCAGAGAACAATTGCTCTTTCTTGGTCGCATAGAAGCAGCTCTTGTACTATCCACGCCCGGTGCCAGAGCTAGAAAATGGCGTGCGGCGTACCAGAAGCGCTCCCAACTTTCACTCCCGTCATTCTGCCACAGGTGTTTATGCTCGGGCCGAATAGCTGCGAGTCGTTCTTGATCCTGCTGCGCTGCTGTTATAATTTCCCATGACAGAGCCGCAATCCCACCCACCGCGTAATCACTGTCATCTGCCGCAGATCCAATCCATGCCAGGACTAAATACGTTGACTCATAGATCAATCCCATCATACCAACTTGGCTGCCCTTCTCCGGGATATCCTCCTGGTTAATGCAGATTGCGTCGACCCAGAGTGGCAAGGACATGCGGAACTCCTCCCTTGGGTCATTTTCTACCATATCCTGGTATCGCAGAGGCATGTCATGTTGCTTCTCGCTCACTAAAACCGTATAGTTGTTGATAGATATCGGCTTGCTCGGCAGGTCATCACCCCATGTATATGACAAGGCATGATATTCATGTTTAACCTCGGCGAGGGCCACAGTGATCATCGAGCATTGGATTAGTTCATCAGGCTCTCCTGTCGTCGAGGGGTGCACATTCAACAATCGGATCTCTGATTTTGCCGAATCCGGGATCCTTACTTTGCCAGTTCGAGAATTTTGAAGCCCGAGAGTTCAATTAGCAATAGATACACAGTAAGGCCAAGAGCCGGAAATGTAAAAAAATCAGAGGGGGTAATAACAACAGTAATAACAAGAAGAATCATTAACCCCCTACCTACTAGTATGCTGCTTTACCTGCTTGGGTTTGAGCATTCTCACATCCAGGGCAGTCACCGTATGTAGGAGAAGAGGCGACTGTGTGATGTTTAATAAGTTCAAAAAGGTTTGAAATCGAATTGGCAACTCCTTCAACAAATCCACTAAACCCCGTGTGGCCATCAAAGTATTTATGGTACACGCATTTCTGGTCACTGCATATAAATCCAATAACTTGATATGTACCTGCGTTGTCCTTTCTCTCAATTCCACCACAATCATCATTGGTTTTGTAACACTTGCCTTGGATATAGTCAACATTTTCTCACTCGCCATTGGAGCAATAGTTCAAGTGCCCATTGCAGCCTTTTGTCTTCTTTCAACTCCTGATTGTTTTTCAACATTGTAAATCTTGAGAGCTCATTTATGTCCATTGTGACAGATGAGGCCCGCCGCCTTACAATCGTCATCTGTTTCACAAGGATCACCTTTATAACCAGCTTGGTTAACCCCGCAAAATCCATAGGGGCATCGATCAGAGAGACATCGATCAAACAAACCATGATCCTTTCCATCCTTGGCTAACCGGCAAGGCTCTCCTGCAGGCTTCTTAGCGAGGCAGACTTCTCCTCCAGAATGATCGCAATAGTCAAATTAAGTGCTACATTGCGACTGACCCTGAGCATTCGTGCACTTTACATTCGTCACAACATTGTACATACTTGTCAAGACCGACAAGTTTCTTTATTTGGAGCCCGGTCTTTGAGAGCGTGTCTTCCGGGATGGCATCGAGTTTGGAAATAGAGCCAACGAAGGCGTTAGTACCCATAAAGTGGCATGTATTCTCCTCACATATGGTACCTAGGTTGCAAATGATACCTTCATTGACATTGCAAGACTCTCCCATAGGCTTGCAAATTAACTCGGGTTTGGTGCGTTTCGAATTGACACGGGTATTCGAAGTACATTCTTCATTAGAGGAGCAATGAGAACCACTGTCCTTGCGACGGTCACACATATTGTTGTTGCAGTATTCATTATCACCCAAACGCTCGGAAGTCGTACTACAGGAGTGAGAACACTTTAAGGTTTCCCTATCGCATTGCCCTGGAGGCAATCGACCTGTCGTTACGCTTTAGTTGCTTATCACGGATGTTTACTAGGTACAGTATATCTATGGCGATATTCAAGCCGAAAGGATCTGCGACCTAGTGACACTGTATCGCTAGAGCGAAGTGCAAACTGCCGGTCAATTCCCTACCTCGAACTTACTGTCCGTCCCGAGGGATTGACGTAAAGGCATAGCTGATGTGAAGTATTATCTGTCAAAAGGCTGGGGAAAGGGAAGACCGCAATGCGCGAAAAAGGGGTCTTTTTATTAAATATATAGGGAAAGTGAGACACCGGAACGGTCCGCATTATTTAAATAGATCGACACAGACTATTGACTATTGACATAGAACACCCTCAGTCTTTCAAATAGGAAATTGCATTCCACACTTATTTCAAGTCTGGAGAAAGCGTGTTGGTTTTCTGAACTTCCCAGATGTAATGGCAATTGCTTCTTCATTGCTACAAAGCACTTTCAAGAATATCGGCAGGGCATAGAAGTATTTCTCAAGTACGCGTCGTGTCAACCGTGCGAACATATCAAATATATAATGACATAGAATAAACAGGTCATGTACTAAATCAGTGCCTTGTGAGTGAACATTCATAGGGGACGTTCAAGTGGCACCTCGCTGCTGGAAATTGCGGGTAGAAGTTCAACTGTATAGCCTTCGTAGCTGTCATCTTCAGCATCAATTTTATTTGTCGTCGCATTATAGATGTAATTGTATCATTTCCGGATCACCACAATCCACAGGCCTTCATATGACAGGATCCAGCTAAAGAGGATACTCATCAAACAAATAGCTAGTGTCTGGAGGTTGTTGTAGTCTCAGAGGGGACAACTTAGAGGTAAAGAGCAGGCACGTTTTACTTGTAGTAGCTCGGAAGTTGTGTAAGAACTGAGTTCTGCACAGCTTATCCCGTAGTCACAGTAGTCGTCAATGTACATCGGTATATTTCAGCCTCCATAATCATCCTAAACCAGACATAGTTCGAGAAGGCAAATGTATTACATAGCTGAAGTTTGGCTCTGTCTCGCTGTACGCTGCAGAATATTTTCAAAAGCTATGGAGTAGCGTGATTGCACACACACACATTCTAATATCATGATCAATAACTGGTCCCGGCAGCAGTATCTCCAAAAACCATGTACAACGGTCCAACTACCATAGCTCCACAACAAACCAGAGTCTCAAGAACATTAAAAATACCTCCACCCGATGTATAGTTTTGCGCGCGGTATGACCAGTAACGAGCTTCTCAGATATATTCTCTCGAAACGTCAAGGTATGAACGAGGAACGACTCGCCGCTGAATCGAGAAACACCATTGACATCACGAGCCTGAGGGATTGAGGCTTCAGAGTGGTAAAGCAGCTTTTTTTTTTAGTTTAATAACCCAGCGTTCACGTAACATGGTCGATCCAATTAATTACACTCTTCTAGAAGCTGATCTTTACGTCAGATAACTCAATTTGATTTCTTCTTACATGACGAACGCAAGAAGCGCACGATATACGAGGGATCCATCGACGTCGTCTGGAAGCCCGATCACTTGACCATCCTATCAGCTAACCACAGCCCTAAAGCTGAGGCTCCATACAATATTTACATTATTCACGCCCAGGAACCATATGACTAAACGGAGGGTGATCAGCCTGACGGATGACTCAGGCACCGCGATCTAGATCCTCGTCTCGGGGGATTTAATGGTTGTACCGCATATCCTCCTTATATAGTTACATAACAATAATCACCGCAGTATGAATGGTAAAAGCAAAGTATATGGAGTGACATGCAGTCACATTAACTTGAAATTCGACTAGGGATATTTGCCACAAACACCGCCATCGTCACTGATAACGTTGGTTCCACGGGCAAGACCCATAAACCCCATCAATATCAGATCATACTATATCGTACCATCCCGGTGAACCACGGGCTTTCCCCACAAGGAACACACACATACTACACACACGTAGCAAAAATAACCCTGGGCCAAGCGACCAAGGCCAAGACCTTCGGTAGGCAGCTGTATCGTGGAAAAGGGAAAGGGGTGACGATAATTACCCGGTCGGTATGCAACCGGATTTTGTCCGAGTCATTTTCTGTGAATTTGCGTGATTTTTGTTGTCGGGTTTCATTTAACCGGGGGACGAAAAGTCACGGGGACGGCTGGCGCCGGATGAGGGCTTTAGTCCATGGCAGGGGGAAAGCCCTTTTGTTTTAGGGCCGAGGTGGTTGGTCGAGAAGAAATTACGGGGTAGCGCCCCGGAGATCGATGTATGTAATCGTATATTTGTTCTCTTTTTTTTTTCCTTCCTATGTCAATCGCCGATTGATGACCATTTTTATTCACATTTTGAAAATTGGAGAAATGACAATCCAAATTGTATCAGTTCACTAGTACACTTTCGAGATAATACAATGCCTATTGTGCGGAGGAGTGGGGGGAAATCAATTATCTGGATTGAGTAAATAAGTCCATTGCCGAATGCAAGCAGCTGTCAGTGATGACATTTTTTTCCCCGCATTTGATTCGATCGTCTGCTGGGTACTAGTATTGCATTTACAGACCGGTCGGTCAGGTAAATTTATCCTCAAGTTCACAGCAATTCATCTCCCAGGGGTCAATCTTTTCCCTCGAAAAGTCAGAGAGGAATTGAGATGGTTTTGTATGGGAAATCGAAACGAACTCGTGATCGGAATGCCGACATGTGAATGTCGTCATGGTCGGGAGCCTTCGAGTCCGAAATGTCCCTCGGCTGTCCAAAGAAAAGTCATTTCCTCAGTCTTGTGGCCAGCTCAGTGGATTCCATATATAAATTAAAGGAGAGCGAACATCGTACGGTTCTCGGAAAGGTGACCTGTTCTTCTCTGTCTCTCTCTGTCCCTTTTGGATTTCGGTGTATCATTATTACTACAACAATCCGGCTGTGAACTGATAGATCCTGCATTGGGAAATTCTATACGTTTTTGTACCATACGCAATTACTTTCCCTATACGAGATTTATTACCAGATTACTATTATTGTATGAGTTATATTTCCCCTCATTATTAGGTAACGGTTCTCCTCAATACCCCAACTTTTCTTATTATATTATTATTTCCTTAATTTGCCTCTGACGAATTCCTTTGGTGCCGTCGGGATTTCCAGTCTCACCAGGAATTTCTTTGCCCCGGTGAACGCAAGCAGCAAGCCGTGACCTCAGGTGGTGTGACCAGCTTTCGATTATTTTGTTTTTGGCGCCTTTTAAACCCCGTCAGCCATCATGTCGCCTCCGTCTACCTCAGCTTCTTCTTCTTCTTCCACCACTGCTCGCAATCGTCTCGCGTCACTCTCCGCTCAAATCATGGGTTCTGCCAGCCCGTCCGTCTTTTCCACCTCGGTGGTCCCTGCCGCCCCCGAGGATGCGCTCTTTGGTCTGGCGCAGGCCTTCCGGAATGACCCCTCCGATAAGAAAGTCGATCTGGTTATCGGCGCCTATCGTGATGACAATGCAAAGCCTTGGATCCTCCCCGTCGTGAAAAAGGTACGTGATGGAACCGCACAGGGAGGCGACGAGAACCAATGGAGCTAACCAGTCAGGCCGGTGATCTGATTCGCAATGATCCCTCCATCAACAACGAATACCTCCCTATCAAAGGTCTCCCTGAATTCACCTCGGCCGCCCAGAAGGTGATCCTGGGCGCTGACAGCCCTGCGATCCGCGAACAACGAGTAAGCTGTGCGCGGTCATTCCTTTCTCCCACCATTCTCTAACAGGTCGATTAGGTGGCCACGTTCCAAACCATCTCCGGCACAGGAGCCGTCCATCTGGGTGCCCTCTTCCTCGCCAAATTCCACCCCGCGAACCCCAAGCCCACCATCTACCTCTCCAACCCAACCTGGGCCAACCACAACCAGATCTTCACCAATGTCGGCCTCTCCCTCGCCACCTACCCCTACTTTGACGCTAAGACGAAAGGACTCAACTTCGATGGCATGCTGAATGGCATCCGTGAGGCCCCCGCTGGCTCCGTCATCCTCCTCCACGCCTGCGCCCACAACCCGACCGGTGTCGACCTCACCCAAGACCAATGGAAACAGCTTGCCGTCGTCATGCGCGAGCGCCGCCACTTCCCCTTCTTTGATACCGCATACCAGGGCTTCGCCTCGGGCGACCTGAACCGCGACGCCTGGGCGGTGCGATACTTCATCGAGCAGGGCTTCGAGCTGTGTGTCGCGCAGTCCTTCGCGAAGAACTTCGGTCTGTACGGTCAGCGCGCGGGCGCGTTCCATTTCGTCTCGGCGCCCGGCGCCGCCGCCAAGAACGATATCGCCAATGTGGCCAGTCAACTGGCTATCCTGCAGCGGTCGGAGATTTCGAATCCCCCGGCATACGGTGCGCAAATCGCCAGCCGCATTCTGAACGACGCCACCTTGTTTGCTGAGTGGGAGGAAGACCTCCGGACCATGAGTGGGCGCATTGCGGAGATGCGGAAAGGCCTGCGTGAGCGTCTAGAGGCCAAGGGCACGCCAGGCACATGGAACCATGTGACGGATCAGATCGGCATGTTCAGTTTCACAGGCTTGACCGAAGCACAGGTCAAGTTGTTGCGGGAGAAGTGGCACATCTATATGGTAAGTTCACCGCTCCTCATGCTCGGTGCCTCGCGATGATTGGGCCGGGTACCCGGTCGGCATTTCTTGTCGGGTCTCGGGGTCAGGCCACCTGGAACGATCCAGCTAACCGTCATTGCAGACCAAGAACGGCCGAATCTCGATGGCCGGCCTCAACACACATAACATCGACTACTTCGCAGAGGCAGTCGATAGTGTCGTCCGGGAGACATCGTAAAATTTTGTTTCCTTGTACCTGATTTCATTGATGCCATGTCCACTTTGTTCGTCATTCAGATAGCGGTTATATATCCCCCACATATAGATAAGGTATCTGCGTCACTCGTGAGAATTAATCATGTAGTATGTATAGTACAGTATGGAAAATACACCCCATGGTGCAACCATTTCCCTCCCACATCACATCACAACGTTGAAGAATCTAGAAGATAAGATCCCAAACAATCAATGAAGTACACAACCCAACTGTGCCCCAGAAGACCGCCTGCGCTGCACTCCGCCGCTCACTCGCCCTCTTTAGCTCCTTATTCCCGCGCCCGATATTCGTCTGCGTCGACGCCGCATCCGTGACGAGTTGACCGATATACTCCTCCTGCGTCGAAAGATGCGACACCAGCGTCTGCTGCAGCGATGAGATCTCCAGCAACGACTTCTCCGCATTCCTACTCAACATTAGCCCAGTCCCACCTTCACAAAACCACCACCCAAACAACACAAGACCAGAGGGATGGGGGAAACATACTGGACCTTATTCAAGGTGTCCTCGTAATACCTGACCATGGCATCATTCTCCGCCTCGAAAAGTTGCAACTGCTCCGCCGACAACTCCTCCTCAATGGCCTTCACCTCACTCTCATCCATCGCAGCCCCCTTCAAACCCACCGTATCATCCACCCCAGCCCCAGAACCACCACCACCAGCAGCAGCAGAAGTACGAGCAGTAGACCCCCCAGTCTCAACTTTGAAAAGCACACTCCTCTCCCTCTCGCTAACCCTCTCGATTCTCCTCTCCACCAACCCCCTCTGCAAAGAAACCACATCCTCCAAGCCCCTCCTCAAAAACCAAATCACACTATCCCTCACAACCTGCATCACCCTCACCCCCTCTTCCTCCCTAAGCTGTTCCTCGCTTTTCCCCTCTTCACTCTCCCCATCAAGCGCCCCAGACCCCGCAGCCCATTTTGCAAGGACCCGCCCCGCAACCGACCGCCCGTATTTCTTCCTCAGGATACTCGTCGCCGTCTCATGCCGGAGGGCTTCGGCGCTGGATAGTGTCGAGATCGAGTTACTCAGATCGTGAAGGACGAGGGCGGTGGAGGTGTCGATTTGGTCGCGGTCGGAGTCGCTGAGCGGGGACCCTGCTTCCTGTTCCCCTGGCTTTGTCTTTCCGGTCGGGGATGAAGGCTTGTGGCGGGGGTGTTTGGTGAGAGAGAGATACTGAGGGCGGATCTTGTGGAGGTAGGTTGTTAGGTTGGTTGTGTGTTTGTTCTGGTTCGGCATTCCCTTGTTAGCTTGGGTTTGAGTTATCGTGCTGGTGAGACTTGAACTGGGACTGGAATTGGAATAGGGAATGGATAGATTCGATCTAGAGTGGTGTAGCATACAATTCGGTAAGCTTCCTTCAGGAACTCATCAGCCGGCGAGGCTTGATTGTACGTTTTTATTGGGATGGCCGGGGATTGGCGTTCGAGGAGGATAGCGTTGAGGGCTGGCGTTAGGTCGGTCATCTTTCCTCTCCCTCTTTTCCTTTTCCTCTTCTTCTTTTTTCGTAGGGGGGGTTTTGGGGGTTGGCGGAGTCGGAGGTTGTTTTGAGGAATGATTATGTATGCTGATAGCTGGCACGTTGTTATCTGGTCCCGTGATTTCGGCCATCCATAAATCTAGTGCAACTGAGTATGGAAGCGGTTTACAGAAGCCTCTTCCTCCGGAATACAGTAGTAAATTTGAAGCAAAAAGCTTTATTTCCCTTGAACTATTTAGACTCATAAGACGAGGGCACCAGTTGCACTATTCTGGCTTGATCTTCTGATTCTTCTTGTATTGTATTTTGATCTTCTCCTTTTTCTCTCCTTTCGGCAGCAAAGCCGTGTTTTGCCCTAAGCTCCTTACTGAAGGAATATATGTATTATAACACGGTACAGTTAATATTTGAACATTGCTAAGATCAAACATGCTTTCTCCAGCTCACATAAATTCATCATATTCATAATTCCAGCGATCCTTCCAGCTCAGAGGTGCAATTAGAACCCTGTCAATCTCCCAACCAGGCACACAGTGACAAGACAGTATACCAAGCATGCATCATTGATAATTCACAGAAGCCCCACCATCAACCAACAACTGCTCCCCAGTCACATATGCAGACAAATCACTAGCAAAGAATACAACCGACCTGGCAATATCATCTGGATACCCCAGTCTCCCCAACGGAACTCTACGAGTCATCCATTCCCTCTTGCCATTAGCAGCCAGATCGCGTTCATTCATCGCCGTCTGAATCGTCCCCGGCAAGACGCAGTTGTATCTGATACCATGCTTCCCAAACTCCACCGCATAGGACTTGGACATCGCGATCAGTGCCGCTTTAGTTGGGCCGTAATGAGTCAAGTTCGACGAGCCGAACCTTGCAGTGATTGACGAGATCGACACCACGCTGCCCCCTCGACCTTGTTGGATCATCTGCCGCGTAGCCGCCTGCGTGAGTAGATACGCTGCGGTGAAATTGACGTCCATGTGCTTCGCCAGCGACGGCTTCGTGACCGAGCTGGCTGGCGTAAATTGGCAGATCCCCGCGTTGTTGACCAGCACGTCGATCCGCCCGAATGCTGAGACGGTTTGGCTGATCAGGTCGCTGCTGGCGCCGTCGGAGGTGAGGTCCCTTCCGATGATGGCGTGGGAGGTCTGTTGGCCGTCTAGTATCACGGCCCCGCCTTGCGTGAGCTCGTTGTGCAGGGACTCGGCGTCTATAAGACTTTGCGTGTCACCGCGATGGTGCAGCACCATCGTGGCCCCTTCCTGCGCGCACCGGGCTGCGATTGCTCGTCCGATGCCTGAGGAGCTGCCGGTCACGGCGATGACTTTGTTTCGGAGTAGGTTGGCCATTGTAGGGGTTTGGATCAAATTCCGGAGGGGAGGGAATTGGACTAACAGTAGAGCGACGTTATATTCATGAGACCCAAGCCAATGTCCCAAGACACAGAAAGAATCATGGCAATCCCGGTTATGGTTGGAATTCTATACACCCCACCCCGTGAGTAGACCATATACCCATTCTGTCAATCACCTCGCACGGCCGGTTATATACAAGATACCCTAGCGCAGTCGGCATAGCATTAAATATAAACCATGACAGTCAACCTGAATTAGCACCCGCACCACAATCTATCCTAGTAAAAATGGCCGTCAAACACATTGTTGCCCTTCGCTTCAAGCCCAGCGTCCACTCAGCCACCATCGCAGAGGCAAGTGCTTACCTCTACCATGCTAGACTCCAATCAAATCAAGTCAGCTAAACTAATATAAGCAATACAGGCATTCCAGCGACTGCTTGCATTGAAGGACGGTTGCATTCTTCCTACTACGAACAGACCATATATCCAATCGATCTCAGGGGGGCAAGATATGTCTATCGAAGGGCGCCAGGTAAGCACATCGACGCAGTCTTAGCCTGCACGAAAAGACACGCTTATAGATTGCGGCGGCCAGAATCTCTTCACTCATGCCTTTGTGGCGGAGTTTGATAGTGTGGAAGATCGCGATTACTATGTTCGGGAGGACCCTTACCACGCTGAGTTTGCACGGAGCTTGCAGCCACTTATTGAGGATGTGCAGGTCTTGGATTTTATTGTTTGAGTTCGGGGGTGGTAGATGCTTCTGCTATTTGGACTGGGTTTGGCACTATCTAAGATTTATTAAAGAAAGACTTCATGGACAGGTAGTGTGAAATAACCTGTTGAGTCTAGAGAGTGATACTAGAAGTGTTGGACTCAGAACACTAGATAGACTTGAAAATATGACAGGAAACTTGAGATGAATGTCGAAGCGCTGGATCCCCCCCATGTAGTCACTGCCATAGATATGATACTTCCAGGTGCCTTTCGGAAGAGGATCTGACTTAGGGCAAAGGCACTACCATATAGTAAGCCTAATATCTGTTCAATGCCAGCCACACTGTCATAGCCTTTCAGGTCACGTAATGTCGAAGTCCTTCTCGTAGTAACTAGCATTTAATATGCATATAGCCGGGGCCATAACCTACTTAGGGTGTATACAGACTTGGTCATATCTGATCATTTAAATATGTACTCTTATACTCAGTGACATGATATACAACTTGCTCATCCGATACAGTCAGACTAGTCTTTTGTTAAGTATTATCACTCAAGGACATAGCATATCATCATCGCAATGAGTTCCAACCCCCCAACTAGCTTGCAGGCCATCTTGCAAAATGACTCTCTCACAAAACAATGTGCTTTGATTGGGCCAGATTGGACAGAAGGAGCCAAACACTTCCCCATCATTGATCCCGCCACCGGTCAGGAGTTTTCGCAAATGGCAGATGTTGGCAGAAATGCAATAGTGGAGGCTATTAGCCATGCTCATCAGGCCTTCCAAACATTCGGCCAAACATCGGAGTACGAACGGGCCGCAATCCTGGAGAAATGGGCCACGTGAGTTCGACAGAATGCGAATGATCTGAGCAAGATCCTCACGATGGAGAACAGGAAAACACTAGTCGAGTCCAAGGCTGAAGTCTAAGGCGCATCCTTCCTCGACTGGTTCGCAGAGGAGGGAATTCGATCCCACGGTAAAATGATCTCTTCACAGCATGCCGGGAGCAAGAATCTCGTCATCCGGCAGCCGGTGGGCGTATGCGCCATCATTGCCCCGTGGAACTTCCCCGTGGCCATGATCACTCGCAAGCTGGGCCCTGTCATTGCCGCCGGATGCACTGCGGTGGCCAAGCCTCCCCGAGAAGCATCACTTTGTGCGACAGCGCTGGCCCATATCGCTCTAGAAGCTGGGTTGCCTACCGAAGTCGTCCAGGTCACGCCCTGTACGGACCGCGTGGCTGTTACAGAGCTGTATACCAACCCCTTAGTGCGCAAGGTCAGCTTTACAGGATCCACAGACGTCGGAAAGGTAATATCCGAGCATGCCGTACGGACCATGAAACGGATCTCCATGGAGCTGGGGGGAAACGCGCCGTTGATTGTGTTCGACGATGCCGACATGGACGCGGCTGTGGAGGGCGCCGTCATCTGCAAGTTCCGATGCTCCGGCCAGACCTGCGTCTGTGCAAATCGCATCTATGTTCATCGTGCATGCCACGACATCTTTGTCCAGCGACTGTCGGCTCGTATACAATCCTTCAAGGTCGGTCCAGGCCTCTCGCCTGACGTCACGCACGGCCCATTGATTAACCGCGCGGCCGTTGAGAAGGCCCAAGCCCATATTGACGATACTTTGAACAAAGGTGCCACCCTGGTTACTTGGGGGAAGACTATGGATGGTTCAGGCGGATTCTTCATCGAGCCTACGCTGCTAGTGGGCATCACTAGCGAGATGGCAGTGGTGTGTGAAGAGACATTCGGGCCTTTGGCGGCGATCACTGTAGACGAGGTTATCCAGATGACCAATGCTACAGAGTACGGCCTGGCAGGCTATCTATTCAGCCAGAGTATGAACACCATTTTGCGTGTCTCGGCGGCGTTGGAAGTTGGTATGCTCGGAGTCAACACGGGGAAGATCAGCGCCGCGGAGGCTCCCTTTGACAGCGTCAAGGAATCTGGATTCGGGCGCGAGGGTAGCAAGTATGGTTTGTGGGATTATCAGGTTCTCAAAACCATCACATTAGGTGGCATGTGTTATCAATTTAGGTGGCCTTGTCAGGCATCAGTCTCAGAAACTCCACGTGACCTTCTATATTTTGCCCTAACTACTTCGTGCGGTGGACTAAATTAACCCAACAGACAATACTTCCGCACTCTGTATACAGTTCTGGATCATATAACCAGAGCTTTTGAGACAGTCTGAGCTCTTCGGATATCTCTACTCCGGGATATGCGATACTAGCGAGTTCTGTCTACTTCAGAACTACTGATATCTAGCCAAGTCGCAGCTGGCGATGGCCATATAACCGGCCGGTTATATATATTTGTCAGCTGGTTGATGAAGTCATCCCCTTCAATACAACGTGTCAATTAGTTATAAATACACACTTGGTGAACTAGGTTTTAGAAAATGATAATTAAATGCTTACTTCAGTTTCTCAGGACAACTTGGAACCACCATGCCTACAAAAATCTTCATCACCGGGGTCACCGGTTACATCGGCGGCGATGCACTCTACCACATCCACCAGAACCACCCTGATTTCGAATATTCGGCCTTAATCCGAACCGACGATAAAGCCCGCAAAGTTCAGGCGCAGTATCCAAAGCTGAGGGTAATCATTGGCGATCTTGACGATACCGAAAAGATTGCTCGGGAAGCTGCATGGGCAGATATTGTGATTCGTATGTCTAGAGAATCTGGAAACATGGAATGATCTTCGTTAACAGTGGGATATAGATACGGCCGACTCATCTGATCATGTTGTCGCAGCCAATGCGATTGCTGAAGGAATGGTTCAGGGCCATAGTCCTGAGCGACCAGGGTATTGGCTACACACAGGCGGGACCGGTATTCTGACTTATTTCGACTCAGACGTACGGAAGGTTTCCGGAGAGCCGGATGAAAAAGTGTTCAATGACTGGGACGGAATCGACGAATTGGTCAATCTACCCCCGGCAGCCTTCCACCGGAATGTGGATGAGATAGTCTTGAAGACTGGGGTTGAATATGCCGACCGTGTTAAGACTGTTATTGTATGCCCTCCCACCATCTATGGGCCAGGCCGTGGTCCTATTTCTGGCCGTGGTCGACAGGCCTATGAACTTGCGTCGTTTATTTTAAAGCAAAAGTATACGCCACAGATCGGGAAGGGGTTGGCCCGGTGGAATAACGTCCATGTCTGGGATCTGAGCAGGCTCTTTGAAGGACTTGTACAGGCTGCGCTTGACCCCACCAGGGCCAACGACGATGAGATCTGGGGTGGAAAGGGATACTTCCTGTGTGAAAACGGGGAGCATATTTGGGGGGACCTGTCCAGGTTGATTGGCCAGCAGGCATTTAAACTTGGTTACCTTGCGGAGGCACCTCAGCACCAGGAATGGTCTCTCGATGAGGCCGTCAAATCCCCTGCTGGGTTTGAAGCTGCCAGTTGGGGCTGGAACTCTAGAGGCAAGGCTCTAAGGGGAACCGAGGTGCTGGATTGGAAACCACAGGAGAGAAGTTTGGAAGATGAGGTGCCTGACCTCATTCGCTCAGAGGCTTCTAGACTTGATTTGTAAGTTGTGAGATGAAACGCATATGATGTCTTGGAGACGTAGCAATCTCTTGGGACTTCTTTAGGGAATAGAATGGTTAGATTCTCGCTTTTATTGTGTCTAGATAGAGTATTCCTCGAAGCCAAATAGACATTCAAGCATCTCACCCACACATTAAGACGGTGGTCCATCCACACCCCTTGTAGCCCCCGGACAAGACTTCCTGGCGCATATTATGATGAATTCTGCTTATTGTAATGTTCCGATGAGATCAGCCATTATGCCTCCCTACCAATCATATGCTCCTAGACTTACAGCTGGTATTGTGACACCTAGTTGTTCCATATATATGCCTCTAAATCTAAGTACCCTGAAATTCGAGGCCACCAACCCCATCACACCCTCACTATTCTGAGGAATACATACGAGGGCAGACACTGTGGAACTATACATATCGTTTTAAAATTACATCAATTCCTGGATGTAAGGCTCTACAACTAGCGAATATCGAAGGCAGCTCAGGGGATGTATCACTATCCTTTGCATAATACACCGTCTGAATTTGATATTTTCCTCCTAATTTGAAATAGAATGATTAGGCTACATACACGGAGAAAAAGGAATATTGTTTTCATGGATTATCATATACTATGTCTGAATCATCCTTCTGGGTCCTAATGCAATTATCAGGACCAAAAGCGTCAAGCCACGAACAAGGAAAAGCGTTGATATGTCCAACAACTAGTAAGACACAGATGTCCCACTGGCTTCACGGATAAATTCTCCAATTATACTCCTACCCTACATAGTCTAACTTCTGGTCTTTCACAGTAACAACACACTTGATAAGATCCGCTGGCTTAGATAAAGTAAGATCCAATGCCGTCGCTGCTTCTGCAAGATCATATGTGTGTGTTACCAACGACTTCAGGTTAACCTGGGCACTTTTAACAAGATCAATAGCAGCTGTGAACGTGTTTGTATATCTCCACAGCGATAGCAAATCAACCTCCCGGACGGCGGCTGCTCCCACATGGATATTCTGTGTTGGACTCCCCATACCTACCAAAACAACTTTGGCCCCAGGGGATGCACATCCAATGCCGATGTTAACGCAAGATGCCACTCCTGTGCACTCAAACACCACATCGGCGGGACCGAAGCCTTCAGACCGGAGGATCTCGGTTGACGTCTCATGCGCAACCTGCTCTGGATCTGATTCGGCTGACACGGTTGGGGTCACAATTTGATACGCCGCAGTGGCGACCGCATTGTCAGTTCCATTCTTTCCCATGGCAAAGTCAAGTCGGGACCTCTCGATATCCACAATCCCAATACGTGAGGCCCCAGCAGCTTTAGCCAGGCTTGCGCAGAGGAGCCCAATGGCCCCAGCACCAAGGACCAATACCGACTGGCCGATTTGGAGCTGAGACCGCCTGACAGCATGCAAGGCGACAGAAAGTGGCTCCAAGAGCGCAGCCTCTTCAAAGGAAATGGAAGGTGGAATCTTGTGCACAAACAGGGCCGGGTGGTTGTATACCTCCTGGAGTGAACCTTGGATTGGGGGGTTGGCGCTCGCAGACCCGGTGAACTTCATCTGTGGACATATATTATAGCGACCGGCCATGCAGATGCTGCACTTTTTGCAAGGCTGCTGGGGCTCGATGGCTACTCGGTCACCGCATTGAAGCTGCTGTACGTTGCTCCCAATGGCAACCACCTCACCGGCGGCCTCGTGGCCGAGGATCAGCGGTTCTTGGACAACAAACATGCCGTTCTTGCCGCTATGATAGTAGTGCATATCGGTGCCGCAGAGCCCTGTTGCTCGGATACGGATCTGGACTTCGTCTGGGGCTGGGGGCGCGGTTGTGCGCGTCTCCATGCGCATGTCATGGGCGCCATACAAGACGGCGGCGGTGTGGGTATGGGTTGTCATTTTTGCTCTGACTGTCATGATGATTGAGATAATCAGGATAACATAGAGATAGCACTGATCAATACACAAATTTAAGCACTCCTACAGATTGATAGGTAGTGTTTCTATGTTTATAACTATATATCCTCTTGCTGCAGCCGATATCGTCTTGCAGAACCGTATTCGGTTCGGTTGTATACCCTTCCTATCACTCCAATAGCCGGCAAAATGGAGAAAAGACGTATGTAGATGATCCTATCTCGGTTGTATGGACCCCAACCGGGCAATACTAGTAGTCTCTCACTACCCCGGACTTTACTTTCCCCGCCCTGCATGAAGCCCTCCAGTGATCAACATCTCCCCCCCGCTAGCTGTTTTGTCAAGAAAAGAACTGCCCCCTTGCTGGAGCAGTAGTCGCTGAGGAATTGCCCAGTACTGGCCTGGTGAGTGGCCACTGATCTGATCATAACGATACTGGAGATGGAATCTGGACTTCTCTCTCGATCCTGTTGGGACATACACCTCGCAGCCAGCTGTGCCGTATAGTATGTTCCAAGGACGTTGATCCCGAAACATCGCTTGACATCTTGCCACCGGCGGTGCAGGAATGTTTGGTCGGGGCAAATTCCAGCTGCAGTGATGCTGTACAAGACGAAAAATGGCGATTATATACCCATGCCTGTCTGAGGGTCGTGGTGAGATATTTCGAAAGCGTTGGTAGGCCATCAGGAAATTGGCGATTTGACATGATTTAATGGTCCTTATAGTGGTAAATATCTTGCTAATAAAATACACAAGCTAGCTGGGCCAGCGAGTATTTAAACTACAGCGTCCGGCTATATGCAGTGCAGAAGGCATTCTTTATAATAGTCTACTTATTATTATTTTTTCTTTCCTTTCTTGTTGATTCAAACGTATCAATCCATTCAATTTAAAGAATATTCCACGTAACGACATACGATAAAAATGTCCTGAGGCTGAGCGTCCTGAAACTTTGAAGTTGATGTTGATAGCATCGCACCTCAAAGGTTGGCGGTAACCTCGCCCACACGAGACTGTGGCTGAACTAAGATCTTGACATGAGAGGCTTTGCTGTGAATCAATTCATGAAAGCCCTTTTCGATTACCTGCTCAAGCGGAACTATGGAGGTGATCATCTTATGCGCCGGCAGATTTCCGCTCTCCAGTGCTTTCAACACCCCAGTAAAATCCTCCATTGTATAGCACATTCCACCGGTGAGTTGCTTTTCAAAGCAGCCGAGATCGTTCAAATTGACCTGGAGCGGTTTCTCGTGTATCGCCACGTTGAATATGGTCCCTCCCGGCCTGGTCGCGGCGATGGCCGTGTCCAACGTCGTTTGAAGCCCCGTGGCATCGAAGGCGACATCCACTCCACTTTCACCGACAGCCTGATGAACGGCCGACAGCACTGGATCAGAGGACTCAGATCCCTCTAACGGATCGACCACAACATCTGCACCAAATTGTTTGGCCAGCAATTTCCGTGACGGCGTCACTTCGCTGACCACCGCGCACCGAGCCCCCCAGACGCGAAGAAGCATCAAGATTGCAAGGCCAATTGGGCCGGCGCCCAAAAGCAGCACCTTCTGGCCTTTCCTAAAGCCAGAGGTACGGATGCAATGCCACGCAACGGCCAGAGGCTCCACCAGAGCACCGACCTGGAGCGAAACCGCATCAGGGAGGACGACACAGTTGAGTGCCCTGACAACAATCTCGGTCGCGAAGCCACCACCAGGAGCGCTGAACCCATATGAGGAAAAGCGTTTGCAGATGTTGCGCTTGCCCATCGCACAGGTGGTGCATGGTTCCATGTCGTAATGTCGGTCGTCGAGGGCGGGACTCACAGCGACCTTAGACCCAACCGGAATGTTGTGTACATTGGAGCCAACCTGGATCACGACACCCGACATCTCGTGGCCCAGTGTGACAGGCAGCTTTTCGCCAGTCCAGGGGTTCTGATCCCCCGGTTTGGGGGAATATCGGGCCTCCCAGATATTCGTGGATGTCGGAGCCGCAGATCCCGCAGTATGCGACTTGAAGGCGGACATCATTAGGTCCACACGGTCTGTGTATGTTAGTTGACTGGTCCAAGAGAGCCTGGACGGTGGAGATAGTTAAGTTCCGGGTGGATACCGTGGAGAAATACGTTCCAGTCTCAAGTCCTCCCGCCCATAGTATTGCAAGGCCGTGATGCTTCGGCGTGGAGTCGACATATTGTTAGTATCGAACAAAATTTATGCTGGCACAAATCGTCTGGTCTACTTGCAAGCTGAAGCTCATATATGAATCGCTCTGCCGGATTTCCACCCCAGATTTATTTCGCCGTGCTCACTATAAGCCATTTCTCTCTCTATGGCGGCGGCTATATGTATATACGATAGGCCTGTGATGTAGGACACCACCCCGGCTATATGACCCTGTTTCTCAGTAGTGAATTCTCGACTCGTGCATTGCCATGATAGCGCTCGGGTTTAGTTTTTGTCAACAGGGAAATGGGCATTGAATTCATCTGGGCAACTACTGTACACACTGACCATCGCTTGTTCCTGCCCCACATTGAAGCTAGATCGAATTAATAATGTATTGCGGGGGACTTGAGCTCCTCCGCCGTACGTTCATGGCCAAATAACTATCCGATGCTCAACCTCACTAGAGAGCCAGGCAGGGGAGATTAGACGGTCTCCTGGACGAAAGAAAAATAAAGCTAGAATAGAAAAATGCCGAACCGATCAGCCAGCACGAACAAACTGGCGCGGCCCGAATTCGAGCGGGGAAGGCGTGTAGACGATGCAACCAGAAGCGCATCAAGTGCGATGCCATGCTCCAGATGCCCTGTGCAAATTGCGTGCGCAGTGGCAATACAGACTGCATCCTGCGACAGACGAAGAGGGGGACTTATCCCCGTAAAATGGATCGTCACCAGGATTCCACCGTCGTATCTGGGAGGCCGCCATCACCTCTCTCAGAGAACTCAGGAGCACTCGAGGGGGAGAACGGAGATGTGGAATTAAACGAGAAAGACGACCTGGTAGAGGAGCAGGAGTCGCTTCTTCCTGATAGCAGTACGCCGCCGGCGACTGAGGATGATGCCCGTCGCTTTTCGTTCACCTACGGCGACGATGCATCGCCAACCTATCCCGATCATATAGCCATGTCTCGACCAGATGAGCATAGGTCCGACGAAAATGAGACTGGTCGATACCAGCGATTACCTACTGATCATAATGCCCGAGAGAATGTCTGCTCTCCCGTGGTGTCCCCGTCTGGCGTCTATCAATCATCATCTGGGACCATTGGGTCTCCGGGCACACATCCATCCGTCCATCCAGAAGGCAACGCCTCATCGTTCCGTGATCTTTCTTGGTCAACCATGTTTGACCACTTTCTCAACACTCGGAAGAACCCGAGAGAGTTTGTTGACAAATGCTCCATCACTTACTTGGGGGAGTCATTCCCTCTGGCCATCGTCCTGGAGGATCTAAAAGAGGGTGGCCGGCCTAAACTGCATCACCCAGGGCCGCCATTTCCAGAGAGAGAACCCCAGAGAGGCCCGCAGAATAGGTTACAGCCCGAGCATCTTTTGCCCGAGGACCTCGAATATCTTCGAATAAAAGGCGTCTTTGACTTTCCTTCAAAGCCCCATTTGGACGCGTTGATGACCGTCTTCCTCGAGCAGGTCTATCCATTGTACCCGATTGTCAATCAATTGGAGATTGTACAACAACATGCCAATGGAGAGCTTCCTCTTATCCTTCTACACTCTATATGTTTTATCGCTGCGACATTTTGTCCACTTTCCTTGATCTACCAGGCCGGCTTTCCCTCACGCCGAGACGCTCGTTTCTCCTACTATCGCAAGGTCAAAGTGCTTTTCGATTCGGGATATGAGATCAACAAGATCGTCATCCTCCAAAGCGCTTTGCTCATGTCCTTCTGGGGCGGTGGGCCAAACAACTACTGGAATTTTTACTCCTGGATGAGCACTGCTGTTACCGTGGCGGAAGGCATGGGTATGCACCGGTCGACGGCAACCACGAATATGAAAGTCCAGGATAAGAGCTTGCTCCGACGGCTCTGGTGGATCCTAGTAGTCCGAGACAGTGCATGTAGCGCCCTCGTGGGGCGGCCGTTTCGGATTGACATTAACCAGTCTGACACAGAGATGTTGACCACTCAGGATTTCGCTCATGATTCTGCAGATCCCAACTTTTTGCACACTCCCGAGCATCAGATGTTTGCCCTATATCAGATTGAAATCGCAAGGTTGTCCCTCATTCTCCGCGATGTGGTCATAAGTCGATTCTACCCTGGGAGCCCGCAAGTGCACCCGGTGGAGCTCCATACTCGGCTGAAAGACTGGAGAGACCAATTGTCCCCATCCCTTGCTTGGAGGGACGAGTCCGTCGATCCTCTCAATCCATATTCCACGACGCTATCCGTACAATACAATCATCATCTCATTATGATTTACCTTGGCCACGTACCAAACGATAGTCCCAGCAGACAACACGAGGAGTATGAGCAGGGCAATATCACCACCTCAGCTGCGTATGATATCGCCGCCGTAGCCAGCACCGTGGTCACAAAGTCATCCGTGCTTCGAATGCCACACGAGCTGTTCCATGGCATTTTCCTGGCCCAGGCGGTGTTCTACACGCAATTAAGAAGTAGCAACAAGCTTCTATCTCAACTGGGTCGGTCGGAACTAGTTAAATGCCAGATGGTTCTGCGTGACTCGTGTGAGTCCTGGGATCCCAGTCCCTGGATCATGCAGTTGTTCGATAACCTCTCCACAAGACTGTTTGAGAAAGTCCCTGCACCGAATGAACAAGAGGGGAATCCCTACACGATACCTAGCCGCAGTGACCCGCCTGGAATAAGCTCAATGATCACTTCCGACCCGGACGCGGGCGTCTTCAACGGTCTGTTCGGCTACGATCCATGGCAAAATGGCCCGATGTTGTCCTCGTTGTTTAACCTGCCCCCAGACATCCTCCTCCCCCAGTAATCAACACCAATGCGGATCTAGACCATGTGGGCCTGATGATTTGTAACGATCGGAAAAGGACACTTTACCAAGTTGGAATGATAACATCCGCTACATACACGCGCTCTATGTCAACCAATTACCTTCGTCATCCTCCCACCCAAAGTCCTGTGCTGTCCACCCCAATATAGTCGCGTGGCCATGGACCTCATACCGTAGGCCTTGGATATGGTTTGCAATGCGTAGTTGGCAGATGTCCCGGTGTGCGTTATTCAGCTCCTCCATTTCCGCCTGGTCCAGGGTGACTAAGGCAATATTGTCCTCAATGCGCGCCAACGAGATACTCTTTGGAATGACCGTTATGCCTCGTTGCACTGCCCAGGACAGCGAAACGACCCCTGCTGAGCAGCCATGACTGCTAGCTATTCTTTTGAATAGCGGATGCGTGAGAATTTCGCTGGCCCGTGTCGCGAACTCTGCACCTCCTCCCATGGTACTAATACAAGCAGTCAGCAATCCAGGTAGCCTCGAGGTTCTGGTACCGACTTACCTCCAGCTCATGACCTGGATGCCCTTCGCTTGACAGTACGGGACCAAGTTGAGGTTCGGGTTAAACGCATGCAGTTCCACTTGGTTGACAGCCGGAACGATCGTCGCCTCTGCCAATAAAACATCCAAGGTTTTCTGACTGAAATTGCTGACTCCGATTGCCCGACATCGCCATCCGACACATTTCTCCATCATCTTCCACGTCTCCACGAAGGTCGGCTGCTCCGTAATCCCCAACGGCTTTCCGTCAGGTGTCGCTGCACAGGGCCAATGCATGAGGAAGATGTCGATGTAGTCTAGTCCCAGCGCATCAAGGGATCGCTGCAACGCCGCTTCCGGATCATGATGCCATTCTCCCCAGAACTTGGTGATGACTGTGATTTCGCCTCGAGGGATCCCGGATGCGCGCACGGCCTCGCCGACTACAGGCTCAACGTGGTAATATTGGGCCGTGTCGATCAGACGGTATCCAGTGTGGAGGGCGTGGATGATCGAGTTTTTAAGGTTATCGTTATCCTTTGAATTATTCGTGCCTGTTGTTATTGTTGTTGCTATTATTATTGTTGTACTTCGGGCACCGAGTGTGATAGTCTTTTGAGCTGTCTTCTTACCTTGCCATGTTCCCAGTCCGACAGCAGGAAGGGCCATGCCTATACATTATATCTTAGCATTTCTGTTTCAGTCTTGATTCAGTTCAAGTACCATTATTAAGTGGAAAAGTTGTTTCGCAGACTCGTGGTGGCGACTCCATGGCGAGCACTTTGGGAGTTTGCAATGAAATTCAATCATGCAGGTACCAACATCGCAACGAGACATCTGTAGATTATATGGCGAACAGCCAAAGCACGTCGGCTATGTACTTATCGATTTCACATAATAAGACCCACTATACAGCAATGACACTCGCCAATCGCTCAAAGCTAGTACTCAGAATCTCCACCACATTTCCCCAAGGGTCCGCCACGTAGAGACACTTCGTTCCCTCCAAACTGACCATCTGCCCGATTCTTCGGCCACCCACGTCAGCTACGAGCCGTGCCAGTCCATCCGGGTCGGGGTCGGTCATTCAGATGTGGAAACCACCGAGGGCATACTGGAACGAGCCGGCAGGGGGAACGTGCGAGGGGTCGATGAACTCGAAGAACTCAAAGCCGACACCATTGCCGGTGGCCATATAAGCGATCTTGACTTCGTTTAAATCCTCTGGGTAAAGGTGAAAGATCCCAGCGTGTGGGGCCTCGGACCGCTTGATGTGCGTGATTTGGCCAATTAGCTGAAATCCGAAGACCCGGCTATACCAGGACACGACGGCCCTCAATGTGTGCCACGGAGACGGCAGCGTGGTTGATTCGGCGCAGTTGGGTACGCTGGGTTCGGGTTAGGTATGGTAGAGTACGTATCTCCGGTTTAGGGGGATATAGTACGCACATTGTGCGAAGCCATGTTGGAAGTAGTACTATTTGGGCTGTCCCACTGAGAGCCACTCTGCGTGTCTATATGGATCTCGTCGTCAAAGCCGAAAGTGTCCAAGTGGTCCTTGAGGCTGATAACCCGATGTTCAAACTGCTTCCTCCCGAATGATGGATACCTCAACGAGTGGAGAGGCTAATCCAGTTGGACATGGCATCCAGTTTGTATTTCCTTACTGGCCTCTTGAACAACCGCAGCTGTTAACAGGTTGATTGCTATGGGTGGTCAAATGGGGGAAATACATATCGACCCCTCTGGTAGCTCTCCATTTCTTGGCTTCTGGAGAAAAGGTCCCCGTGTCCCATCATCAATTCCATTCCCAGTGGTTGCTATCCATATCGCAGACTTCCTATATCCTAATTCCCACTACGTCAGAGCCCGGCAATATGGTTTATTCCATACCGGAGAGCAGCAGGGTTGTCCTTGGCCCGCTCGACCATACTCATTGGCACATTCCTGGAGCATAGTGTCACACTCGTTGACTGGTTTCATCTTCGTAGATCCGGTGTAGGTTATATGCGATCTGGGGCATTCCAAACTCTATACGACACCTAAATGAATTATGAGTAATATCCGTATAGCTATATCAAAAACGAAAAAGGACCGTCGTAAGCTCCAACATTTACCTAAACAATCACCTTAGCTACAGAACGAGACGCGGTTACTGTTTTCCAAATGAAGTTTATGAAATGGTTCAAACCGGGCTTTCCGGTCCAATTTGCCATTACCTGCACCTGCTTGGTGGCCTTTTTGCTGTAAGATGCAAACGACCATTAGTCTCAAGATGGATGCTGACATCTGGAACTCCCAGATTTGGCTATGATCAGGGCATCTTCGGAGGTCATCCCCATCGCTCCACCCCTTGACAATGGAATCCTTAACGTATCCAGGCATCGTCACGAACCCGGACTTTCTCCAGACTTTCAATCATCCCAGTGCCGGATTCATAGGCATCATTGGTATCTGTTACCCTACCCGCCTGGCGGGCTATTCTAACCGGGTTTCCAGTTTCGATTTACAATATTGGGTGCCTGGTAGGATGTATCGTGAACCTTGGAATCGGGGAGAGGATCGGACGCAGAAAGGCGATCCTGCTCGCCATGGTCCTGACATCAATAGGCGCTGTGTTGCAGTGCGCGGCGTTTGGTGTAGGCCGTCTTGCTCGGAGCTACTATGGCTGCTAACGATAAGTTGCAGGTGCCGCAGCTCATGGTGGGCAGGATTATCACAGGGATAGGTTAGTCGGATATCGTCAACTGCTCTGATAGTGGCCAACAGTACACAGGGGTTGGGATTGATTCCTCTACGGTACCCATGTAGTAAGACCTCCTATCTCTACTTGAACTCACATCGCGTGAAGTATGGTCGACCAATGCTCATCATTGGAAACAGTCAGTCCGAACTATGCAAGAGCAAATATCGGGGCCGTCTCGTCACAACAGAAGTGAGTTCGTACTAATTACAACTGCTTCGTTGTCAATGAATACCCCTGAGCCAGTGCAATAGGTGTTATTTATTGGACTCGGCATAACAATAGCATACTTCTTCGTCTTTGGTCTCAGCTTCACCGACGGCCCACTGTCCTGGCGTCTCCCCATCGCTGCTCAGGTGGTGCCCGCCCTGGCGATTTGTATTCTCGTCTTCGGCGTGCCAGAGAGCCCCCGATGGCTTATGAAAATGGGTAAGAGGGAGGAGGCAATCTCGGTACTGACCTATGTTATTAACGCGGACCCGGACGATGCATATGTGGCTGGAGAGCACCACGCTATGATGAGCGCAGTGGCTCTCGAGGAGGAGAACGCGTTCCAATGGAGGCACATATTCAAGCCAGACCCCCTCAGAACTGGATATCGTGTTGGTCTAGCCTCCCTGGCACTGTTCATGAACCAGGTAAGGTCTTCATCCCAGCAAGGTGTGCCAGCATCCCAGTACTCACCAAATGGCCATAGTGGGCCGGTATCAACGTGATCGTCTTCTACGCGCCCACAATTCTGGAAAACAGCATTGGTCTAGAGCGAACCGTCGCTCTGGCCGTGGCTGGGTGCGTCCAGTTTGCCTTTGTGGTCGGGTCTCTAGTGCCATCGCTCGGTCTGGACCGCCTCGGACGCAGGCAACCGATGATGATCGGGTCAGTAGGGATGGCGATATCCATGCTGCTGGTGTCCGTCTTAATGTCGTTCAACGGCACCGACAAGCAGGAGCACACGTCCAAGGCATCCATTGCTTTTCTGATCCTGGTTCGCCCCCTCCCCCAACCACACCTACCCAAGCTGCTATTAACTCATCGAGCAACTAGTACATGATATGTTTCGGCGCCAGCCTAAACGCCATCCCCTGGTGCTACAGCACTGAGATCCTGCCTCTCCGGGTGCGCGCACAAGGCACTGCGCTGGCGGTGATGACCAACTGGATCTGGGTGAGTGTGATAGATGATCATATAGATATCCTCAGTCACAACACTGCTTACGGTGAAGTGTACCAGGTGTTCACAATCGTCATGGCCACCCCCACTATGGTGGAAAGACTCGCGTGGAAAACATATCTCATCTTCATGGCCATGGTAAGCATGCCTGGATTCGTCATTGCAGGGGCGTCGTTCGACTCATGTTTTCTAGAACGTGGTCTTTGTCCCGCTTATCTATTTCCTGTTCCCGGAGACTAGTGGGCTTACGCTTGAGGATATTGATTATCTTTTTATGGACTCGCGTTCTATTACTGCCGAGGGCAGTGTGCACTCGCCGGATACGCCTGGGCTGGATGAGGTTGAGAAGGGGCCGAGTTCGGAGCATGTTGAGTGAGGTGTCTTTTTGTGTGGGTGGGTTTGGGTGGTGGAAACCAGGTATGAAATGACTGAGGATTATTGTAGCACCCAGTGTGCAAATGGTGGATTCGAGGTAGCTTTCTTTCTTGTGTTGAGGATGAATGAATCACATAGCCTTTCGAGGCAGGATGCTTCTCTATCCACTTCTAAATCGGTTACCATCCTTCTGAGAAATAGAAAAAGTAGCGAATTCAGGATATATAAATATAGTATTCAATAAATCAGAGACACTGGGCTTTCTATGTCTGAAAGACTTTTACGGCCTAGGAGTAGATCTGCTACGTTGGGACGCGCCTTTGCAGCTTCATCTCATACTTAGCATGCCATTCCCATTCAACCTTCTCCTCCACTTCATATAATCCTCGCTTGGCTCCACTCACTGCTACCCTAAATTGCTGCATCACCCTCTCAAACACGCGTGTCATAGCCTCTTGCCGTGCCTTCTCAAACGCCACCAACCGTGTCCCCAAGGTCCACCCTTCCCCAACTCCGCAGTCCTCCCGATACACGCCTTCCGTTGTCAGCGTCACCCTCAGCCGTACAAGCAGGCCAACGGTCCACATGCTACCATCCTGCTCGCAATACAACACCCTCACATCTCGTACGTCCGAACTCCATCCACCGCGCCCAAACACCCTGTTCGCTACGCGTATCACCTCGTGCCCCATTCTATCACTCAACTGCTGTCCTCTCGATATGCCGGCCTGCTCCTCAAACTCCATTTTCCTCCTACCACAACGAATCCACTTTCTTCCGTTCTCCTGCCTTTTCTCCGGGGGGGCGGCCTCCTTCTTATACCTTGCTTTTCCCGTCTCTCCACGTATTTCCCCTAGTCGCTTTACGTCTTAGTCTCTGCCTCTCACAAGCCCTTTTACCCCTCCATTGGGCCGTCCGTGGTATTATGGCCGTCGCTTTAGCCCGTCCCTCCATTCGAGCCCTGAATTTCCCATCTTCCGCGTTACCGCCACGCCTTTTTTCAGCCTTATCCGTACACCGGCACAGGCCCTCAGCCCAATCCAACCCTAACTGAACTAGCCACGTAGTGTCGTGTCAACCAACCTCTTTTCTTCTATCTTCCACCTACTCGCCCACAATCGGCCTAGAAGTAGATCTGCTATGTTGGGCCAGTAGTATAGTCCTTAAAAGAGACGGTGATTAACAATCGGGGAGGCAGAGTACGCCAACGCATGAAACAATTAAACTACTAATACCTAGCAAGACTCAGTAAAAGTTAAATAACACGATTTCACTTCCATAACTTGGAATGACAGGTAAGCCCCGCGAGCAGAACCACCCCAGCTAGCGCAGCCAGAGCAGCCTTCTTCAGAGGCTCACGGGTCTGCGGCCCGTGTCGCCTGTGATATCAAAATCCTCCCACCTCGGCCAATACAGCCGACCCCAGAACTTCCACGTGTGGTCGGGGTAGTTGGTCGTATTGCGGCCATTCGCATCCAGGTTCCAGTTCGAACAACCCGCCGACCAGACCATCGTCTGCAGCTTCGCCTGCACGGTATTGGCGTCCCGCAGCTCCGCCGCCTCCTTGACGTCAATCGCGGCAAAGTGGCCAGAGAGAATCGGGCGGAAGATCGTCTTGATCAGGTACTCGGCCTGCACCTCGTTGGTATAGATGACCGAGTTGTGGGCGGGGAACGCGTTCGGCCCGAACACGATCCCGAAATTGGGGAACCCGGTCACCAGGGACCCTTTGTATGCTTGCGCGCCTCGGGTGCTCTTCCAGTGCTCGTTGAGCGTGCCGTGGCGGCCGTGGACGGTGATCGGCGAGAGGAACTGTTGGATCTGGAAGCCCGTGCTGAGGATGACGGCGTCCACGGGGATGTCGCGCTGCGGGGTGCGGAGGCCGTGCGCGAAGAACTCCACGATGGGCTCCGTGGTGAGCTCGATGTTGTCTTGGTAGAGGCACTCCAGATAGCCGGGGTCGAAGATTCGGCGTTTGCAGCCGAGGGGGAACTTAGGGACCAGCACGTCGTGGTATTTTGGGGGCGACTTCTGTTTGATATACTCGACTGCGCCCTTGGTGGCCTTCTCGCGCTGAGACACGAAGGTTTGGGACTCGGACATGTATAGCGTGTGCAACGCGTCGGTGTCCTTCCACAGCTTGAAGCGGTACAGGCGACCGAGCAAAGGAGCATGTCGAAAACACCACTTTTCATATCCGGTGAACTGGCGGTTTTCTCGGCTCGTCACCCACTGGGGCGATCGCTGGAACTGATAGACCTGCTTCGCGTCTCTCACCACATGGGGCACGAGTTGGGCTGCGGAACATCCATTGCCAACAACTGCCACGGTTTTCCCCCGAAGGTCGTAGTTGTGGTTCCACCGCGCCGAATGCCAGATGGCACCAGCAAAGGATTCGTGGTTGGGTATGTCGCAGTCCTTGGGGATCGAAATAGTTCCAACACACGAGACCAGTATTTCCGCCTCGCGCCAGAAGGTGTGCGAGGTCTGCAGGTCACGCAGGTTCACCCGCCACAGGGAGCGGGCCTCGTCCCAGCGAGCCTCGATGACCTCGATCCCACAGCGCACATGAGGCCGGATCCCAAACCGGTCGACGGTACTGTTGAGATACTCGAGTATCTCGGGCTGCTCGGCGAACCGTTTCGACCAATCTGGGTTGGGGTTGAAGGAAAAGGAATACAGGTGGGAGTCGACGTCGCAGCCAACTCCGGGGTATGTGTTGAGGAACCATGTACCACCGATATCGCGTTCACGTTCATACACGATGAAATTGTCAAAGTTCAGGTCTTTCTTCAGACGAGCTGACAGCGCGATCCCGGCCACGCCACATCCAATGATGATCGCCCGGGGTTCCTTGGTGTGTGCAAGCATGGTGTGTTATTTGAGGGGAAATCGAGGAATGAAGTCCGATCGTCTGAAAGAACCACGTCCGTGTTGATATTACAATACTTATAACCAGCACATTCAGTCCCTTGTCTGGCCATGGCTTAGCTTACCGCTGCTTGACCTTGCTGAATATCGGGAGATATAACCGGGTGGCTATATGGCCAGCATCCGGCTATACCAAGCACCCTAGTATCACCGATAGGTTGGACGCTAGGAGTCATGTTCCCCACAGACATGGGTATATACTTATCTTTGGCCTCATGTGTAAGCAGCATTCAAATAAGGACATAAGGCCGGCCGTATATCGCCGTCACAGGACCTTGCATAATTCAGACATGACAATCCCCAACCAGCAGTCCAACATGAAAAGAACATCGCTTTCCGATAATGACCAGGCAGTCACCGACCTTCGAAGGCTGATCATTGATTGTTGTCGACAGAACGGCGGCGGCCATGGCGGATCAGCTATTGGAATGGTCCCGCTTGCAGTGGCGCTCTGGAGACATACAATGCGATTCAACCCTCGCAACCCCGAATGGTTTGATCGAGACCGGTTTGTTCTCTCCAATGGCCATGCTGCGATCTTGCTCTATATCATGCTTCATGCCGCGGGTTACCCCGAAATGACCATGGACGAACTAAGAAAATACGCCAGCCCCAAAACACCAGACCGCAACGGCCAATGGGAAGCAACGCTGTGCCATGGCCATCCGGAGATCGAAGTGCCAGGAGTAGAGGTCACAACTGGTCCGTTGGGCCAGGGCATCGCCAATGCAGTAGGGCTAGCTATTGCTTCAAAGCACCTGGCGGCCGTTTTCAATAAACCCGGACATCGGGTTATCTCTTCGAAGATATACTGCACCACTGGGGACGGCTGTCTTCAAGAGGGTGTGGCCCAGGAGGCAATGGCAATTGCCGGCCATCTGGGCCTTGACAACTTGATTCTCTGCTACGATAACAACCAAGTGACCTGCGACGGCCCCTTATCGTGGATTGTTTCCGAAGACACAAATTCCAAAATGCGTGCTTTGGGGTGGAACGTTCTTGATGTCTGGGACGGCGATGATTCAGTCGAAGAGATCCTAGCTGCCTTGCGACTGGCCCAGATGAGCACCTCCAAGAAACCAACCTTCATCAACATTCGAACCACGATCGGGTACGGCACCTCCAGAGCTGGGACTTTCAGATCTCACCACGGGACATACACCGATGAGGATGCGGCTCGATTTACCAATGGCGATGGAGACTCCGTCTCCCATTGCTTATCCCAGCAAACAAGGGACTTCTTCTTACCACTGATCGAACAAGGCAATGTCTTAGAATCAGGGTGGAACGAGTTAGTTTCCACGTATGCGGAGTCCTTTCCGCAAGACGCACAACATCTTCGTTCTCGTATTTCCGGGCAGCTAGATGTCCAAGACCTGTTGAAGACGATGAACCCAAATGTCGGAGACCCATTGGCTACACGACAATGGAACGGGGCCGTGTTCAACACACTGATGGACAACGTTTCCAGCATGGTGGCCGGCGGGGCAGATCTATGGAATTCCAACCAGATGGGCGACCAGTCCAGCCGCATACTTGGACGAGATCACTACGCGGGCCGTGTAGTTCGGTACGGCATTCGCGAGCACGCCATGGCAGCAATATCAAATGGCATTGCAGCGTTTCACCCGGGAAGCTTCATCCCAGTGACAGCCACCTTCCTCATGTTTTACCTGTACGCAGCACCCGGCGTGCGCATGGGCGCCCTTAGCCACCTGAGGGTCATTCACGTTGCGACACACGACTCGATCGGGGAAGGGCAAAATGGACCAACACATCAACCCGTGGAGGTTGATTCGTTGTTTCGTGCCATGCCCAACTTGCTTTATATTCGTCCGGCCGATGAGGAGGAGGTCATAGGTGCCTGGATGTGCGCTCTGGGTAATGAAAACAAGAACGTTCCCAGCATTATTTCTCTCGCGCGAGATCCGCCCAGCGTGAGAATCCCAACTACCAGTCGGGACTCCGTAGCCCTCGGAGGGTACGTGGTTTTGGAATTAGACAATGCCTTGGTCACGCTTGTGTCGTGTGGTTCAGAGCTTCAGTGCGCCGTTATGGCGGCGAGAAAACTGGCAGGCGAGCTAGGAATCCCGACACGAGTGGTCAGCATGCCATGTATCAGTCTGTTTGAGAAGCAAGCCGAGACATATCAGAAGGCGGTTCTGTCGGATAGTCCGCATATTGTGTCCGTGGAGGCATACGTATCCACAATCTGGGCGAGGCTTTGTACAGCCTCGATCTCCATGGATTCTTTCGGCTATTCAGGGGCTGGGTCGGCCAATTTCCGACGCTTTGGCTTGGACGGTGATAGTATTGCTCGGAAGATACAGCGACATGTTCAAAGCACCCATGTCACTGCGAAAAGATGGGTGCGACTAGAATAAACCCTCATCTGGAAGCTACATCTTGGTCTGAGTATGTCAATGAAAGCGGCCGGGAGGGCTCCCTGTGACTAAATTATGTCGGCTTTTGTACCCATCTATGCTGTTTACTTTACCTCGATCGTTTCTGAGGATGTTCCGTAGTTTCTCCATCAAGTATAACCCGGTACACGACATGTTCCCCTCTTCGTAGCTATCTGATGCAAAGGATATCCGGAAGCATAAAGCCATCTGACTATCACGAAAGCTACGCTTGTATACATGAAGAGCTAAATCTCCGTGATATCAAGTAGCTTGGACAATGTGCAGACTGTAATTAGAGCTAATCAATTAAAATCGCGAGGTCGGTATGCGCCGTGAAAACAACAGATCCCATTCTTTCAAAATGCAATCTCTGAGCTCCTCGTCGTCGGCATTGATCGAATACAGGACTGTAATAGGCCGTTCTGGGCTGACGATAGCACTCCTGCAGGCACTCTTGTGTCCATAATGGGCCTACCGGGATTTTGGAATGGAGACGAGCATTTACGAGTCATGTTGGTATTGGGTGTGCCCAGTATAGATAGGGATCGGGCTTAGCTGCCCGAGGTAGGCTGGGGTGTTGGAGAGCCAGGTTGATTGTGATTGATAAGATAGAATGCCCTACATGTTTGTATCAACATGTCTGGATGGGAGTATGGTCATTTGTCTGGAGGAATTCTAATATACTTCCATGGTTTGGTTTACACTGGTGGGCTTTGCCCTAGCTGTCGTGTTCTTTTCTGTATTTCTATTTTACGCCTCTTACCGTCGTTAAAGCGAATGGACTTGTTGCTCACTTGAGGGCATGCTCTACGTGCAGTCTTCTCAGTGTACCCCGGACTTGTTGCCATATTAGACAAATATAGTCACCGGTGTACTATTCCACATAAAAGATTTGTACAAGTAATGCATTATCGAAAGTCGTGTATATACATGCGTCATCGAAGGGTATAACATGCCATGCAGTCCAATGCGACCAGCCAACGCCAATACCAGGTCATCAAATCATAGATCGTTCTTCAACCCATATCTGCTACAGTTAGTCTCCTTCCGCGAACTCAAGAAGCATCAAGACATACCTCCATCTTCCCCATTTCACTCCCTTCCCTGATTGCCGTTTCACGCGCAGAACTAAACAGAAGATCCAGATCTTCTTGGTCCACCATCGTGATCATATCCCCGTCGTCCTGTATCCGAATTTTCAACAGAGAGCGGAAGCCGAATTTATCCCGGATCTTCATCTCGAACTCGCTAAAGTCGATCATCGGCCCGATAATGATGTACCGTGTGTCCTCCACAGCATGTACCTTGACCCGGAACCTGCGTACCTCCGGCCGGCGAGAGTTGGCTCGTCTTGATCCTCGGTTGGGTGATCGCGTTCGGCGTCGTGATTCGACCATTTCAAACTCTCCGTTCGCACCACCTTCCTCCGCTTCGCTGGCGAACTCTGCTTCTTCATCAATGTACCGCTCCCGCTGCCAGGGTATGCCCTTCCGACCCCCATTGACGGCCACGGTCGGGCGAGAATACCCGTTGTACACATCCTCCCCATACATTCTTTTCGGTGGGGGCGCGAAACCGGTGTCGCTTGCTCCCCGTCGATGCCCCATCTCTCGATAGACTTGGACTTCACCTTGAGATGCGCGGTGATGTAGCTGAGGTGGCCCCCGCGGCTCTGATGCTGTGCGCGTGGTCCCGATCCGCGGCTTCTCCGGGGTTGTATCAACTCTGCATCCGGGAGGGTGGGCACCCGGTCGGTCCAAATCGAGGCGCGGCGGACGAGCGGCGCGGATGGAGCCCGGTCGACCGTTCATCCCGGAACTACTAGGGGGGCTGCCGACGCTGCTTTTGTCGGCATCTGGCGGTGGTGTCGGGGGGAATAGATTGCGGTTCAGGGGTGGCTCTGAGTGCTGACGACTTCTCGTGATATTTCGTTGTACTAGTTTGCTGGCTGCGAAGAGACTTTCGGGAGGAGCTCGATTGTCTAGTCCGGACTGCGTTCTGGCAATGTCACCTGGCTGGAGCGGGACACCACTACGGTCCGATGCGGCAATCAACCGTGCCTTGCCCAGGTAGTCCTTGGTCTTGAGGTTCTTGACTTTGGCCTCATTTGGTCGGTAAAGAACCCCTACAGGAATCGAAAACACCGTGTAGCCCTATTAAGTCAATACAGATAGAAGACCAGTCTTGGGCTTCAACATACCTCTGCTCGCTCTCGGATGGCATCGTTGATGACGCCATGGTCTGGCGTAACCTTCTCCTTTGCCGCATACTCCAGATCCTGGATGCCAGGCCCCAGTTGCTGCAGGTATATGTAGCACAGACCACGGTTGAAGAGAACCTCACATGAGTACAGACGGAACTTCAGGCCCAGTTGCTCGTAGTTGATGGATGCATTGCCTCGGAGGTAAAGTAGGGTATCGTTAAAGTTGGCCAATGCCTCTTCGAAGTCGCCCAGAAGAAAGTTGGAGACGCCTTCTTGGAAGTACGCAATGGCGAGGTATTGGTCCAGATTGACGGCCCGCTGGTAACACTCGACCTACAATTGTCAGTACCATGTCGTACACGTCAGACTTCGGCACATACCGCCTTGTCATGCTCTCCTAATGTCGCATAGATCACGCCACAGTTGAAGAAGATTTTAGACGTGTCGGCAATCAGGTCAAAGACCCGGAGGGCTTCGTCGTATTCTTGACAGTCATAGTGTTCGAGGGCCTGCACCCACGTCTCAATTTCCTGATGGTCTTGGTGAGCATCTGCCGTTACTTCCCAAGCACCATGGTGTATACCTGTTTGATAGACATGGCTTCAGCTATCCGAGGGCCTACTGATACCTCTCTAGATCTCCTGAGGCCTGGTCGTTCCTTGACCTGACAACCGGGTGGATGTAGTGATAGACAGGGTCACAGACAGAGGTACAGCCCACGGGTTGCTGACTAGTAGGCCGGACAACTCTCGCGGTGTGCTCAGGTAGCAGCGGATATATACTAATGGCCAAGACACCAACCACTGCAGGTTAACCACGCAGAGGCAGGGATAATGATGGGACCGGCAGGCCGAAAGACCCGGTTTGTGCCACGAAAGGATAAAACCGTGCTAGGAGCTTTCTCAGTCGGTGAGCCAGGGAATATAGTCCCGCAATGGAGCCAGTGATAGTCCAAGCGCACGACAATGCAGGCGAATTAGTTTGGTTTGGCGGGGAGATAGATCGGATATATATTTAGATCACGGGTGACCAGGGTGGTTGAATGGCCACTAGTGACTATGACAAGCAGACGCAAGGATGTTAGATAGATAATGCGGTGGCTAGATCAATTCGTCTTCTCTGGTGAGCATTCTCCACAGCGTTTGTCGATAGGATTGTGTCAGTTGGGAACCTTGAGTCTATGAAGTGGCCCCTTCAGGATGTATGAGGTCGAAAAGAGCAGATTTAGCCAGCTGGAAAGGAAAAGCAAAAGGGCTAGGACAGGGAAAATGCGTGGCAGAGCTAGCGTGCAGAGTATGCAGCAGCAAGGCACTTGTCGATACTATACTTAGATGGTCAGGAGTACCAATAGATCCGATTCGAAGCGCCAAAGGGCAGGAAGGAGGGGGGAAAGACGAAGGACTGCCAAGGGAGTCGAGATTATAAAAATAACCCCCCGTTCAATTTAACCAGCCAGTTGAAGTTCCTGGCGAGGGGCGTTAAGCAAGCGTTGACCTGAATGGTTGCAGCTGCAGCGTCTGGGATCCCTGGCTGGCATCCGAGTTGCTGATTGGTCCCCTGCAGGGGATACTTCATCACATTGCAGGGAAGATCCCTACGATCCCCCTCCTCATTGGTGGCCACCGCAATATTCACACTTTTTCATCTTCATTTCTATTATTCCTTTATTACCTGGTATACTCAGTACTTAGTACTAGTACTACTACTACTAGTAGCACTGGTAGTACTCGTAGTGCTCCGTATACTAAGTATCACTAGTAGTAGTATTGCATATATTAAAAGCCCGTTCCGGCGAGCCATTTGCGGAGACAAATAGCACAAGAACAAGGATTGCGCTCATTAATTAATAACACGTACTCCCGAGATGCAGTACTACAACCCCATGGGAGATTGCTACCGATCATAAGATCGTTACTCAATGAATTCCCTTGGCGACTGCGTCCCGCAAACGAATGAGAAATACTCCGGGGAAACCTGATATGAGATTGGCAAGAATATACTTTGTCGCCCCGCCACGGCGCTTCCACTCCATCCCTCACTTTCTATCAATCAATTTCCCTCGACTCGCACAATTCCGTCTGGATTTCCTTGCCGAGCATTGAATGAACGCAAGAAGTTTAATTAAAAAATCACGCGTGGCAGGATCCAATGACGCCCTGCGACCGTTGCGATTTATCTCCTTACAGCCAATAGCGGGGTTCCCTTCGTCGTGGAATTTCTCTTAGCCTTTCCCTTTTAATCCACTATTGACTCTGATCAGGTGGTGAGTTGATACCCTAGCTACTATCGTCTCTCCTCCTTCACCGTCTACCTAAAGTTCCACTTCCAGCGCACTGATCGATGAGAATCAATGGAATCACAATCCTGCCCGTCCGTCTAACAGCTTGGAAACCAACAGCATCACGTCTAGCCTTATGCAGATTCATTCACATACGATACATCACTAACATCATCATCTCACGACAAGTAGGTATCACAACTTAGAAAAAAGAAAAGTTTAAGGCAGCTCCCGCCTCTCCAATCACCCAAAGTCAATGTGAATGGGGCCAAAGGGGCCCGAGGGCCTCAATTAGATGCCCAAAAAAAATAGAAAGAGAAAAAACTGAACAAAAACTTACACCATCCCCTGAGACACCTGTTCTTGACGCTCCTGCCACACATTCTTCCCGGAGCAAGAACATACCATCTTATCATTATCCCACACGCCTGCACTCCGAGCAATCACCCCAACCAATGTATCCGGGTCTTCCTTTCGGAACGGGCCCTCTTTGCTCTTCGACACCACCATACTCCGTCCAATCATCTCCCAAACCGCCAATGGTCGGTCCAAGAAGACATTGCCTCGTCCCTTCTCGTCCACATCCACCGTTCCAAACACTCCGCGTGGCTCCTTGGCCGCCTCCGATCCCAACACCGTAGCTTTCAATGCCTCCCAGATACCCCCGGTAGACGCGGCTCCCTGCGAAATATCTCCGGCCTCGCGCACCGTGGCCCAGTATTTGCCCGGCGCCAGTCCGTTAATAGTCAGATCCACAAGCGTCATGTTGGACGAGACCTGCACCATACGCGCCAATCCACGGATCTTATTTGGGGCCGAAGTCGCATGCGTCTCGAGAATGCAAACAGCGGAACCTAGTGAGTGTATCTTAGCACAGGCCCAAGGACCAGGCAGATCGATGCCCGGCGGCAACTGAAACAAGGATGGACAGAGAGAGACGTACTGTTGGAGGTCCCACTACCCCGTAGAATCGCATCGCGACCCGTAGCCTGAATTGCGGAAACGATGGAACTGGGTGGCGCCGTGCCTTCGATAAATACGAGCTGGTCTTTCAAACTGGCATCGACTTTGTTGATTCCTGGGGGAACGCCGTCAGCCAATGAACCCGGACAAACAGGCAATCCATGTGACGGGGGAAATTAAATACCGTCGAGCTTGTTTAAGGTACTGGAGATATCTTTCACGCAGCCCTCGCAGGTCATGGGGACTGCGAAGGTGGTCTGATTGAACGTTCAGCCCTGATTTATAATATACTTGCTACCCACGGTATAGAGCGGAACACACTGACCTGGAAGGGTTCAATCATGATGTACGTTTGGGACGTGAATCGCTTGCTGCGCAAAGAATATAGCAAGATAGAATCAAGTATATAAATATCGTAACAACCGTTGAGTCACAGATAATAATAATAAACCGTGCAGAAAGAAAAAATAGCAGAAGCCCCGCGGAACAAAGCGGGGGATTTGAAATCGGCATCGAATGCCAATAGCGTCATCCCTCCAATTAAATTACCGTTCCCGAGAACCTCAGGCACGCAACTCCGAAACCAGCCTCCACATGGAAGCTTCCCGACTCTGGAGCTTCATCTCACTCTAATCCCCAATTAATAATCATAATCACCCCCTCCAAGTCCAGAAAAGATGTCCTCCAAATCCCGCTGGGCGGATGAAGACCCAGAAGCAGAAGCGATCAATGCGCAGCGCAAACGCGAAAAGGAAGAGAAACGACGCGCCAAAGCCGAGAAACAACGTCAGCTCGAACAGCAACAAGCGGAAGAAGCTGCCCGACAACGCGAAGCCGCAAACAATGATTCAGAGGCCCCTCCCAAGAAACGTCGCCGACTCTCCAATGATCCCGACACGGCGGCCGAGGTCCAGGTTGAGCCATCCAAACCACAAGAGAAGGCATCGAATATACTACAATTCCCGACCCAGGGATGGGGCCCCAGCCGGCATGTGGACAATTTCGAGCGATTGAATCATATTGAGGAGGGCTCGTACGGATGGGTGAGCAGAGCAAAGGATATCACGACGGGCGAAATAGTCGCCCTCAAAAAGCTGAAGATGGACAACTCTCCGGATGGGTTCCCCGTAACGGGCTTACGGGAGATCCAAACCCTCCTGGAGGCTCGTCATCCAAACATCGTCTTCCTCCGTGAAATCGTTATCGGAACTAAAATGGATGAGTGCGTTTCCCCCCTTCCGTATCAAGGCCAATTCACCCCTTTGCACTCCCTATCTTCCCCGGACCTGGAAAGTTCAGATACAGAAGATTAACCCCAAAGCCCGGGGGTGCGAGGACAAACCCTCCTGCCCCCGATCACCGCATAAAACAGTGTCTTCCTAGTCATGGACTTTCTCGAACACGACCTGAAGACGCTCCTCGACGACATGCGCGAGCCATTCCTCCCATCGGAAATCAAAACTCTCCTGTCCCAGATCCTCTCGGGTCTTGACTTCCTCCACTCCCAATGGATCATGCACCGTGATCTGAAGACCTCGAACCTCTTAATGAACAACCGGGGCGAGATCAAGATCGCCGATTTCGGTATGGCTCGGTACTACGGCGATCCGCCACCGAAGCTGACGCAGCTGGTCGTCACGCTATGGTATCGATCCCCGGAGCTGTTGCTGGGAGCGGAGAAGTACGGTACTGAGATTGACATGTGGAGTATCGGGTGCATCTTCGGGGAATTGCTCACCAAGGAGCCCCTTCTACAGGGAAAAAATGAGGTTGATCAGGTGTCTAAGGTACGGTTGATACGTCATTTCCCTGGATATCCGTGACGGTAAATGTCGTTAAATGCGTACTGATGGAAAATAGATCTTCGCCTTGACTGGCCCCCCAACCCCGCAGACATGGCCTGGCTTCCGTTCTCTTCCCAATGCGAAGTCTCTCCGTCTTCCACAGACCTCGACTCCATCTGGGAACCTGCCTCTTTTGCCACGTTCCAAGTTTCCCTTTTTGACGAATGCCGGCCTGCAGCTGCTTTCTTCGCTCCTAGCCTTGAATCCAAGCTCGCGGCCGACGACGCAGGAATGTCTTTCACATCCGTACTTCCGTGAAGACCCTCGTCCAAAGCCGAAGGAGATGTTTCCTACGTTCCCATCGAAGGCAGGCATGGAGAAACGGAGGCGGCGGCAGACGCCCGAAGCGCCGAAGCGAGGCCAGGAGGCTCCAAGACTGGACTTTGCCAGTGTTTTTGGCGGCCAGTCCGGTGGTGACAGTGGGGAAACCGGAGCAGGTTTTACTCTACGCTTGGGATGAATACTACCTGGCCTGCGCACACAACAAAGTCATGGGAGTTGAATATTCATATATTTATGAAGTCCTCCGTTGGCTTGTGGAATCGTTCGGTCCCACAATATCCAAATCTCTAATTTGCTATGGTGGTTATACCAACAAGACTGGGTCGTAAAGGAGTGGTAACTTTGAGAGACAGCCTCAAAGCCAAACTATAAACCGCTGGGCTGGAAAATAAGTATATGAATCCCCTTAACAATGCAGTTTATAGATATTTCAATGGCTGTACAGCATATACTTTCGTACACAAATCACCACGGAACGATTGTTCGCAGTCGGAACGGTAGATGAACGGTCGAGGTCGTCAAGCATCAAGGGAAATAGCGTCGTTGATACATGGGATACGTAAGAAGATACTCATCGACGGAGTCGTCACTAGCATCTCGCTCTGCTCGATATGGCCGAGGGGGTGGAATGTGGATAGCTCTTCCGGGTCCAATGATCTCCGGAACGTCGAGCGTTCCCGCTGATGGGATGCGATCGTGCCCTAGTCCATTATACAAGCCTTCATCGCTCATGATGCTCCGTTCTGTCTTTGTAGGATTATCTCCCCTGTCAGGATGTCCACTGGTTTTGCCGTCAACGAAAAAATATTCGTCTGTGAAAGAGAGTAGTGATGCAAGATCACCATTCTCGATAGACGTCCATAGATTGTTCGACACCGATGTGAGATCCGTTACCGTAACCTCTTCGCTGGGGCGGGCTGACCATGGTGATTGTTCCCCTGAACAGTCACTACACCCCAGCCCACCAGTGTCGCCCGATGGACGCGGCGGAGTGTGATGGTTGTCATCGTTGGGCCTTTCAGATGTCGCATCTGCTAGATTCGTGCTTAAAGTTAACACCGTGCAAACAGGGTCGTTTGACAGGCTGGCGTTTGTTCCAGATTCGGCGATATCTTGTGTCTGGGCTTCTTCTGTGGTCGATTGACATTCGGACTGGGGAGGCTCTGCTTGTACGTCTAGAGAAGACTCATGATGAATGGCCGGTGTCAGGGCTTGATCCCCAACTTCGTCTTCCGTCCTACCAATACTATTATCGCTATAGGCGCTAACTCGATCGATCAGTCCCCGAGATTCCACTACCAACGCAGCGTTAGACACCTGAGGAGTCCTGGATACGTAGAATCGGCCTGACGGTTGTCCATCTGTCGTTGGAGGTCTAGGCAAACCGGGGGAAGGTAAGGGGTCCATGATTTGAGAAGTGCTGCCATTAACACTTGGGTCTCGAAGCGAGACTGGTGCAAGTAGGGTATTGGGCAATGGTGTCAAAATTGCTGAATGCGAGGGCTCGGCCTCGGCACCTGTTATTTGAGAACCGCCAGGATCGGGAAGGCTCTTGGATGAACGGCTCAGCCTGGGAAGAGAGCCCTCTGATTCGGAACCCGACTCGTTCATGAACAAATCGTCCAATTGGATATAGTCACCAGTAGTCAATTCCCTCGAAATCTGCAACCCTAAACCATTATTTCCGTCGGTCGAGTCCCTCGGGAAGATACTATGCGCCGCCTCGGTTAGAAAGAGGCCAGGCGGCCAATATCCTCCAGTCAGTTCCTGGAAGGGATTGAGATCAGTAATCGTGACTGAAAATGGCCAGTTGTCTAAGCATTTATCCACATCACAGCTCAGCGAAGAAGCATCGTTGCACTCTGTTCGATGCAGATGAGTTCCAAAATCAGAGTCTTCCTCTGTGCTGGCTTCAGAAATTGTTGAAGGGAAGGAGGCGTCATCCCGCTGGTCCGAGGAACCCTCTGTGGCATCAGACGAAGGCCAAGCTCGAGGTATATTAGCGGTGCGATTTGTACCGAAGATAGAAGCGCGCCTCTGCATTCCCGCTCTCAGAGCTATAAGTCCTGAGCGTGCTCTCCGAAGAGAGCGTTTGGACAAACTCTGGACCCAGCTTACAGGGCTTTCGAGGTTGGTGTTCCGAGGGGCATAACAACCACCCCTATTCCATGAAGATGTAACTACGGCAGGATTATGTCGAGGATCAAGAGGGTTGAAGACCGGATAATGGGTGCTTTCCTCGCACGATGGTGGAGGAGCAGGAGGCCTTACAATCCTAGCAAGCCATTAGATTCGCGTTCCACGCAAAGGAATCGGTCAATATACCTGGCTCTTCTTGCCATTGAGGGGCGGAGGGTTACCGAAAAGGAGAATGCCTGGCGGCGTCTGTTTGCACTGCAGCCTTGATTGTCCGCTGCCATATCAGGCGAGTTGATTTCCATCAAGTATGTATTCTCAACTGAAACAAGCAGGCTCGGTATGCCTCGAGAATCTTAAAAATTGGTGCCCCTAGGGGTCGGAGAAGACTAGCCCTTATGACAGAAGAAACCTGTTTAGACACCGAACAGGCCACCAGCTGTAAGAAGTAGGGGTCGCGGTACTTGATCCCAATCAGGGCAGGTACGAGGCAGCCACCGGCATTGTTGATTGGACATTGTTTTTTGGCAATACTAGTAGTACTTGTAGTACTAGGTTAAGTAGGGTTGAACAGGCAGGGGTTCATTCATTAGAGGCCACTGGCAGCAGGCGCGATCCGTGGGGTGCGTTACTGTTGGTCTGCAGGCAATGTTTGCTCTTTGGGGCGTCATGACAGGAGGTATGGTGCATATATTGTGGTTGTTGCATTGCGAGATTTCTGACCAATACGACCATGAAAGCTGAATCATTTACTACTTAATTGGATTGTTTGCGCTGGATAGCTAGTAGTGCCTCACAATTCGGTCTGCTATTGTCTATCGTTTAATGCAAGTGATGTGGCTATCCAAGGGTTCCGACTGGGTGTTGTGACACCTCCAAATAAAGTGTTGTGTTGAAGTAAGCTTCCAATACAATACAATACCGACCTCCGTCGCAAAGCTTCGACACATCCTTTTTCTTTCGTTCGGTCAGCCTCATCCTTCTTACAACCTCTCGATCAATTGCGGACCCCAAAGTTTTACTGGTCCATCCTTCCGACTTTTTGGCGTTCTGCTAATATCTTTTCTTGACTCCTTTCCTCGACCGTATTCTCCATTTAATTCCCCGACGAGCTATCGCCGTCCTGTCCCTTCCGTCATCATGGCCGCCGGCCAGCAAGCAGTCTCCTTCAATGAGATCATTAAAGCTGGTAAACTTTCAGTTGCCCAACGCTGTTTCTTCTGGTTTTTATTGACTTATTAATTATTGATTCTCTGTCTTAAGATCGCCAAAAGAGAAAGAATGAGGAACTAGCCAACAGCATCCTGGGGAAGAACAGAAGGACGAGCGCCCCGGGCGCCGGTAACAACAAGGCGCAAAATGCGACACAAGGCAGTCTGGCAAGTCGGATTGCGTAGCCAAGGTAAACGATAATTACGAACCATCACGCCATCCTCCGACAGAGAGAACTGATTTCAATGCGTTATTACCTAGCGTTCTGCACCTGCTCCCTCCAAGCCTAAAAAGGCCATCCGGACGCCGTCTGCACCAGCACGGGTCACCGCTTCGAACGCGAAACCCGGAAAGAAGCGTCGCCCCGATGAAGATCGCTTGATGTCTGCTTTGAACCCCGCGAGTGGACAAGCAACAGTTCGTGATGCCCCTGTCGGCCTTTCCATCAAGGGCGCAGGGTCGGGACCGTTTGTCGTGGTCGGAGGCAATTTCGCACCGGGCACTACCGCTGCAGATATTCAGTCGGCTTTGGAGCCTGTGACGGGAAATATCTTGCGTTGTTGGGTTACCTCGCAGCATCCTACGGTTACTGCAGAGGTCACGTTTGCAGAAAAATGGGCCGCAGAGAGCGCGATTGCCAATTTCCACAACCAGAGGGTTAGTTTGCTACGCCGACACGGTGATTTTTCAGTGTCTAATACATGATATAGGCGGATGGCAGAATCCTGTCCATGCGAATGAAGTCCGGCAGCGCCGGTTCCCAGGGCCAGGATTTATTCGAGCGTTCTGCGGGCACCCAAAACTCTTTCAGCGATCTTCGAGAACAAGAAAACCGTAAGCGCATGTTACATCGTGGAGCAGATCCTGCCGTTCAAGACGGAAGCTATGGGTTTGGTGGCCAGAACCAAGCAGCTGGTCGCGATGATGCCTCCGGGAACCGCAATAATAGACGCAACTTCCGAGGAAATCGAAACACGGGTACCAGCAGGAACCAAGCTCAACAATCAAACGAACAGAGTCTCTACAGCGATCAAATGATGGTCGATGCGCCCCCACGGAATCCCAGAAACCACCGGGGCCGGCGATAGACTACGGTGGACGTTTCGATAACAGCATTTCAATCATTGGATCTTAAATAACCGCCAAATGTAAGAATATCAATTGAAATCCCGGGTTTGGACACTTCCGATTAGTTTTACTTCATACAAGACATGGCATGTAGTGATTGATAATCGTACTTTTTTTGGGCGGGCAGAACTGATACGATATGATAAGGCCGATCACGTGCACCGGAACTTTTGCGGAGAAGATTTGGAGAACAAAACAATATACTTCAGCCATACTTCCAATACCACCTTTAATGATCCTTAGATACCACTCTTCCTCTTGATAATCCAAAGTTTACGGCCTTGAAGGCTTGGTGCCCCAAAATGAACCATGGAGCCCGGCGCGCCCTGACGCAATTGATCAGGAACCATCCCAAGCGGTCACTCGTCCTAAAACCATCACAGCGATGGTCCTCAACTTATGAAACCCGACAATGGTCCACGCCACTGGCGCGCACACTTGCGGATGCCATTAAAGTATTCAGCTCCGCTCCAGTCCATGTGCCCATCGAGAACCAGCTAACATTCGCCCAAGGTAACAGGACCCATCCCCATTGCAGCGTTCATGCGCCAGGTCCTCACCTCCCCGGAAGGTGGCTACTACACGACCAGACCCGCCGGCGACGGAGAGGTATTCGGCAAGAAAGGCGACTTTGTCACGTCACCGGAGATCTCGCAGGTGTTCGGTGAACTGGTCGGAATATGGACGATCGCGGAATGGATGGCGCAGGGACGCAAGAGTAGTGGGGTGCAGTTGATGGAGGTTGGTCCTGGGAAGGGAACGTTGATGGATGACATGTTGCGTGTGAGTCTAGCCGTCTTCTCTTCTCTATCTAGCAAAGCAAGAGAGATGTATTAGACCCCAGACTGACCGCCAGTGTCATTATCCAGACATTCAGGAACTTCAAAAGCTTCACCTCCAGCATTGAAGCGATCTACCTAGTCGAAGCAAGTCCCACACTAAGGGAAGTCCAAAAGCAACGTCTCTGCGGCGATGCCACGATGGAAGAAACAGAAATCGGCCATAAAAGCACCTGCAAATACTTCAACGTCCCTGTAATCTGGGTCGAGGACATCCGACTTCTCCCACACGGTTCGCATCCATCTCCAACCAACCAAAAGATCACCCACTAACAAATCCTCAAAAAAAACAGAAGAAGACAAAACCCCCTTCATAATCGCCCACGAATTCTTCGATGCCCTGCCCATCCACGCCTTCGAATCCATCCCGCCCTCCCCCGAAAACCAACCCCCGCAGGACACAATAATGACGCCCACGGGCCCAACAAAACTCCACAAGCCCCTCAAACCCGCCAACACACCTCAATGGCGCGAACTTATGGTGACACTGAACCCGAAAGCCATCGATGAGGACCTCCCCAACGAACCCGAATTCACACTCACCCTCGCCAAAGCCTCAACTCCCTCCTCGCTCGTCATCCCCGAGATCTCCCCGCGCTACCGCGCTCTCAAGTCCCAGGCAGGCTCAACCGTCGAAATCAGCCCGGAAAGTCGCATCTACGCGTCCGATTTCGCCCGTCGCATCGGCGGCGCCTCGCAGCCGCCCCGCACCAGTTCCAGGAGTGCGTCTGCGCAGCCGGCACCAGCCAAGCGCATCCCCTCCGGCGCGGCCCTGATCATGGACTACGGGACCATGAACACCATCCCCGTGAACTCGCTGCGGGGCATCCAGCATCACCGCAAGGTTCCACCGCTGTCGGCGCCGGGGCAGGTAGATGTGAGTGCCGATGTGGATTTCACGGCATTGGCAGAGGCGGCGATTGAAGAGAGCGAGGGGGTAGAGGTTCACGGGCCTGTGGAGCAGGGAGATTTCCTGCAGACGATGGGCATTACCGAGCGCATGCAGCAGCTGCTTAAGCATGAGAAGGATGAGGAGAGGAGGAAAACATTAGAAACAGGATGGCAGCGCTTGGTGGAGAAGGGGGGTGGTGGCATGGGCAAGATCTATAAATTCATGGCCATTGTGCCGGAGAACGAAGGGAAGAGGAGGCCGGTTGGGTTTGGAGGTGGGATTGAGCTTTAGTGCTTTTTAGCTGTTAGTATATTGGGGAGCTTCGGCGGTGGTGGGGATTGTACTATAGATTTTCTTTTGTATTTTATGCATATCCTGATATAGAGGTATGGGGAAGCGAAGAACTGTTTGAATGGGAAACGCGAAGGAAATAGACAGCCCTAATTAGACAAAATCTACTAGGTGTATTGTATGGGTGCAAGGTTCGCGTAATGGCTGAAACAGACAACTGCCCCGGAATTCACACCGGCCTTTACGTTGCATCTCTGTGGTTACATAGGAGGTCTAAGGAATCCGTATGAGCCGAATAAACCGGAGCTACTCTAGACAGGGCTCGATTCGACGGGGCCATAACATATCCAAAACCAGAACATCCAGCCCTCACTCCAGCGCACATAAGCTCAAACCCCTAACCCAAAAGCACAAACCAAACCCCAACCCAAAAGCCTTAAGACAACACAAAACGCCCGACACACGAGAGCGCCCAGTCACAGCCCGCAATCTACAGTCCCCCAAAGAAGTTCCCAAAGCTCCCCAAAGGCGACGACCCAGACCCAGACTCAGAAGAAGAGCCCGCAGCCGGCGAAGTCGACGCAGCCGACGTATCCGAAGAAGAAGAAGAAGAAGAAGAAGCAGCACTCAACTTCCCCAACAAGAACTGCGTGGCTTCATCTGTATTGGCAAAATAAGTGAAATGGGCCGGGCCGACGATCAAAGTGCCATCGCAGACCATATCGCCCATAGCACAGTAGACCTTGACCTTATCCTTGGGGAAGTTCGCGATCTGGCCGTGTTCCTGGGCGTTGCGCGTGTAGCCGAAGAGCACGACACCCTTGATCTTCTCCTTGACGTTGTCTGGGAGACGCTTGATGGAGTCGTCCATGACGGCTGTGCCTTGGCTGCTGAAGGTTAGCTACTACCGCTACCGCTACTGTACTCCGGAGTATTGTTCATAGTAGGCAGAGTAGGTTGGGCGACAAACCTATATCCACCGGCAACGATTTGCGTGTCCGGGCATTTGGTGACGGCCTGCTGGAACAGGTCTTGGGCTTCTTGGATGGCCGCTGGAGATGTGTTCTCGGGCAGTGCGTTGGAGGGCAGATCGGCTGTGTACTTGGGGCCGACGCCCTGACACGCTACTTGGCCTGGTTTGGCTTTCTTTAGGCCGTTGCAGACTGCGGGGCCGGTTGATATGCCCTAATAGTAATAAACGAGTATGTCAGTGCTTGGGGAAACAGTAGTGGTTAGGGTTGGGGCTGACCAGAAGTCCGGGCTCCGTGGAAGCACGGGCGAAGATGAAGGTAATGGGCTTGCAAGAGCCATCGCGCAGCTCGTTTCCGCCGCCGCCAATGACTGCTCGAGTCGGACGTGGTTAGCCAGGGGACGACTCGTTCAAGTACGAGTGGATCAAGCAAGAGAGAGGGTGGGTATTTAGACCGTCCACATACGCTGGCGTTCCTGGATGTCTACTGGGGTTGCAGCCGCCACAGCAGCAAGAGCAAGAGTCAACAGGCGGAGATTCATGATGGCCGGTTAAGTGTGTGTGAACGACTATGTTTGAGTAGTAATCCTTTGTGTACAGAGTACAACATGTTGAGCAGAATCGGCCATCTTTATATATAGTCCAAGCAACTAGCGATGCCAGCCAACAGGGTATACTTCGGCATTCAGTACCATATCAACTGAACTCGACATCTTTTGTCGCTAGCAGCTCAGTGGCCAGGGCCATCGTTTTAGCGTGTTGATATGTAGAATGCGGCGGTGTTTCGGACTGTGCACTAGTGTTAGCCAAGGGACCACTTCTCGGGGCACATATCCCCAGCTGAGGCAGCGATCGGTGGGGGGGAACCAGATCCAAGGGGGTCAGGGGAATACCCCCGATCAGTGGCAGATCAGATACCGAACCCGACGGCTTTTGTCTCTGATGAGGTTCTACCGAGGCAAGTGGTCTCGGGATGGGGTTATTAGTTGATACTTAATAGTGGCTGGGGGTTAGGGTTAGGTCGGAAGATGGAGGCCGGCAGAGCTCTACTGTCTGTCTTGGTTATATTATAGGGGCTGCAAAGGGCTCAGGTCAGATTTTTTTGTACTGCGTATAACTATTTAATTTCTGATTTCTTTAGGGCTCTTGTTATAACTTATATAATATTGGATTTTAAAGGATGAATTACTGTATACTAAAGGATCTTAACTTAACTTCAACGAAGATTATATGAATAAATAGCCTATATAAAACAAAGATCTTTGAAAATTTGTACTTGGATGAATAGATCAATAAAAGATAGTTTCACACCTTGTAAAACTTAAAAAATGATATACCTAAGGTAGGGGGAATTTCTCCAAGGCCTTTAGGGCTGTTTTGCTCGCCCTGATCTCCTTGCACTAAGCCCAAACCCGGAACTCTCCAGAGACCAGAGCTAACACCGTGTTGCCGTTAGTTTAATGAAACTGATCAGCGGGTGCCCTGACATTTGGGTTCTTCTTCGGACGAACTCCCCAAAACTGCATAGCACCGTGAAGAACCATTCTTGAGCATCTCATCTCAACAACCCAGGCTTAAACCCCCCCTAAATCTCTCGCCGATCTTCCAATACAGATACCGCACCAAAAGCAAGGGTAAGAAAACTAGGCGATAGGCTTAAACCTCAGAGCTCAGTAGATTAAAGGGCTTCCCCTTCCCAAAAATAGGCAGAAGAAAAAATAACAGCACCTCATGACTCATGAGAATAGTGAATGGGAAGGGATGCAAGCCTGGTCAAAACTCCATACAATATGGTGATGTCGCGAAGCACTACAGATAGAAAACTGTGGTCCCGAATATACAAAACACGTCGATTAAATCTCGGAGAAATGTTTCAGTCTGACCAGGGATCGTACCCTGTATCAGGATGGGGCCATCCGAAATCCTCTGCGATGTCTGACCACCGAAGTGTTTCAGGGTCATCGTATCCATCGGATGCCTCGATATCAGAAGATTCCTCAAAAACCAGCAACTGGGATGCATTCCCCGGAGGTCCGCGGCATGTTGATGGCTGTTTCGCTGTTGCCTGCTGTTGCTTTGCTGTCATCTTCGCTTTCTGGGTTTTCTTCTGACGCTTTCTTTCTTCTCGCTGTTTTACCTCGGCGTCATGTTGGGCCTTCGCATTTCCAGCCCACACCGTTAGGCCTTCGGGGTTCCGCACACACGACAGGACCACATCTCGCGTCGCGAGTGTGTCTTCCAAGCACACGTGGGGATGATTATCCGACTGGATACGTAGTTTCAAAAATGCCTCCGACAGTGTCTTTAGACTATAGAGGCGCTTAAATGCAGAGGAATAACCAAACACAGCTTCGCTAGCTAAGATCACCGAGTCAACAACTCGCAAGTGGTAGATCCCCAGGACGTCCAGGTCGGAATTAAGGGCGTGGCCAATGAGGATGGTTTGCGCATCAATGTATTTGTATAGTTCCTGTCGCGCGGACTGCCATCCATCAAGCGCCTGTCCTTGTGCTACAGCCTTGGCCATTGCAGCTGGCGTTATGCCGCTGATCCTCGTCGTCCAGTCGGTTACCTTCCCCGTCGGCCGGACGTAGTTGTTGATGAGAACTTCCCCAGTGAGGAAGTCAACGGCGCTCAGAAAGGCGACTTCTCTTTGCCATCTTCTCACCTGGACCATTTCGCAATCAAGGACGACGGCTCTTCTCGCTCCGTACAGATTCAACACGGGTGTTTCCAGAAAGTGTTTTCGTGCAACAGTAGCTCTCTTCGGATTCAATTGGTTACCTTGAGCCAGACTTAGCATGGCATAACCTTGCTTTTGAAGACGAGCAGGCGAATGACACTTTGTAAGAAGATCTGCGTATGCAAGCTCTTGCTCTACAGGAGTGAGGGTCGTGAAGAAGTTGCCATTATAGTATAGTCGCACTTCATTCAGAAGGCCACTAATAGGTACAGCATTCTCCAAGTGATCTTGTAGTGTGGTACTACTGGCATGGGATAAAGCTGATTGCGAATTAGCGGCTTTCGCTTAGTGTATCTAGAGGTACTATGCCCTACCGATAGCTGGCTTCTTTACACCTTGATCGACGAGCAACTGTACTTGTTGTTGTTCTTGCCGCCGTTGCTCCTGCTGCTGCACTTGTCGGTTGTCTTGCTGTTTTTCTTGTCGCGGTGAAGAGCCTTGTGCGGGAGACACTAAGGTAGGAACAGCTTTCTTTTTCTTCTTGGGTACAGGGTGTCGGTCGTGGGATGATCTCCGGTGATCATCACGGCCTTTTTCAGTACCAAACTCCTTGTTGCATACGGGACAAACAGCGTGGTGGTGACCTAGGGCAGCCTGATGTTTTGCAAGCCCTATAGCGGACTTGAAGGAATCCTTTTTACAGCGTAGACATTTAAACTTCTTGGCCGGCGCCGACTGGTTCGCCAACGACGGGTTCTCATTGAGGGCCATGTCTTAACAGACCAAGGCAATCAGGTCGACTACTAGTAGTGTTGGCATGCGAAAAGAACAAAATACAAAATGTGCTCGGACGACAAATCAACCCAGACTCGGATGGGTTGGAGAGGTCTTTAATACCTCTTTTTACCCCACCACAGCCTCATTCACACGCAAGCATGGTGAGCCATTGCATTGTACTAGCAGGAGACCATTGGCTGACATGTATTGCTCGCATGCGCTGCCGCAGCAGGCTGGCGGCAACTGGAACATGTCGGTATCGTTTAGCGAGACAGGCCCTATCATTTGAGGACGGATATCGGTTGGTCAGTTGTCGATTCATGCGTCGTCTTGGGAGTTCGGACCACATGATCGCCGTTGGAATGAAATCCCTGTCACGGGGTAAGACACATCGCGTTCATTTATTAGTAGTGCAAGAGAGAAAGCCAACACTTGCTCTCCATGCCACTTGGCACCATCGGCCAACAGACAGCAACACATGCAATGCAATCGACGGTGCAGTTCCCCCGCACTCCGTCTCCCGTTGTTATCAGTTCGAATCCACATAGTGGTCTCCCGATGGCTTTGGATTAATGCCAACATTTGGTTAGTATGCTTTACGCATACATAACACGACCTGGGTCTTTTGCGCAGGCAACAAAGAGAGAGAGAGAGAAAATAAATCAAAGACAAAGCAACACACACAAGAACTCGACGCTCGATGTCATCTACACCAACCCCAACAAACAAACCCAATTTTGTTAAAACAGAATTAAAACCAAACCAAACCAATCTATTACAGCTCTAACCGGGTATCTCCCATGCACAGCTCTAACCAATCATGAAAATGAACCAAGGAAAAAAAATAGCCGCAGCGAAGGGGCTCCGGCGCCAAAACAACTCAATACTCCTGCCAGATATCCTCCACATACGCCTCCGTCAATCTCGTATCCTTGCCATATTTATCCTGCCACTGTACAAACCCACCCTCCAGCACGTAGACCTCCTGCTTCCGGCTCTCCTCGGCGCCCAACACATACTCCCGTTCGCGGACATAGCGCAGGGCGGCGGACGGACCACGCTGCTGGCTGAGGGCACAGTGGAACACAACCGTCTCTTTGTCCTTCAGTGTGCGGATGAGCTCGGGCAGGCGGACGTCGAGGGAAGAGCTTGGGACCCAGGTTGAGGAGACGATGTGGCCGCCGACGTGGTCTGGGTTTGTAGGTTAGAGTATAGAATACAGATAGGGATATATCTGAGAGGTATTACTGACCAGAGTCCCGTACATCGATAACAGCCAAGTTACTGGGAGTACTGGTAGAAAGAAGCAAGGCTGCGAGGGCATCCCGACTCATGCGGGGAAGAGTTGCGATGGAGATAGAGGACATTGTAAATAGTAGGTGGCCGAGGAGTCTCTAATTCGTAAATCTAAGAGAGCCAGGAAGAAAATATATTGCAACCGCAGCGACCGATATCAAATCCCAAAAGGAGGAACTTCCAATCTAGTGAAATCCAGAAGAAAAAGACCGCCGTGGTGTCGAAGTATGCAACATCAACCCTGGTCACGTGAACACAGATTTCCGGTCTGGAAATTTGGAGCCAAAGTATCCGGAGAATTCAACACTGCAACCCAGCCGGCTCCATCACCGCCATTACTATCCCTGAAATCTCGAGAAGGCTCATCGAGGAGACCGGAACCGACGACTCTCCTGAATTCCACGTGAAAAGCCTCCCCTCGGCCCCGCAATCACAATGGAGATGCGCTCCCTAACCCGCTGCCTCCGTTCGAGGCCGACATCTCTTCTCTACAAGCAGCAACCAGGCCTCCTTGCAACCCAATTCATGAACAGATCCGCCATCCGCAGTTATGCTAGCAAACCCTCGGAACCCACAAAGGCCCCGACCCAAACCGCAACGCAAGCCCCCTCTGACTTCGACGAGATCCTTTCCAAACTAAACATCAACAACCGCGAATCCGCTGCTGAAGGTTCACGGAGCCGTTCTTCCGAAGACCCCCTCGCGCTCTCTCGCGCCGTGGGCATGTCCGCAGAGACAGAGAACTATCGGACTCCCGTGCGGCGGGTGGAGCTGAAGTTGGGACCTACTCTCGGTCGTCAGGTGCACGTGGAGCCGGAAAAGGGCACGGATTTGGCCTCGGCGCTGAGGATATTGCAAGCGACATGCACGGCGAATAAGATCCGGTACCAGGCCAATGGCCAGAAGTTCCACATCAGACGGGGACAAGTGAGGAAGAACTTGAAGATGGACAGGTGGAGGAAGCTGTTCAAGTTCTCGTTCCAGAAGACGGTTAGTCGGATCGAGAAGATGAGGGCGCAGGGATGGTAATTACGTTTGGTCTTTAATGGTGTATCATTACGGCTTGTCTTGGGGTGTACATAAAATGGGATTGCAAAGGTCGCCGTCGTTGGGATCGAAGGGAGATCGCATGTTATCCTGCTCACCTGCAGTGGATGTTCTTTCTGTCATGTATACTATGTCACTTGATTAGTACTTGGAGTTAGCTGGCTACAATCAGAATGGGATCTATATCCAGTTACTGTCAGTACTAGAGACGTCTATATCTACCGCAATCTAATCTTTCTTCCCAGCCGTGAACCCGCCGTACCCATACCCTCCTCCGTTCCCCGTCATTGAGACGTTGCTGGCGGAATAACCCCCGTAACCATTGGATTTCGCGCCATTCCCATACGTAATCCCAACCGACCCCTTGCCCCGAGACGGAACACCGAGAATACCATCGCCTCGCCAGCCCCGTCGCCGAGCTCGTTCCCAATACAAGGCCATGGCTGCTCCCAATGATGCAGCCAGAACGAAGAAAAACAGCTTCGAGAAGAACCCTGTTCCCCCCGACAATTCGCTAATAGAAGACCCCCGAGATGGCCATCCAATGCCTCCTCCACCCTCAACCCAACTCACATGAAAAGTGAAGGTGAGAGGCTGCTCACGAACGACTTTCGTACCATGCCCCGCTGTCCAAGGCTCACGAGCTGCCTCGGCCACGGCAGCGGCCTCCTTCTCCTCCTCGGAAACCTTCTTCTTGCCATTGAGAAAGGACAATTCAAACTCGGGTACGGAGTATGCAGTACCGGCTACGGCATAGCCCGGCGCTGTTTTCTTGGCCTTTCGTTTATTCTTCTTTGGCTTCGAGATGATGTTGTGCATGAGCACATTCATATCGGTCCAGATATGAAGATGACTGAGCTGCAACGTCCCCTGCAGCGCAAAGGTGATTGGAGTATAAGGAGGTCCTTCCTCACTAAGCGCAGAAAGCTCGGCGCCTACGGCCTCGTCTTCATGTGCCTTGTCCTCTGAACGCGAAAATGTGGGCGGCAGGAGCGGCGCCGTAGGCACACGGCAGTTCATCGGCACATCGGAGTGGACATAATACTCGAGCAGGTGGTAGAGCTCATCCGAAACTTTGTCAATAGTGCAATTGACTGTCTCAGTAACACCGTAGCGAAGGGCGAGGGGGAGGGAGGTCTCCTTGCAGGTCGGGAATGGAATGTATTGGAGTTTGCCGAGACTGTCGGTGATCTGGAGAATTTGCGTTAGCACACATACAATCCATTGAAATCCTCAATCTGGCATGACTCGATGGTCAATAGGTGCGGGGAGCATTACATGTTCGCCGGAGTCACTAAAAAACCGGAGTCAGCGTTAACATCTATTGACAAGTCATATCGCAACAAAACAAACGAGAGTCTCCTCCACCTCGCGTTCGGAATTACTTTTTATCATTCAATCACACTCACATTGTCCGATTCAAGCATGTCACCGGCATGGGCTGTCCGTGAAAATATCCACCCTGAGAGGCACTCGCCGAGTTGCCTCCTGCAGCAACCTGCACCGCAAAAGATGAAATCAGTCCATAATAGGAGATCGCATTGAACAATTGAACAAGTCCACCCTTTACAAATGGCATGTTAAATACTCATACCCCGCCAGCGAGGCGGAAGGACTCTCTTTCTAATGTCGAGTCGAAGTTGCAGAGAGGAGCCACGGTGGCGAGCCGCACATCCAAGGGAAACTAAGGCCGAGCTGGGCCAATCTTGCCAACCTTGGGAAGGCCACTTGGTCCCGTTCCATGCAATGAACTACACCTTGTCATCGCAACCTCGTCGGGTCGCAACAATTGCTCCCGTTTCAATTACAGTGACTTAGAAATGGGGCGAATATTTGAAGATTACTACACATATCTCATTCAATGGGATGTGACTAATTAACAGAAAGGTGACTCCTCATGTCCTCGTCAAGATGGAAATATTATACTCCTTTTTTGTCTGTTCAATTTAGGACAGGCTTACACAATGGCAACACCTATGCCAGGTTGGCCTTCTGCTTGAAGGCGGCCAGCAGACCGCTGGTTGAAGCATCGTGACCAGCGCCAGCGCCAGAGGTCTCCAGCTCCTGCTGGATCTTCTTGGCAAGAACCTTGCCCAGCTCCACACCCCACTGGTCGAAGGAGTTGATGTTCCAGACGGCACCCTCAGTGAAGGTGAGGTGCTCGTAGTACGCGATCAAAGCACCGAGAGTGGAGGGAGTGATCTTCTGAGCCAGAATCGAAGTGGTAGGGCGGTTTCCAAGGAAGGTCTTGTGGGGGACCAAGTTGTCGGGGGCACCTTCAGTCTTGACCTGCTCGGGGGTCTTACCGACCATCAAGGCCTCGGACTGAGCAAGGAAGTTGGATGCGAGCATACGCTGGTGCTTGCCACCCTCGACAGGGTTGTGGGACTCGGCAGCCATGATGAAGTCCGACGGGATGAGCTTGGTGCCCTGGTGGAGCAACTGGAAGAAGCTGTGCTGGGCGTTGGTGGCAGGCTCGCCAAACAGGATAGGGCCAGTGGTGTACTTGACGTATTCGCCAGAGCGGGTAATGGCCTTGCCGTTGCTCTCCATGGAGAGCTGCTGCAGGTAGGCAGGGAATCGGTGCAGGTACTGATCGAAAGGTGCAACCAGGTGAGTCTGGGCACCGAAGAAGTCGCTGTACCACACACTCAGCAAACCACCAATGGCGGGAATGTTCTGCTCCAGAGGAGCTTCACGGAAGTGCTTGTCCATGGCCTGGGCACCAGCCAAGAACTGGTGGAAGTTCTCGTAACCGATGTAGAGGGCAACGGAGAGACCGATAGCACTCCAGACGGAGTAGCGACCACCCACCCAGGATTCGAAGCCGAACATGTTCTTCTTGTCAATGCCAAACTTGGTGACCTCGGCCTCGTTAGTGGAAAGGGCAACGAAGTGCTTGGCGATATGGGATTCATCCTTGGCAGTCTCGAGGAACCACTTCTTGGCGCTGTTCGCGTTGGTAGTGGTCTCTGCGGTGGTGAAGGTCTTGGAAGCGATCAGGAAGAGGGTAGTTTCAGGGTTGGAGTCCTTGAGGGCCTCGGCAATGTGAGTTCCATCAATGTTGGAGACAAAGTGCAGCTTCATATCCGGAGCACCGTATGGCTTCAGGGCCTCGGTGACCATAACCGGGCCACTATAACAGCTGTTAGTGACTTGCGAAACTTTGAAACTTCACGGCGAGAACTTACAGATCAGAACCACCGATACCAATGTTGATGACGGTGTCAATCTTCTTGCCAGTGTAACCCTTCCACTCACCACTGCGGACCTGTTCGGAGAACTCCTTCATGTGCTCCAACACGGCGTTCACCTCCTCGACAACGCTCTTGCCATCGACCTGCATGGGCTCGTTGGAGACATTGCGGAGAGCAGCGTGGTAGACAGCACGATCCTCAGTGAAGTTGATGTGCTCACCCTTGAACATAGCATCGCGGAGCTCCTCAACATTGGCCTCCTTGGCCAGCTTGACCAGAAGGGAGAGGGTCTCCTCGGTGAGGAAGTTCTTAGAGAAATCGAAGAGGACGTCCGAGTTGTCCACAGTGTTCTTGAAGGTACGGCTGAACTTCTCGAAGCGCTGAGGGTCCTTCTCGAAGGCCTCCTTCAGGACAATGTTACGACCGACAGCGGTGTGGTGCTCCTGGAGCTCCTTCCAGGCGGAGAGCTCGGTAGCCTGCGAGAAAGCCGGCATGGTGATGGCTTTTGTTTGAAAATCTACAGCAGAGATAGCTTAAGGTCAGTGCGGGGAAGCTCTTAACAGCAAGGAATCAAGAAAAGAAGAGTCATGAAATGAACGAGCTCAACCCGAGAAAGGCATACCTGATTATAAGAGAAAGTCACCAAGACGAATGTCCAAGAAGAATGGATGGCTGGGAAAGAAACGGAGGGAAAAAGACAACGGGAGTCGCGGAGGGGCAGATGACGCTTGAAGGTGGGCAGACAAACACTGGCCTGAATCCTATGGCGTCAACCGGTGTGCTGGGGTCCGGCTTTGGAGGGGCTGCCGTGGGGCTCCTCACCTTTTTTTTCCCTTCCAAGAAATTATCCGTTCTTACCAACTGGACCGGGACCTGTCTAGACTACTCATCCTTTGTCAGATATTATATCCTCATGAGGCGATTATTATTAATGCGATTACTACGACATTGTCGATCTCCTGCAATTTGCGTGGTGAGCAACTTGCCGGCGGTTGACCATTATCAACTCCGGAGTTATGGGCCCCGACGGACCACCTACCGGTGGGCAACTAACTATAGCTTTGGCAGCCAAAAAGCCAATCGTCATAATGTCTTACTAGATACTTAATCAGCTTGTCAAACGTCAAAGCTATCTAAATTAACAAACTTTTTTTTTCTCTGCAATTTCTTCTCACCTCGTGATCACAATCTTGCATAAACTTTTACCGTCCGGCAATAGGATGATCGAGATAAATTCCTTTCTCTAAAAGGTACTCGGAAATCATTGACCGGTGATAAATCTGGGACGGGAACTCTATCGATTGACGGCTCGCCGTCGAGTAGACTGAGTTTCTCCGTCCGCCGGTTAATTGCAATCGACGGATCGAGACTTTTTCGTTCCCCTTTCGAAATTCTTCTGGAAAGCGCAGGAATCTGGTCAGTTGGGGCTGTCAAACCTGACACCCTGTCAAAACATATGTAAATAGATTCACATACCTATCATAGACGCCTGTCTATAAAAGTATCCTCAACCAAGATTGCTCGGAATCCACTATGAAGATCGCTGCAAGCATGTCCACAGCATGAATGATCTGGTAACCACGCCAATTCCTAAAAGCAATGGTTTATGGGACTCTATGAGGTTAAACTATTGTTTAAGATTGATGTTATAACTCTATACGGCTATGTGATGCGGTGACCGTACCCGGCCACGCCGATCAAATGAGCTCAAATCTATACAATAGTCACATAATTTTCTAATACGGGGTGAGGGTAACTTTACGACGCATGACATTTCCGATAGTGGCTAGTATGCTCAGCTCAGCACAAATAGTAGGATAGCGGTCTATGAAAGCCTTGAAATTCAAATCCTTTTAACTTCGTCCCAACAGATTGTTTCCCATGAATACCTGAGTGGTTGTCTTTTGTACTTTTGACCATGGCATTGCCGGCTACCAACTTGAAACTTACTATAGCTCAAGCGATGCAACTGTTCCTACTAGGGAAGTACTCCTAGAGTCAAACCTCTTTGGCTTATCAAGAAGCCGGAAAAGGAAACCAAAACGATAGAGGTGTCTATCAAAGTGTGGTTCAAGTTACTTCTACCGATACCATCACACGTGTCAGCCAATTCTGATTACTCCGGAGTAGTTTAATCCCTGTCCTCAACAACTTGGTAAGGATTAAGCGAGCCAGCAGAGGCTACTATAGGAATTGAGCCCCGTTAGCAGCCAGTGCTGATCTCCATGCCAGTTTCTTTTCTTCATGGACTTTGAAAAGTGTTTCCTAACTGCTTTTGTTTTCTATGCAATCCTCAGTGGTCATTCTCCTGTGCATACCCTCCTCGACTTTGGGAAGAAGCAGGCGTCAGCCCAAATGCCTCTCTTCTGCATTCTTTCGCAATCTACATTGGATGATCTCGTACACAAATTGCAAAGTACTTCCGAATGAGTTGTTGCTATTGTCCCTTAGGACAAGGTTTTGCAAGAATTCTTAGAAGCGCAGGCTTCAGCCTCATTCTGACTGCCGGGCATATCTAACCTAGGAATTGAAATGGCAATATGAGCGAAGAAACTTGTCAAGTTGAAATGTTTACTTATTAATGTCATTCTAGGTTTCACATACCATACACCTGTTTCACAAGAACAATAAGGTCGATTGGCCTCAATTGTCACCACCAGTTAGCTTGGGCCGTTACCATGACATTCGAAACCACTTTTTGGCAAACCGGAGGCGATTTAGACATATTAACGACTATAGACCGTCTGAAGTAATTCCAGAAGCCCGGGTATAGAGTATAGTGTGTACAGTATAATGGTTTTGCAAGTCCTAATGTACATACATAGAATAGCTGAGTGATGCATCACCCACGTCAACCTTCAGTTCTATTTCTTACAGATGAACCCTACTTCAAGCTTCCGCCAATGGAGACATGTATCGATCTAACCTCAATACTCTGCTGCGCATTCAAGATACCCTCGAAGACATTATATCCCTATCACAGGTATAAACAGTGGCAAGGCGCTGACATCAAGTAGCCCCAAGACGCTGGTATAAGATCGTCGGTATTAGCAACTAGATTATTGTTTCTTACAATTTCTTGTGCATTCAACGACTTCAATCTATACTCCAGTACAGTTAATTGCTCCCTGTAAGTAAACAACATTAATCACAAGGTCTTCCGCCGAAGAAAGAGTCAACACCATATGTGGCTACAAGGCGTTAGTACTCCTGCAGTATTATCCAGAACCCTCAATGAAACTAGCTAAAAAAAATATACAGCACCCTCGGCAACCCCAGAGTCTCGGACGAGGCGAAGCAAAGTGCCCAGGAGATGCTCGACAAGCTTGGCGTTGACCAGCCCTAGCCATGACCTCTACAGCGCAAGCGGTGAGCGAAACAAGGATCCGATGAGAGTCAGTACTGAATTCAAAGCGTACGTATTACAGTTGATACCATTTCATAAGGTCGGACACTTGTTCAGATATACTGACCCGTGTCTAGTTCCGCGCATAACCCTAATGTATCAGATGAAGCAAGGCGCAGTGCTGCTGACAGAGTTGGCGAGAATCCTGAGTAAATCAGATTCGTATTGTGAAATGTGACGATTTGGTTGTATTCACTATGTGAAAATTTGAATAGAAATTGAGATATAACCGGGGTATCCTCTGTTCTATCCTCGATATGAATTACCCAGCTTGCTGCTGTAATACTGTGTGGTAAGCCATAGACGGACAGTCAGTAATTTGTGGACAGACCGTAGTACTTCTTGAATCCTGTTCCCTAGTATTGCAATTGGTCAGGAAATCTATCTGCAATTAAAGTGCCTTGTGGGTAGCGAATTTCAACCCCAAGAATTATAGCGGAAAGCAAAGCTGATTGAGTGGATTTTTCAATTACACAATGCAAAAAGCGGCGAGTAGTATAGTAGAATGGTTGTTTTCATAGCAAGTGGAGCACCTAGTACATCATCTCATACCCATAGAACAATCAATCCATTAACTACCATACTACTAGTAGTAGAGTCCAGATCTCTGAAGTTTAACTCAAACCTAAAAACTAGTTTTCCCTACTAGTAGATAGAACGTCAGCAATACTATACTATATTTGTCCACTCAATCGGAACAGTTCCCCTGCTTTACTAAGTCATCTCCCCGTAAGAGGTGGACATTGTGGCATCCAGGTTATATTTATCACTAGAGTATACATCCTACATCATCATCATGTAATCATGTATCCATCCTCAGTCTGCAGCCCGCAATATAAATATGCGGAATAATCAGCTGGTATGACCTACAAACGTTTCTTCTCTCCAAACACTGAAACCCACATACCACAATAAATTGCTCAACCTACTGTGGACTACTCAGAATCTCAATTTTCATACTACACATCAGCAAAATGGCCTACAACCAGAACCCCGGAAACTTTTGCCAATCGCCCCCATGACGAGGTCGAGGACATTGCCCGCAAGGGAGGCCAATCAAGCCGCCAAAGGTGGTTTCGCCAACATGGACGAGGATAAGCAGGTATGTTCATTGCCAATGCCCTGTGAACCTTATGTTTAGGAGTGTGTTCCTAACTTCATTTTTGCAGCGAAATATCGCCTCGAAGGGCGGTCACGCTTCGTCAGGCAGCTTCCGTCCTGGAGACCCTCGGGCTAGGGAGGCTGGTCACAAGGGTGGAAAGGTTACTGGACACCCGGCGGAGTAACGTTCTACATGCTTCTGAGTTGAAGAGGGTGAAAGTTGTACCACAGTAAACGATTATGTCAACGAACCCCGAATGAATTTATAATATGATTATCTTTCTTGATTTAATGCATTGTCATGAATAAATATCATTGTTCTTCTCAAGGCTAGTTAGTGGTGTTTGATATGAATATAGGCTGCGGTCTCCTAGGTAGCTAGAACTAGAGCTGCGCGCCTTCCAGCGGTATAAGAATACCATTATTGCAGTAATACTTGATTTATATTATATAATGAACCGATATGTATGAGTAATTTACTTTCATGTCTGATGTAGTTTACTTCGATCAACATCCTTTACACAACATGTTGTCAGGAGTCCCCTGAAGCGGTAATTCGGGAACTTCGCTTCACGTCTCCATGTACCAGCTTTTTTAAGTTCTTATTGTAAGCTTATGCTCGTGTTAATCTGCCTATACTGTAAAAATCTTTGCTACACCAATCCTCAGGCGTCCGGGTTGTATATATATATATATGTACCTGATGGATAACATTACAACACTCAGGACGTTGGGCACAATCTTATCTAGTCTCCGAATTAGCAGCCTTGATACTTTAAATATTCGATTGAATAAACAAAATAACTGTAGACCATAATTTCAGTGAAGCCTGGGAGTTCTAACCAGGGCAGTCAATTATTCTGCTCCGATGCGCCAAGACATATCACGCACGGACCACTTGAACTTTGAACAAGCAAATCGGTCCTTACCGTCGCGAACTTCTCCAACCAACCCAGAAGGCATTATCTCTCTCCCCCAGATCGAGGTGTGCTCTTGATAACCTTCGGTTTCATCCGGTCTTCTTAGATCCTACATCATAATCAATTCATCCTGAACTTATTTGTCTCCAGACACTAACATCCACCGGAGACCATCGAAACCTTTTAATTTTCCTTGCGTGATCGTTGCCCATTGCACTGGAGCTGCGAATCCGTCGCAATGTATAATCCTTACCAAGGTACGCAGGATACACCTCCCAAATAACAACTTTGCATGTCTTCAGACTATTTGCAGGTTACTGACTCCATCCTAAAGCTCCAGGTCTATATGGAAGGCCACCTGATTTCGGGGCCTACCCGGGAGCTCCTCCCGGCATGGGTAAGTGCCACCGGCTGGCGCCTGTTGTCTGATATTCTCCTAATTACGAATATACAGCTCCCCCTCCCGGAATGTCCGCCCCCGGAACCACTCCGCCGCCTGGGATGCAGCAAGCGAATGCCCAACAGCCAGGCCGGCCTGCGGGCTTCCCTGCGAACTTCCAACCGCCTCCGAATATGCCCAACATCAATTTCTCCGCGCCTGTGATTCGCCTGGGAACGTCGGGACCGTCGAAGTCAGCTACTCCGGATACCAACAAGGAGCGCGAAGCCCCAGGAAGACGTGCCGGGTTGGGCTCATCGAATCTGGAAACCCAGCGCCAGAATGTGCGAGATGCGATGCTGCAGCTGCAGCCGCCGACTAGGGATGAGATCGTTCGGACGCTCTTTGTTGGGGGGATTACGGAGGGTGTTGGCGGCGATGAGGGCGTTGAGAACATTTTGCGGTCTGCTGGGAATCTTAGGCGCTGGATCCGTGCTACGGATGCGGATGAAAAGCCGTGCAAGTTCGGTTTCGCTGAGTACGAGGACCCCGAGAGTCTGGGTACAGCCGTAGAAGTACTAAAGGACGTCGAAGTGCCTTTGAAGAGACAGACGCCGTCGGAGGGCGGTAACAAGGAAGATAGTGAGATTGAAAAGACCCAACTACTGGTAGGTAGTATACATGTGGGGAAGTTACGAGTCAATGCTAACGGGTTGTTTACACTAGGTTGTTGTTGACGAGAGCTCTCTGAAATACCTAGAGCAATATGAGGCTAGCAGAGGCGAGGAGGACCCCACGGAGCGGCAATCCCGCATAGATGCTGCGCGCTCGACTCTCTCCAGCGTCCTTTCGGATTTGTTCCACCCGTCATCGCCCACCCAGAAAGAGGATGTTTCGGGTATTGACCGTGAAGGGGACACTGCGATGAAGGATGCAGAGGGCCAGGATGGTGCATCGGCTGAAGTTGTCACTATCCCCATCACAGTCGAAGATGAGCTATCTGATATTCCTCCAGAAATGAGGGAAACGGTTGCTAAGGAGATCGCAGCTTTCCGCGAGAGAAGCAACCGTAGGGATATCGAGCGCCTGAAGAGAGAGGAAGAGATCGAGTCCATGGAAAGAGCACGCAACTCAGGTTCTCGCCTCAACCGCCTGGCTTCCCCTCCGCCCACGGCACCAAGCGGACCCGCTGCTGGGGCAAACGGGATTCCTCTTGGTCCTCGGGACCGCGGCATGCCGAATGCGCCATCTGGCCCGAAGGGTTTTGGCGTGCAGATCCCGAAGGATTACCAGAAGGGCGTGGCATTTGTGAACGGCGGTTCGGTGAATGGCGCCTCAGTCTACATTAATCGTGAAGATGAAGACTCCGATGCGAGCGATGAAGAGCTGGAGCGTCGCCGTCAAGAGAAGAAGGATATTGAAGCAGAGAAACAATTCCTTGATCAAGAGCGACGCTGGCTCAATCGCGAACGGAGCAGGACTGCCGCCTTGGAGCGAGAGAAGAAGCGGGATAAGGAGGAGGAAGCCAAAATGCAGGAAGTGCGCGAAGAAGCTGATAAGCATTTCGGGGAATGGAACGATGATGCGGAGGCTAGCCGTAAGGCCCACGACTACTATGCGGATAGGGGCGCGTGGTTGCGCAGTCGTGCAGCTTTCCGAGCACGTGAAGTTAGTATGGACGAGGCTGACCGTGCTGCCGAAGAGCGGGAGCGGGCTCGCTCTGTCCAACAACGGGAACAGGCACGTGGCATGGCAGATGACTTCCTTGCTCGCCAGGCAGAGGAACTGGAGACTCGGCCCCAGGCCCCCAGAGAACCCCAGCGCTTCAAGCTCTCCCTTGGAGCCGCGGCACAGAAGGCTCAGGCTGCAACCAGCCGCCGGACTGTTGCCGAAGTCGAAGGATTGCTGGAAGACGAAGAAGAGCCGGAAGCCACGGCAAGACGTCCTCTCATCCCGATCAAGTTCGACAGCGCTGCGGAGGCTGCCGGACTCAGCGAGGAGGAACGAGCGCAAGCTGCCCGACAACTGGCCGCCGAAATTCCCACCGAGAAGGAAGGCTTGTGGAACTGGGAGGTCAAGTGGGAGTTTGTGGACGAAAATGTGGTCAGCGAACAACTCAAACCCTTCGTGGAAAAGAAGATTGTCGAGTATTTGGGAGTTCAGGAACAGATGCTGGTGGACGTAGTGGAGGAGCATGTTCGAAAGCACGGAAATCCCCAAGAGCTGGTGGAACAGCTGGAGGAGGTGAGTACATCTTTATTAAGGTCTTGGCTTTTACCGATATATTGCTGTGTCTAACTTTGAATTCCTAGGCTCTCGACGAAGAGGCAGAAGTCTTGGTGCGGAAGCTGTGGCGAATGATCATTTTCTTCTCCGAAAGCGAGAAGCGAGGCCTGTCTGGTTAGAAGACCTCTGCAACTGGAAGCTGGGCAAAGCCCAGATCAAGTCTAGGGAGGGTAGCAGTCCTGCTTTACGACATCCCTTCATTATTACATGAGAGTCCCAGTACTTTCAAATTGATATCCGCCTCGTGGAGGCACAAACTACATTGCATTCGGTACATGGAATGTTTGATATGCACGGTTCCCAGGCTTGTCTGTCGCTAGCGAATGTAAACATAGTTTTACGGGACTCATACACTACTAAATCGTAGGCGTTGAACATGTAGAGGTATATCTATAGCCGATCGAATGTACGGGGGAGATCTGCCGCAGCCGTTCGGCATTACGAACTGTATTATTCTACACTCAGTAGACCCTTGGGTTGGTTACTACTACTAGTAAGTAGTTGTAATCAGGAACACGGAGGCGGTCCGACTGTGAAATCGCACACGCTGAGTGGTGGAAAAATGGCTCCCATGGGGTGGAAGAATTCCTCCGCCAATGACATTTGGTTCCCCACAGTATCGGGAGAATTAGTCCAGCGCAATCCAATGTATTTCCCTCTTTAGCCTGGAGGGGAGGAGGGGTGAGGGCCGTATATCTTGCGCCTTTGACCCCGTCTGTCCCTTGAATTTTTGCTTCGTGATTCTTTCATTCCTTGTGCAAGAGACCTCTCGGCTCGCTGTCTCGTGTTTGGCTTGTGTTCTACCCGGACTTTGTATAGATCGCTCTTCGGTTCATCCACTACATTATATGATCACCCCCGCATCTTAAAGAAAAAGCGATTGCAATTCGTCTGCCTACAACTAGGGCCTCAGTCTTAGTTTGTTTCTCTAGACAACTCAATTGGCCCTCTTCCCCTCTCTAGCCATAAAATATACCCTACACAATGGTCAAGATCACAGGTTTCACGACCCGGGATGTGCGGTTTCCGGTAAGTTAGGCACTGCTTCTAGATCCGATGCAATTACTCTTCAATTACTGACTCAAAGAACAGACATCCCTGGATAAGACTGGCTCCGATGCCATGAACGCAGCGGGCGACTACTCCGCAGCCTACTGTATCCTCTACACCGACTCCCCGCACGCTGGGCATGGCATGGTATGTGGATCGTGCAATTTCCGCCACAATAACCATAACACTAACACCTCAAATCAATAGACCTTCACCATCGGCCGTGGAAACGAGATCGTCTGCGCCGCCATCTCCCTTCTCGCCCCACTCGTCGTTGGAAAGGACCTGGACGAGCTCACAGCCAACTGGGGCAAGACATGGCGCCATCTAGTATCTGACAGCCAGCTGCGCTGGATTGGTCCTGAGAAGGGTGTGATTCATCTTGCCCTGGGAGCCGTCGTCAATGCGCTCTGGGACTTGTGGGCTAAGACACTCGGCAAGCCCGTCTGGCGGATCGTGGCGGACATGACCCCCGAGGAGTTCGTCCGTTGCATTGACTTCCGGTATATCACGGATGCTATCACTCCCGAAGAGGCCATTGCATTGCTCAAGGAGGTAGAGGGCGGCAAGGAGGAGCGTATCAAGGAGGCAGAGCAGAGCCGTGCTGTGCCTGCTTACACCACTAGTGCTGGCTGGCTGGGCTACAGCGAGGACAAGCTGAAGGCTCTTCTGCACGAGACCGTTCAGCAGGGCTACAGGCACTTCAAGCTGAAGGTTGGAGGTAACATCGAAGACGATAAGAGGCGGTTGCGCATTGCCCGTGAGGCCATTGGTTATGACCAGGGTAACATTCTGATGGTGGATGCTAACCAGGTGAGCTGACCCATTATCGAACCCTGTCTCTCTCTCTATTACATGATTAACTAACGGTTGTGGATAGGTCTGGTCTGTACCCGAGGCTATCAGCTGGATGCACGAGCTCGCCGAGTTCAAGCCCTGGTTCATTGAAGAGCCCACATCCCCCGACGATATCCTCGGCCACGCCGCTATCAAGAAGGCTCTCGAGAACACCCCACACGGCCCGATTGGCGTTGCCACCGGAGAGATGTGCCAGAACCGTGTTATCTTCAAGCAGCTCCTGCAGGCAGGAGCCTTAACTGTTCTCCAGGCTGATGCTTGCCGTGTCGGTGGTGTTAACGAGGTACTCGCTATCCTCCTGCTTGCTCGCAAATTCGGTGTCCCGATCGTCCCTCACTCGGGCGGTGTCGGTTTGCCAGAGTACACTCAACATCTTAGCACGATTGACTACGTCGTTGTGAGTGGTAAGAAGAGTGTCCTGGAGTATGTGGACCATCTGCACGAGCACTTCGTGCACCCCTCTAGTGTTAAGGATGGTTACTATGTTACCCCTCTGGAGCCTGGTTACAGTGTGGAGATGAAGCCCGAGAGTATGGAGGAGTTTGCCTTCCCTGGTGAGCAGGGCAAGAGTTGGTGGACTACGGATGCTGCGAAGACAATCCTGGAGGGCCCTCGGATATGACGAGACTAAAGCTTGATGTATACGTTTTATGTTTCTCATGTTAATATTTATGTATTGAAAAATAGCCATTGCATTGTTTGATTTCTTGTGAAATTGCTGCTATTATATCGCTGACTAGATATGCTGGAAAATGTTTTATGAATAATACATACCCAAGTATGGGGTTTCTATAGTACAACACGGGTGTGACCATGGCATTATGGTATAAAGAAGCCATAGGAAGACACAGACTACCCAAGAATAATGCCTTTCGTCTGCCACAAGCTTGAAGCTATTCTGTCAAACGTGAAGGCTGTCGGAACACCAAATGACAGGGGCTGATCATGCCGACTGGTTTGCGCCGGCTGCAGATGGAAACATCAAGCTCTCATTTCTGGTATTGGCCAGCCAGTGTAACAAGAGGGTACCCGTAACCAATTTATGCCAAGGTTACCTGGCAGAGCACAATTATATTTGACAAGGGCTTGGTCTATCGCCACTGTATGCCAAATATCTTCAATGCTTGCCCAACTCCAGGCTTCTCGCGAGCCTGCTCAAGGATGACTCGAGAGTGACCTGCGTAAAAGTATTAGCTTAAGATTATATATGTCGGCGATTATTTATTACTTACCCTTAACATCTAATGCGAGAAGCTGATATTCCCACTCGTTCTTGTCAAGTGGCTTAATCATGTGGACGTGCACAACTCCTTGGTTGCGTGGTCCCTCAACCTGAGCATTGACAGTTAGTTATGTACGTATCATCTAAGGAATAGCGCAACGTACATGGAAGTTCATTCTCATATGTTCGCGACCTAAACGATCCTTCTCGATGGTGGTTCTTCATACGAAGTTAGCGTCTCTGATACGCAACTAACCAAGAAGAACAGGGTACCCACGCAATAGGACGATTCCGCGCCCATTTATTCGAAGTGCTTTCTCCATATGCCTTGATTTCCCTTCGGTCTCCCAGAATGTCCGTACACCGAGTGTCGTCCAAGATACGTTCAACTGCTTTCTCGTACTGCCATGTCCGGCTGTTCGGGGAAAAAACCTCTGAGTAAAGCAAGTAACATACACCCCCTACCCACATATTAGTCCTGCATCCAACATGTATCATGACTTGTTCATGAGCAAGAATGTTGCCCACTCAGATCTCACTAACCGTCAAAGCCGCACCGGCCAATATGATCACAAAGTTGAACGACTGCTGGGTCGCGCGCGCAACCTTTTCCCGGCCCGAAAGTTCTCCCCATTCATATCGCCCATCATCGGATAGTACGGTCACATTCCTCCGTTTCGGGGTCGAGCTTGGCCCTGAGCCTCCCCCGAGATCGCCGTGAGTTGCATAGCATCGCGTCAACTCGACCGTGCGGGGAAATCCAAGGCGCAAGAGCAGGGCAGGTGAGGCCCGGGCCAAGGAAGGTCTGGGTAGGAGGTATGCACTCATTGTGGGATATCGAACATCACCCGGGTTCCCGTCGGATCAAAGTGTATCGCACGGCAGTCGTGGGCATGGGAGATTCGAGCAAGAACTGCTGAATGATCTCATAAAATTCCATGCGCTGAGCCGTGGTCGGCATTCAATGAGACTCGGTCCATGTGGGGAGACGGGTGGGTCACGTGGGTGCCTTCCGCTCTGGTGAAAATTTCCGGAAGGGTCCGAGTACAGCTGTAATTGCAATACGCTGTGGGAGAAGCAGGTGTTGGACATACATATTTAGCCCTGTAACTAATACCGTTGCTTGGCTTGAAGTATTAAATGTGGATCCTCTTGGGATGAATACCGGGTAAGACAGCTTTTTTGCAACGTTTCAGATGGGATCTTCCCCTTAAGCCCGGCGGCAATTTTAAAAGTTACAGTAATTTGTAACTTCCGCCCGGGAGTCCAAAACGATTCCGACCACGTTCGTTCTCCCGATTACATTTTGGATCCCTCTTCCTCCTCCCTGGAAGTCCTGACATCCTATACCGTCTTTGTTTCTACTTCGTTCAGGACTCGTTTCGTCCTACTCATCCCACAATGAGTGCCACCAAGGCGGAGTCTCAAAAAATATTTGAGAAACTCAAACTAAAGCCCGCAAACAAGGTGCGCGCAACCCCTCCCCACCAGTCTAGAAATTGGCCGGGTTCGCTGACTTCAGCCTCATAGATATGTTTTGATTGCGGCTCCAAGAATCCTACATGGTCGTCGGTGCCTTTCGGTATCTACCTGTGTCTCGACTGCTCGGCCCACCACCGTAACCTGGGTGTCCACATTTCCTTCGTTCGTTCCACAAACCTCGACCGTATGCACCACCGTCTACCCCAGATATGCCTTTGGCCTTGGTACTAATGGATGCTTGCAGAATGGCAATGGGAGCAACTTCGGCTTATGAAGGTTGGTGGAAATGAGTCCGCCACCAAGTATTTCCAGTCGCATGGAGGTTCCGCCGCCCTGGCTAGCAAGGACTCTAAGGTCAAGTATACTTGCAATGCTGCTGTGAAGTATAAGGAAGAATTGAAGAGACGGGCTGCTCAGGACGCCGAGCAGTAAGTGCCATGTTGTCTATGCATATCACCCTACTGCTAGATGCTTACCTTGCTTTTCCTCACAGATACCCCGAAGAGGTCGTGATCACGGACGTTCCCGCTGGCACCCCGTCCAATGGCTCCAGTACGCCTGCCGGCGATGCTGACGATGACTTCTTCTCTTCCTGGGATAAGCCCTCGATCAAGCGCCCAAGCAACCCTCCCTCGCGCACAGGAACCCCCCCGGTAGTGAGCCGCACTGCCTCTCCATTCTTGAATGCAGGTGCAAATGGCTCGCGCTCCAAGTCTCCTCTTTCCGCCTCCGACAAGGAAAGCTCTCCTGCCCCCGCTGCTATCAGGGCCAGCACTACTGTCCGGAAGACTGCGACGGCTGGTTCTGCAAAGAAGGGCAGTGTGTTGGGCGCCAAGAAGGCACCCAAGTTAGGGGCTAAGAAGATCGGCGCAGCTGAGGCCATCGACTTTGACGAGGCAGAAAGGAAGGCCAAGGAAGAAGCCGAGCGCATTGAGAAGCTTGGATATGACCCTGAGGCTGAACAGGCTGAGGCCGATGCCAAGGCTAAGAGTACGACTACGGGAGCTACGCCTATTGCTGCCCCTACGCCAATCAGCCCCAGCGCCGCCAGAAAGTCCCACGAGCGTAACTCTAGCGATGTAGAGCGTCTGGGAATGGGCATCGGGCGCCTAGGATTTGGCCAGACTGCTGGTTCGAAGCCTGCTGCTCCGAAGAAGCTGGGCTTCGGCTCTGTCGCTCCTGCTCGGTCAGCTGCTGATGGTGAGTTCACTATTGCCGTCTTCAAAACAACTGCAAATGCTAATGGATCATACAGAGGAGGAACTTAGCCAGACCAAGACCAGGTTTGGTGCCCAGAAGGGTATCTCGTCCGACGAATTCTTCGGGCGTGATAAATTCGATCCATCGGCCCAGGCCGAGGCTAAGGAGCGTCTCCGCCAATTCGATGGTGCCACCTCTATTTCCAGCAACTCCTACTTTGGCCGACCCGAAGACGATCTCCCCGCTGCAGATGATGGATATGGCGACTTGGAAACTGCGGCCAAGGACTTTGTTCGTCGTTTTGGCATGACAGCGGGAGACGATCTCGAGAACCTTACACAGCTCGTCGGAGACAGTGCCGTCAAACTGCAAGGTCAGTTATCCTACCTCTGGTCACCTACCTCCTACTGACAATGATATCTAGGCGCCATACGCAACTACATGAACAGCTAAACTGATGCAACCAATCTATCAATACCGCGGCAACCTTTTAAATTTCCACCTTCGGGCACCATTACTTTGCCATGATTAGCCAGTTCATTGCCTATAACTTTGGCGGCGTTTTATCCCTATCCCTTTAGAAAGATATCCTTGCGAACGCAAACCCAGCCCAAATTCACCCCTGCGGACTGCGAGAACTCTGTCAGGGAAAACGTTCGGCTCGCTGCACTCCGAGTTACGGAGTGGTGGAGGTCGGCTTCTCTCTTGTTAATTGCTTGTGATTCTGAGTTGTCGAAAATCTTTTAAATTGGCATTTTCATTGAATATTATCATTGATTTGCTATGGTTCCTGTATATCCTCTTTTTTGTTTCTTAGGTAGTGCTAGGCGTCCTTGTCAATTAAAACAGATATTTAAAAATTTAGAATAACTATACCTTGTAGCGGCCATTCATATTTTATATCTAGGTATATACTGTAGGTGAAGCATAAAATTAGAAGATCGTCAAATCTGATACAAGCTGAGCCTTAATCCTAACACCCGGTCTAGAATAGAGCCGACGTTTTCTACAAACCCCACACTCAACCCACTCGACAAGTCATATATTACTTTTTTGTATCATTCAAGTTGATGATGATCCGCTATCCTACATGATCTCGATATTGTTGAAAATATACACGTGTCAAGAACACACACTCCAACTATTCCACACCCCCACACAATGAGCACCTACTCATCCACCCGGTAAATAGCATCCGCAACCTTAGCCACCTGCCACATCTCCTTAACATCATGAACGCGAACAATATCCGCCCCACCAGCAACACTAGCCGTAACAGTAGCAGCCGTACCCCAGTTCCGCTCACTGGCCTTCTCAACACCAGTAAGCCTCCCAATAAACCTCTTCCGGCTGGGTCCCATCAACCATGGAAAGTTCTCTAGCCCCTGGACGCCCGTGCGGAATTGCTGCAGATCACGAAGAATAGTCAGATCGTGGGGCTGGTTCTTCGCGAACCCAAGCCCGGGGTCGAGGATCATTCGCCAACGGCGGATACCCGCTGCTTCGGCGGCGGCGATACGCTCGAGGAGCTCAGCGCTCACGTCCTGGATCACGCCGTTGGGGTAGTCCGTGAGCTGGGTCATTGTGGATGGCGTGCCGCGCATGTGCATGAGGATGACGGATTTACCGGTGCGCGCCATTGTAGGGAGCATGGCTGGGTCCAGGAGGCCGGCGGAGACGTCGTTGATGATGTCTGCGCCCGCGGCGCAGGCTTCCTCAGCGACGCGCGCGCGGTATGTGTCGATGCTGATGGCGATGTTGGCGGCTTCGGGGATCGAGCTGCGGATGTGTCGGATGGCGGGAATGACCCGGGCTAGTTCTTCGGCTTCGCCGACGGGGACGGAGCCTGGGCGGGTGCTTTCGCCGCCGATGTCGATGATTGTTGCGCCGGAGGCGATGAAGTTGCGGACAGTGTTGGTTAGGCTAGTTAGGTCTGTTGGGGAGTGTTTACCCCCGTCGGAGAAGGAGTCGGGGGTTAGGTTTAGGATGGCCATAATGTGGGTTGGGCGGTTGGGTTTGGTGGAGTGCAGTGGGGGAAAGTTCTTGGATATGTAGGTTGTGGCATGGGGGGTTGGGTCTGGTGGAGGGAGAGATTTGAGATGGGAGAGATAGGTTGTGCTGTGTCCTGGGAATGGAGGTCGTTCGTGAGGAATGAGTCTGGTGGGTTGGTGTCAGCTCTCTAGTTTGTGGTATGGCTTGTACGGCACTTACTGGCAGAGAGGTCGTAGAACGAAATCCCGTTCAAGCATTAGCTGGTGAGGGATGTTGAGGCGGTCGTGGGAGAAGATATGATCATCGTAGAGGAGGATATCAAGATCGATAGACCGGGGGCCCTTGTCGATCAGCTTCTTCCTTCCCAGGCCGATCTCAATCGATTGGAGGGTATCGAGGAGCTCCAGAGGTCCTAAGCTGGTTTCCACCTACCCGTTGGGCGTCAGAAGGCTTATACAATTCAAAGCTACACTAGACGGCGACTGACCTCGCAAACTCCATTCATGAATGATCTTGATCGAGGACATACATGGGGGCCGTCTCGAACAGCGAACTTGTCCGCTTAACTCTGATATTGGCTCTCTCCATTTCGGAGCATGCATTCTCAATCATCTCTACCCGCTCTCCGACATTGCTTCCGAGGGCTATAAAAGCCCGATGAAGCGGAGGGTTACACGGATTCATCCCGGTATTGAATGAATTCAATGAGCTAGTGGAAACGCCCCGGATGGATGCGGACGGTCTTAGAGATCCATGGCTGGAACTGGCCACATTAGATTTGGACAACGCCCGACTATCACGTCGTCCAGTCACTCCGAGATCTGATACACAAGGTATTAGTTTCTGCGGCTACATAAAGGCGGCATGGTACATTGGGATGCATGATTGGAAGCAAGTTTCAGTTGTACTCTGGAGGAACTGACGACCGGATTTGATCGTAGTGAGTACTTAAAAACGCAATTGAAGTAACATACTTGCACCACACAGGGACAGATTTCTACCGGCATGTTAGACGGGGGGGTTTATCACGAATATTATCAAAGAAGACCTGCCTCGTTGTCGGGCCCGCGCAGAATCTCCTATAGACCGGCACACAGACCTTGCTGTGTCGCGGGGTTGGGAACAAGCCTGAATTGAAAGAAGGCCATGGCCTATAGCCTGGAATGATTGAGGTTAAGGATGTAGCATTGGGATGCCAATTCTTAATTGACACTGGCCTCATATTTCCTGAGAAATGCGCAACGCCTGGCGTCTATCAGTAGATCTTCTATGACTCGTCTAACAAAAAAAGGTTCACATCATACGTCATGCATGGGTTCGCGTGCTTTTTCGGGAGCGGAATCAGCTGATGCACGACACCTGAGGCAGCCGCGGTGGGTGACTAATAAACTTCTGAAACCCCGCCTGTGAATCGGCCAACCGGTTCAGCACTAAACCCAAAAAGCGCTGGTAACTATGGGGAAATTAAGTTCACTCGGAGGTCCCGTGTCAAAGTTGCAACCGAGGCTGTCATGATCATGCTTCCTCCTCGGTTCGCTACATCCTCCTCTCCTCCTATATTTAGGACTTATTTCTCCATACTCTCCACATGTCATCGTTCCTGATCATCTTCACTACATCTATCTTTTGATTCTCAGTTACTTTCTCTTCTAACGTCCCACCCTCAACCATGGCTTCTCCTCGTAAGCTCCCACCGCCTTTCTGCCCTTCCATCATGTGATAGGGAGCTGTGGCAATCCACCTAGATAGAAGTGCTAATCGCAGATTTTGACAGAGAAAATCCGTACCACCCTCACGGATCTGCTCAAGATCCAACACCCCATCCTGCTGGCAGGTATGAACGTGGCCGCCGGTCCTAAGTTGGCCGCAGCGGTCACCAACGCCGGTGGCCTCGGTGTCATCGGTGGTGTTGGCTACACTCCCGACATGCTTCGTGAACAGATTACAGAACTCAAGAGCTACTTGAACGACAAGAATGCGCCTTTCGGTGTCGACCTTTTGCTTCCGCAGGTCGGAGGAAGTGCACGAAAGACCAAGTAAGCTTCTCTATATCTAGGACACCTTGGGTGAGATGTGGAAATGCTAACCAGCTTGGCCTCAGCTACGACTACACCAAGGGAAAGCTTGACGAGCTTGTGGACATCATCATTGAGAGCGGTGCTCGCTTATTCGTTTCGGCCGTCGGCGTCCCTCCCAAGCATGTCGTTGAGAAGCTTCACGGTGCTGGCATCCTGTGCATGAACATGATCGGACACCCCAAGCACGTTCAGAAGGCTCTTGATGTTGGCGTAGATATCATCTGCGCCCAGGGTGGTGAAGGTGGTGGTCACACTGGTGATGTTCCGACTACCGTCCTCATCCCTACCGTTGCCAAGCTGTGCCAAGGCAAGAAGAGCCCATTGACCGGCCAGCCCGTGCAGGTCGTTGCTGCCGGTGGTTTGTTCAACGGTAACTCGGTTGCCGCCGCTCTTATGCTTGGTGCCTCTGCTGTCTGGATCGGTACTCGCTTCATCCTGTCCGATGAGGCCGGTGCTCCCGTTGCTCACCAGGAGGCCGTCCGCACTGCTGGATTCGAGGACAATGTCCGCACCATTATCTTCACTGTAGGTTTTCGGGCATGCCTCGACGTGTACGTTCTTGCTAACCAGTTTATAGGGTCGTCCCCTTCGTGTTCGCAACAACGCCTACATCAAGAACTGGGAAGAGAACCGCCAGGAAGAGATCAAGCAATTGACCGCCAAGGGTGTCATCCCTGTCGAGCACGACATGGAGAACCTGCCTGATGACGTTGATGACGAGACCCTGGACAACGCCCGTCCCTTCCTGATGGGCAAGGTTGCTGCCGTTGTCAACGAGAAGAAGTCTGCCAAGGCTATTGTTGATGAGCTTGTTAATGATGCCTCTGATCTGCTGCAGAAGGGCCACAAGATGCTTGCTAAACTGTAAATAATTTCATTCTTAATGGCGCACTCCGGGTATGAGGATGGTGCATATAAATGTTGATTTTCATGACCATTGATACTGGTTAGCGTTCTCCGTTACAAAGTTTCTTTTCCGCCTGAGAGTACTCCAGCAGCCGGACTGTACCACAATTCAATTGCAGCTACAGACAAAACTCTGGTATCTGCAACTTTGTGCGACAGAAAGTAAGACCATAGATTAGTTACCAAAGACTGCTTACCAAGCAAGAGAGTATTTAATCTGACCTAAGTGCCTTCATACCAAATAAGGCAACCTACTCCATTCCCAAAGACACCGGTAAAAGAATGATCCCGACCGAGCCCAAGAATTATGCAATCGGCTCGGCAAGCCGGACCCGTGCAAATTTCCCTCTCCACCCAAACCCGACCATGAAACCGACCGAACCTGGAACCGTTCCGTAAATATCAACAAGAGAATAATAAATGGGGAACAGTGGCAAAAAGCCGCTGACTCATCAGAAGGAACCCTGTCAACTCGTAACAGACCATGCTATACAAATCATCAAACGGATACTCGAGCGGTACACGAACACAGTATCTCAGTGAATCTAGGTCGTGGCAGCTTGCACTTGACAACTCCATAAGCAACGCGCTTCATGCAACCCCTTTCAATGGACAGAGGGGTTTAGCGGTAAGGACTTGAGCTGAGCTGCCGAGGTGGAACTTCTGTGGCGGGTTTTTTTGCATGCGGGTGGGGATTACGGGTCGGGGGGTTGATCCACTTGAGGTTCGGATTAGGGCTTGGGGTGGGCATCTCATGTTGCCTGGTGTCTTCGTGGAGGTTATTGGCGTGTCTACTATTACTGTTTGGGGCGTTTGGGTTGGGTTCAATTATGGGTTGGATGGGTGAGGAGGATGGTTATGTGAATGTTAGAATTTAGAGTAGTGAACACATTGATGCCAATGCGATATGGGGAGCGGTCTAATATGTGGCCAAAACGCCCGATGTAACATGACTGATGTATGTGGGGAATCACGATATGATGCCTGAGGATACAGACGGGGTTAGTATACTGCTGGTTGGAAATTGTCTATTTGGATATATAAGCTAGCTGAGTACCTGGGCGCTTTCTTTCATGGGCCACAACGAGTTAGTAGAGACAAATTACAATGTTACATCCAAATGATAGTTTCCGGCCGCGTCCGGAGCATATAAATATCAGCAAATCTAAACTTTCAAGGGAAGATTTAAGGGTTTGAACTACTGGATATCTACTCATTATCTAGAACACTTGCTGATGCAGTCATCTTTGGTATTCGCCAATCCGAAGATACATGAGTTAGAGCTGCAGCTGTGCCAAGGACAATCCATAGCTTGTCTGATTGGATGCCTTATCTGAGACGGCGATTACCGAGCTGTGAGTTGAGACTAGAGAGATCGTAAGTTTCCGCTGGCGCGGGGTAAGCAAGAGATCTGGAGAAGGGATGTGGACGATCCCTGGGCAAGACTGCTTATGTAGGATAGTATCATCATCATATGGAGCAAGGTGATGTTCATGTAGGGAAGTGAGGGATCTAGATAACGTAGTCGAACACGTTGATATCAACGAGATATTGTCTCCGTATCGTGACTGAACGTCCTATCGTGTCACGTCGAAATGAATCTGTGATATTAAAGTAATATAGACAATCTATATTGTATGTTGTCGGGGGGAGCCAGGATCCATCCTGTATAGAGTAGTCAGATTGGACTAGTAGGACGGTATCGGTGTTGTCCGATGCTCTTATGAAGATATGAAGAGCCGTATCGTTAGTGAGCAATGCGAGATAACTGGGATCGATTACTAGTAGTAGGCAAAAGCTTGATTCAAGGCAAATGATATGGTATCAGTGACCGAGATTATCAGGAACGGTGCCTATCAGCAGCGAAAGTCTTATCACCCACGTTGCCACTCTTGGTCGGGCCCACATGGCTTGTCAAAATTTGCAGCCAATCAAGAAACTCTCGATGGTGCTTGGCCCTCCGAGAAAATTCCCTATCCACCAATCAGGATGATTAAGAGAAAGCTTGTCGATCCATGATTCGTCGAAAAGGCCCGTTAGGGGAGTCAACCTTAGGGCTAAGGCACAAGTGGATCCCCGACGGCCTTCTCGAAACGAGTAAAAAAAGGCTTGACCTGGATTTGGGAAGACACGCGACAAGTGAACCCAGCGGAAGTTACGCGGTCGCGGCAATTCTCGCTGGGTTGAGATCGAGTGGAGATGTGTGGGAAGAATTTGTCCTAGTCCTTCCGACCAGATATTTATTCCGAGCTCCCCCATCCTCTGACGCAGAGGAAAAAAGAAAGAAAAAGGAAAGATGTGAACCTCAGGTTGATTACTTCCGTTCCCCTCCTTCTCCCTACCAATCCTCCTTGGCCGGTTTAAGAGCTATCTAGCTCTCAGACCCTCTCAGTTCTCAAGTTCCCTCCTTCATTGGTGGGGATCTTCTTCAACCAGAAAATCATCGTTGGAAAAAAAAACGGCCATATCGCACTCCCGAATCTACTACGATGTTTGGAAGGAAGGACCAAGACCTTGAAAAAGGTCCTCAGGTGGCGAAGTCGACATTGGACACCAGCAGCGATGGTGCCGTGCCCGGGGAGACGTTTGTATACGGTGATTCACTGTATGCGAAGCTCCAGCGGCTCGCAGGGAAGATCAACATCGAACAGCGTGGGATTGAACGGGTACCACCAGAGGAGCAAACGGATACGTCGTACTTCAATATTGGCAGCATGGTGTGTTCATGATTCCGTTGCGTTAATTTTGTCTATGCCAGCTATTGTCTGGTATTCCAAGACCGCCTGTCCAACTGACCCAACACGCAGTGGTTGGCGGCCAACATGGTAGTCAGTTCCTTTGCCATTGGTGTCCTCGGAAAATCCCTCTTCGCGCTTGGTTTCGTCGATGCCATCCTAGTGAATCTCTTCTTCAACCTGTTGGGCATCATGACTGTGGGATTCTTTTCGTGCTTTGGCCCTCCTTTCGGCCTACGACAAATGGTTCTCTCACGGTTCTGGTTCGGATACTGGGGGACCAAGTTTAGTGAGTATATCTGATTTGTGCTGTCGTATTCTAGTAAACTAGTTACTAATACTTGCCTTAGTTGCCTGCCTCAACGTTTTGGCCTGTATTGGTTGGTCCGCTGCCAACGCAATCGTTGGGGCTCAGCTCCTCCATGCGGTCAACAACGACGTCCCAGGGTTTGCAGGTGTTATAATTATCGCGTTCTGCACGTTTATTATCACTTTCGCCGGATATAAAGTCGTTCACATGTACGAATACTGGAGTTGGGTGCCCACATTTATCGTCTTCATGATCGTCTTCGGCACATTTGCCCACTCCGGAGATTTTGTGAATATCCCCATGGGCGTCGGAAAATCCGAACTGGGTAGCTGCCTTTCCTTTGGCTCAACTGTGTACGGATTCGCCACTGGTTGGACCAGTTACGCAGCCGATTACACGGTGTACCAACCCAGAGACCGCAGTCGCCGCAAGATCTTCTTCTCAGCGTGGGCCGGTCTGATCGTTCCTCTGATATTCACACAATTCCTTGGAATCGCCGTTATGACCGCCACCAGTCTCAACGATGGCGACAACAAGTACCAAGCTGGCTACACAGCTTCCGGAAACGGAGGTTTGCTCGCTGCTGTTCTCGAGCCTCTTGGGGGATTCGGCAAGTTCTGTCTCGTGATCCTTGCCCTTTCCATTGTCGCCAACAACTGCCCCAACATCTACTCCGTTTCCCTGACCCTCCAAGTTCTGAGCCGTTATACCCAAAGAATTCCTCGTTTCATCTGGGTCTTCCTGGGTTCCTGCGCCTCAGTGGCCATTGCCATTCCAGGATATTCCCATTTCGAGACTATCCTGGAGAACTTCATGAACATCATTGCTTATTGGCTCGCTATCTACTCCGGGATTTCACTCACTGACCACTTCGTCTTCAAACGTGGCTTCGGTGGATACCGCATTGAGATTTATGACAAGCCCAACAAGCTTCCCCCAGGCATTGCGGCTGCGGTTGCTTTCGGCTTCGGTATCGCCGGTATGGTCACTGGAATGAGCCAGTCGTGGTGGATCGGACCGATTGCGAAACATGCGGGTGCGCTACCCAGTGGTGGTGACGTCGGGTTCGAGTTAGCATTTGTTTTTGCTTCGGTGTCCTATATCTTCTTGAGAACGGCTGAGTTGAAGGTGTTTGGTCGGTAATTGTTCGGTTTATTTTCTTGCGTTTGGGGTATGGGTCTGTGAATACGTTCTATTTTGATTATGTCTATTATGTCGTTCTTAACGGCATCAACCGTTCTCTTTTGGGATGCTTGGTTGCATTTTCATGATACCGCGAGTCATGTATATATGTGTTTGTAATTTAGATGTTAATATACTACGTGTATATCTTTAAAGGATGTGCGAACCCTGTAAATGAGCATCCCGTATGTAGCTCCAGATATCTCGCTTTATAAGCAATACAGACCACTAATTACCAAGGCAGTATTGTTGGTAGACTCCATACGGCTCAGACTCAGATATAAGATGTTGAGCCTCGAAAGCGTTGATTCCCCGTATCTACCAGTCAGACCTCATGTCCTGAGGTTCAAATCCAGGTGTACATTGTCAAGGGATTCTATGCTGATGTCCATGAAAACAAGTGCATTCGCATACACCCACATGGAGTGGTCTCATTTGCAAAGTTATAGTTAGAACTTCAGAAGGCCGCTAAGACCTACTCCAAAAAGAATTGGGAGCACAACAGTGAAAACTCTATATACTATTAGTATTGGTGTCCATTTGCCAGTCTGTTGAGAGGTAAACCAAAACATGGAAAGTCGTTTACAGGAATTATTCTGGCAATAGCCTTTCCCTTTATCTCTTCACACACATACATACGTACTTCTTCCAAGTCCAGTTTGGACCATCGCAGTTGATATGAGCACAGTACGCGAGATCAACACCAAAAGTAACTAGTATCAGTTGCCAGTTTCACTCTCACCCTCTGATTCCAAGGCACAACTATACACCCGAACAACGACCATTGCCTTCTGGGCCTCGAAACAAGGCTGGCCGCATAACCAGGAAAGGAACACAAATAGGCACATTATCCGGTATATCCTTGCAGTCCTCTACAATAACATACCAATGTACGTCGAGATCGATTACATCAGATCAATCTAAGTCATTATGCAAGCTCAGAGGTATAATGAATTGAGTCACTAATGAGTGTCTGCCTTGGAAGACTAGAGGGTACTACTCCGTAGCAGTCATTTTTATATATGGGCCAGCATGGTGTGTTTCCTTGTTATTTCCATGCTGCTAAAATATGAGTTAGTATATCCAATAATATATCACCAGTTTAACAAAACTGTAAAACCAGGTTGTTTCTAGTCTTTTGCTAGACTTGATGCACCAAAAGTAGGGCTACGAAGAGATGCTCCAGATGGCATCACGTGAGCCCAGCTCCCCCGGTACAAGCCACCAACTGCGCCACAGGTCTTTGCCGCGCCGAACAAATCCACAACGGATCTTTCGTTGAAATCCTAAGAAATTCAGCAACATTTGCAGATCACCACATAAAGCACAATGTCCAAACTAGCAAAGTAAGTGCGACCGGACCCCATAAACCCGCGTCGGCGGAAGTCCCCTGACATGAAAATTTTGCAACTTTTTGCAGCCGCGCCGACTGGGCCGACGACGAGGAGTTCGATGACCCCTCCGCGCTCCCCGCGCAACAAGTCACAACCAATAAAGATGGCACCAAGACCGTTGTGTCGTACCGCTTCAACGATGAGGGCAAGAAGGTGAAGGTCACCCGCCGGATCAAGACCACCGTCGTGAGGGAACATGTCAACCCCCAGGTTGCGGAGCGGAGGTCCTGGGCCAAGTTCGGTCTCGAGAAGGGCCACGCTCCCGGACCATCCTTCGATACCACCTCCGTCGGTGAGAACATCGTTTTCAGACCCAGCATCAACTGGAAGGCACAGGCCGCGGAGGCGGAGAAGAACGGCGGCGAGAAGGGCAGCATGAAGGATCAGCTCAAGGACAAGAAGGTCAAGTGTCGTATTTGCAGCGGAGAGCACTTTACTGCCCGTTGTCCGTTCAAGGATACCATGGCGCCTGTCGACGAGTCCGCCGGTGGCGCTGGTGCCGCCGGTGAAGCCGATGAAGCAGCCGGTGCTGTCGGCACCGGATCTGGCAGCTACGTGCCTCCTCATCTCCGGAAAGGTGCTGCTGGCGGCGGCGAGAGAATGGGTGGCAAGTTCGAGAAGGACGATCTGGCGACTCTGAGAGTTACAAACGTGAGTTTCTTATCTTACCCTACACTTTTTTTCCCTCTATCTATGTCATGTTGATCCTAACCACGAGCAAACAGGTATCCGAGCTGGCGGAAGAAGGAGAACTCCGCGATCTGTTCGAGCGCTTCGGCCGCGTCACCAGAGTCTTCCTTGCCAGAGACAGAGAGACCCAACGAGCCAAGGGCTTCGCTTTCATCAGTTTCGCAGATCGCAGCGACGCTGCACGCGCCTGCGAGAAGATGGATGGCTGTACGTTCCTCCCCCAACTCTCCCAGTATCGAAGAGAATACACCAAAAGAAGAAGGAAAACAACAAAAGAGAGAAAGAGAGACAAGCTAACAAACCCTCCTAGTCGGTTACCGCCATCTTATCCTCCGCGTCGAGTTCGCGAAGAGAACCACATAAACCACCTACTCCGCATACCATTTCTTCTTCTCGTTCCGGTTTACGACACTTTTGGATCTTTTCGTCAGGCGGGCTTCCTTCCTTCATGGCTGAGGAATCTTTTCTTTGTAATGTATGAACTGATCGATAATGATGATTACTGAAAGGCATCCAAACCGTGTCATTTACATTTGCTGTTTGTCGATTTCTACACAAAGAAAAGTTACGGTTCTAGAGAGGGGGTTTCCATTTTACCTAGTGTCCTCTCCTCTTTCCTCTTTCCTCTTCCCTCAACTTCTTCCCAATCTCAATATGGATAGCAAATGATAGACCAAAAGAAAACAGTTGGAAAAAAAAAAAAAGCTAGACACACCCAAAAAGAGCAAAAGCACAAACTCAAACCCAACCTCAACCCCCCCCTAGAAACGGCATAAAGGTCGTCGTCCACAATAACAAATACCCACAACAACAACTACTACTACTACTACAACAACAACAACCTAGAAAACAAAAAAAGACCCTTCCTCCCAAAAAGGAAAAAGGAAACAAAACTCTAATCCAAGGCCTTCCCCCCGAACCATGGACGATCAATTCTCACGACGCCCACCCCCCGGAACCCATGTCTTGAAGAACCTTAAGCCTGCCTGTGTGACAGCGGGTGGGCCGTAACTTGGGTCGAGGATGATCTGAGGCAGACATGTATCGGTCTGTCTCTGTCTCTGTGTGTACGTTTATATTTGTGTTTGTGTTTATGTTTAATAATAGAAGTGGGCAACCTAAGGTGCTTTGTGTGAGATGAGGAGGAGGCTTAGATTCCCGGATCGAGGAGAGAATGGAGATTTGTCTGACTCTGATGATGCTTACGAGCTTGGGTACTTTGTTGAAACGGGTTTGGGGGGGTGGTTTCAGGTCTGCGTACTTTTGTGGGAGGTAGGGGGGAAATCGAAGGTACCGTACTTAGGACTCGAGTGAGATTGGGAGATGGGACCTCGGGTGCTACGTAGGCAAGTAGGATTCCAGGAGGGGTTTGATTTGGGTTATTTGGTTTTTTCTTTCCTTTTCTAGAAGTCGATAGCCCATTGTATGTATATACTGTCACCTTTTTTTTTTTTTTTTTTTAAAATTTCATTCTCAGATGGGAACTCCTGCAGCTAAGAGACATGCATAGCACACGCAATGGTACATACGCGGGAGACAGCCATTGGGACTAATTCCTAAACCCTCACCGCAGTGCCGTGTGGACCTGGACTTACATGTGCGAATATATCTACGGACAATGGGCTGGGGATTTCCAGGATACCACTCTCTGTGGCGATGTGTGGACCGGTTTCGTCGGCCGAACGATGAAATGGCGGTATAGCGTAGCATCACCCGTATGAGCTGCGTGTAACGCAGGGTCAGGGCCGCCAGAAATCTGATCAGCTTCGTATCTCTCATCCAATGGGTGGGATGCTCGGTGATACTGGAAGGAACGTGAAAGAGCCCGGGTCCAGTAAGTCCGGTTACATCGCAGGCGGCCTGGGGTTTATCGGGCTCGTCGTCGTCATCAGTTTCGTGGATGGGATTCTCAGAACGGGCGAATCGTCGATATTCCAAATCAAGGCCGCAGCCTGTTGGCTCGTGAGCAGATTTTCACACCCGTCTGTGTCACTCAAGCGCTTCTTGGACTGGCAGCTGTCATGGACGAGTAGGAAGCTCTGAGTTTGGGCGGAAGTCAGCATGGCGGGCCGTCGAATAGGTTGTCATCGTCCGAGGTTCAAGTTAATGCCGCTAACGTAAATAAGGTATAACGGTTGCCTCTTTGTTGTACTGGCTGGGTCAAGTTCGACTAGCTCAACAATAGTCTTCCTGCGCTGACTCTTCATCTTCATTGGTTTCAGGATCATTTTGGTCCGTGGCGCAATTCGTTAGGGTTCTTCTTTAGCGTAACGAGAACAAGTTAGCGTGGTAGAGGTGATCTGGGACACCACGAAAGGCGTGCCAGCCGTGGGTCCAGTAAAGGCAGAGCGCAGGACAACTGACCTCTTAAGTTATGGGAGAATTTTCCAGTGTCCGGATGAGAGCCCACGTTGTAACCTACAGGATACGGCCATGGTTCCTATGAGGAGCCTCCGGATACCTCAAATGAAGCTTTTTGAATGAAATTGTTGAGTGTCAGCAGGTAATATCTGGCGAGAATTGGCACCCGTTTGAGTCACACAGACAGGACCGGATTCGGCAAGGGTCGATAGTGGGAACGGGAAAAGTTTCTTTTCTAACAAACAGACCCAGATGGATGGATATGGTCGATGCTGAAGCCAGCCACGGGACATTCTGAAATATCAGGCTGTCACGCGGTAACTGCGTTAGGAAAAAGCACATGGACAGGCACCCCCTTATCCATGTGAGCGGCGGGTGCATTAGATGCGGTGCAAAAGATCCGGGGCGAGAGGCGGAACTGCTTCTAACCTGGCAGTCTGGCCTTACGGTCAGTGACGGACGCATGATTCGGAGCATAAGGCTCCACTAAACGTCCATGGTTCTCGGGCGTAGGGTTGCAATGGTAGCAGACTACAATTCCAAATCAACACCTAAAGTCCACGTCGATCGTCGCCATCGTTAAAGCCTCCGTCGATATAGCCAAGAATTCTAGTATACCCGCTCATCGGTTCTTCCGGTATCCCGCTGGGGCGGACGGTGGAGATAACAGGCCGGTTGAGGGTACAGGCAGGACATATCTGGCTCGAGAGAGCGCGATGAGCTGACAAGTTTGGTATTCGGGCCACCGTCGATGTCGTGGGGATCCATTGCCAAGAGTAGTCGAGGTCAAGGTTGAGGACCAAAGAAAGCATGGTGAAGATCGCAATCACGGTAGAAAGTTCAAGCTCCAGAATCTCCGTCTGTCAATGGGTTTCTTCTCAAGCGTGGAGACTGCAGGGAATCCCGGAAATAATGCCCGACTGGTCTGGACTCGCGGTTCCTTTATCTGGACGCTGACTCGTGGGAAGGACAAGATTTGCTGCCTTCTCGCAATGGGGCCAGAGTTTCCATCGGCCAGCTGCAGGTCAGTTAGCAGTATCTCACTCTCTGCCAGGGCTGGTCAAGGTAAATTGAGAACCAAAACCAAAAAAAATAAAAAATAAAAAAAAAAATAAAAGAAATAAATAAATAAAATAATGCGGTTGTACAGGAACATTTCAAGAAAAGGTACCGGTCTAGTACCGGCCACTAAGCTGGATGTGGCAAGAGCATGGTTGAGAACGTTGTATCCACTCGTGGGGTCTTCTAACTGGATTGGATGGTTTAAGTGAGTAGCACTAGTAGTAGTATGGTCGGTAGTAGTAGACCCGAAGCCAAGGCTGGCAACGTATTGCAACTTTTCCCACATGAGTAGGAGTCTAACGGAGGGTCAAAGTTTGGCCTAGAACGATCAAAACCTTAACTGACGATGGAGATGTAGAGCGAAAGAGACGGGGAGGGCAAACATGATCTGATCATCGCAAAAATAAAACTACTAAAACTAAAACATAATAGTCAAAAATCATGATCACAAAAAGAAGGGAACCTTGACGGTAGAGGTTTAGTCAGTCAACAAGAGAGGGGATTTAACGATTAACCTTCTTTTACAATCAAGAACGGATTTAGAATCCCTGTCATCTCATCAAACCAACAACAAATGAAGGACTTTCTCAAGGATGGGTTACATAAGACGAGGATACTCGGATGAATCCAGGAACATGGGTCAGTCTAGTCCCATCGAACAAAAATAGAAAGACGATTAATTCTTCCACAGAGCGTTGCCTGTAAATGGAAAAAATTATATAATGGAAGGATTTAAGAAGGGAAAAAAGCAAGTTAAAGCAGGCAGGGGGTGGATAAGTTAGTCAATGATTCCTTTCATTGTTCAAGATTTCGTTAGTACGTAGTTGGGTGAAAGAAGGCTAAAACATTTTAGTTTCGGATGGGAGTTGGGGAAATGGAGTACACAGTAGGTATCATGCGCTATCCGCCTCGGGTTAAGCGTGGTGCACGTGCCATAGGAGCCATGGGGGGGGGTAGCCTTTCCAAGGTTAGCGCTAAAGCGGTTCCTTTGTGTTGGGATCGACTACTAGTACTTACCACCACAACTCCTCTATACAAGAGATAACCTGCCAGTACTAGGTAGGGAAACTGCATGGATGACTGAGAAAAATACAAAGTAAGTGGGAACACCAACCCCAGAAAAATAACTAAATACAAAACGAAAACAGAATTTCAAAAGCATCACTTCAAATGCAATCATCTCCATGTGGACTGGCTATGTTTCTCCTTCTAACCACATTTTCTCAGATTAGTCAATCGACACGCTCTTACATCTTTTCCTATCCTATGATTTCATTTCATATGCATCACTATGTATTTGTTTTTTGTTTTTTAATGTATTAGTTTTTTTTATCTCCCTCTTCTTTTATTTTTTTTCCTCTCCTCGCCAGGGGCCCTTATTGGCTATCGGTGGCCTGAAATGCAACCTCTCCACCCCGCCACCATCTCCGAGACCCCTGTACGAGGTTACTCTAGGATTCGCGCCGCATCCCGCGTACACATAACATCCTGCACAACATTAACCCTCCTCCATTAGGCACTCATGATTCGCCAAGTTCAAGTTTTTTGGTCTCCAGTCCTGGATGGACCTAAGCAGGGACCTTTGGCCAATGGTCCTGCTTGGCCTCCTTTTTCAGCGTCATGCATATCGCATTTGGACCAACTAGCTTCCTGCATGGCTGATGATCGGGTCTGCCACAAGACGATCTCCAAACGAGATAAGAAGAAATCGTGAAAGAAAAAAGAAAAGAGTGAAAGAAAAAGAAACAGAAAAAGAACCCGAGAAGAACCTACAATCATAGTAATAATTGACAGGATGACACTAATCTGAGATTCAAATGGGACTTCTTTGTGTTGGTCTCACTCTCCCCCGGTTTGTGGGGCCCGAAGTTCAATTCTGGAAACTATACTGTGTACGGGAAACGCGCCTCTCCACTGATCTAGCTATTCTTACTAATTCGGACTCCTCCAATATATGTCTCATTGCCTCTCATAGCACAGGTACTAACTCCAGTAAACATTGTGGGGGGAGGGGCAAAAGAACAAGAGAGAGGGAGAGAGGGCTATCAACCCTGATACGTGGTTCGATCCATTAATTCCAATGCTTACCGAATCTAGTATCCTGGTTGACGGCATCTGGTTTTACGGATGGACTTTCCAAGATATACATACTATAGAACCTACCGACCAACCGGTAAGTAGGTATTCCAGTACATACTAGTATGTACCCATACAGCCTGCATGGTTCAATCGGCTCTCCGGCGCGCGCCGGTGTCGGTGAGCGACCGACTCTATGTCCATAAGGGAAGGGTGCTTTTGAGAAGGTAAAAAAAAAGAAAAGAAAAGAAGAAAAGTAAAAGAAAAAAAAAATATTTTTATTTTCCCAACTGTTGGTTGGAAACCGTCGATCGCCTGATCTCTCATTCATGCAGGAGTTGGTGCTCGTGCCTCGAGCACCCGAAAGTTCTTTGGAACGGCCCCAAAGAGGCGTCACGTCTAGAACATGGATCCTCTTAATGGGTCCACCGGCCCCCTGCCTCCCTTATACCAGCATTTTACTGACGCATTCTACGAGTACCTCTGTCATGGTTGGTTGGCAAGGCCCAATGCCATGGCTGTCTGCGGCTGCCTAAGCTCAGTAGTGTCGACAGCCTCCGTCATGCGACTGGGGTCTGCACGGGAGTTCCGGGGCTATGATCGTCGCTACTAATCCTTTCTAGCGCCATCTTAATTTGCTTTGCTGCACTCTGCCGTTGACCGGGTGTTCACGCTAGAACAGCTGACTTTACCGGCAGTGCTCTGGTTAGAAGCAGTTCGGCCGGCCGACTAGCGTCCAGCTGAATCATACCAACGCTGGAGTCCATTTTCCCCCTCGGAACTACTCAAAGTTTGTGCAGCTTTGATAGTGTCTGGAGTTGGATGCTGAGGGGTTGTAACATCGAAATTGGCCAATGCGGTGTTGCTCCAACACTCTGACAGGGTCCAGTGCCCTTTCACGCTACTTCGGCTGATGCAACAATATTCTCCACGACGGCTCTCATGCTTCGTTTTATTCCAAGGAAGCTAACAGAAGGCCAAAAGGGTAATGAAGGGGAGGAAAAGGCCCCCAAATGATCCTGATTTCATTACACTTGGACCCCTTTCTGCTGTCACCCATTGTAGTGTTATTGTTATGTGACCTTTTTTTTTTATTTACCTTTGTTCCTATTTTCTTACCTGAAATATCGGTTGTATAAATGCAGATGCAACAAAATATCTCTCGTTTTACGGTTTTGGTTAGTTTTGGTTTGTGGTTATTACGCCTTTCGCTTTTATTATTATTATTTTTTTTTTTGGTCCCCGACATGGTCCCAAATTGCACAACAAACTCGTGGCAAGAGTGGTATTCGTCTTCAAGCTTAATTTGGTAACTAGGAGCTATCAGGGCTTGTGCGCAACACCGTTCTGCAGACAATTCCGCCGCATACCTACAAGGGTCATACACTGGACGTAAAGGAGGTCAGGCTAGAACCGGAGAAAGCAGTCGTGAGTGTGGGTAAAGGGAAAGGAAGGGGAAAAATAAAAAATAGAAATAAAAAAAGGGAGAAAAAGAAAAAGAAAAAAGAAAAGGGCCAACTTGACTTGAGCGAAGCGTTCCATTCGGTATTTGCGAACGAATATCAATCCGACAGATCCCTCGATTTTCGGCCCAAGATTTCTCATTCCCAGTCATCACCCAGTGTCCCCTGTGATAGAGAAAGTGGGAACTACTAAAACCAACATTAGCACCCTTCCATCGAGCCTGCCGGGTCGTTTGTCTCGGTGAGGGAAACAAAGACTGACGATTATCAATTTCATAGTCGATCGTTTGCGGGCAATCACTTTACATATAGCCGTGCAGCCTGGAGTCTTATTCTGCAGCAATAAATGCAAGACACTACACCGTTCACTGAATACCGCACAATTGATTTGATTCAGGTATGCTTCTTTCCTTAGCTTTCGTCGTGCCCAACATCTTCTCTACCTGTTCTCCACAGTGTCCATTCCAGTTGCTTTTCCAAACCAGTCCCTTCAGCAAGGGAAAATAAAAGTTCACCCCAAAAAAAGAATAAAACATGTGGCCAGGTTCTTCAGATCTCATTGTGTAGATCCGATATTTCCCCCGTCTGTGGACTCGTCTGATTTTCCCTCCCCTTTGTTATCAAAACGTTCCTATACCTACCTTATTACAGGGCTGTACAATACACTGGTGTACAGCAAAGTGTCTGTATTGCTCTCGTTGCATTTCTCCTTCACAGCCGTCAGAGTGCAAATGATCGCATCTGTCTATCTTTGTGGGCGGTAAAATGCAACGATGCCCTGAAGCCGAGTCTCGCGGATGGAACGTGCCATGTTTTCTTTTTCGTCCTCTTTTCCTCTTTGGTTTGGCCTGCTTCTAAACTAGCCTTCAAAAACCCCCGATCACTATTGCTTTTGACGTCCAAGTTCTCTACAAATTCCTTGATCCAACGTTTCAGTCCATTCGGGGCTTGCGATTGCCAGCCAACTCCTTTGTTTGACAGTACCTTCCTACCTACTGTATCTCTCCTGAAAAGTCCATGCTCTCCAACGCCTCACTAGCTTGCCTCGAGCATCCTGTTCAAAGCCGTTGACAATGTTTTAGAAGCCAAGCCACTGTGCTAACAAGCTTGAAGGAGAAATTAACGCCGAATAGAAGCAGCGACCACTGTCCTTTCTTGGTTCTTTTCGTTGTTTGGTTTTCTTTTCTTTTTCTTTTCCCTTTTTTTTTTCTTCGAGCCGCAGGGTTCTAAATCCAATGAGCAGATCTTTCTGCCATATTCCCTGACAACGTTTTCACTCTATTATACCCCTGTTCAGCGCCATCAGAAGCCTAGTGCTCCTTGGGCGTTACTCTAGCGCTCGCTCAATTTGGGCTGGTCTTAAGGAACCTTCAAGTTGTCCTAAGATCCCAACCCCATCTTCACTCAGATTATTTTCGGTGGGTTTGCCAATGAATCATTGTAAGTATTACTGCTACTTATGGTTATGCCTCGGTCTTATTTTATTGGGAATTTGTTATTATTATTATTATTTTTGGATTTGATTTACATTTTCTGGTATTTCTTCTGATTGTATTTTATTTTGATTTTTTTTTTGTTTTCTTTCCCCCTTTCTCTGAATTTATTTCTATTTTATTTTATTATTTTGATTCTGATTATTATTATTATTGTTTTTCTTATTATTTTCTCTCTCTCTCTCTCTCTGTCTCCAACGTCGGATCTCCCTGCACCCGTGACCCCCCCCCCCCCCCTTCCCAATGGATTGCTTATGACGAGCGATCTACATGAACGTTGATTTTCCCGTCTTGTTGGTATTTTTAGGGAATTTGTTCTGTTACACAATCCTGGTATTGCTTCATTTCCCTGTATTGATATGACATCAAGGACTGTCGTCGTCTTGGCCGTCAAGGATGAAGACCCTATTTCAATTCTGACTGGCAAATGTCCGATTACCTTCAGTACCTTTTCCACTTTGGCTCTCCTTTTACTCTGGCACATTCGGCTCTCTTGTATATCTGTATTGTGGCTCCCCCATCGTTCTGATCATGCTTCTCTTCACCAGCAGCAACTCTACTGCAAAGTTCTTTTCAAATGGACGGTCCAATTACCACCGACAGTGACTATACAGGTGGCCAGCGCCCGTTTTCTGGCCCAATCAGCTTTCCCATGGACGATGAAGACCATGGTCGCAGAAGCAGTGCCGTTGGACATCCTCTAGCACAACCTGTCTCGATACCTGCGACGAACGGTTTGAGATACAACACACAGCAGTCTGTGCTGCAGGATGTACCGTAAGTTGTCTTTTAATTCAGACTGCCCTTTATGCTCCACTTTGGCCACCTGCAGTCACTGGTCACAGCATTTTCCCCCCTTCTCTGACTGCGTTGAATGGCGGTGCGGTGATACGTTTTGTTCAACCTTGCCAGTTATGTATGGTTGTTATAATCTATTTTTTCTTGTTCTATTTTCCTTCATGTTACTTTTTTTTTCCAACCTGAGTGCGACTTGCATGCATTTTGCTGCTATTCCTCAGGTTGTGTCATAGAATCTCGACATTTTCCTACAGTTCACTCCTGACTGATTTATATGCATCGTGTCCTCTTGCGATGCGCTGGCGATATGCAGTTCTGGTTCCCTTTTCACAAGTTGTTTTTATCTTAGCTCTATCTCCCCTTGTCCGTCTATTTGGCAAACCCGAGAAGATGCATGGCTGCTAACTCGAGATGATATTTTTAGCTTTGCAACATCTCCAACAATTCTAATGAGTCCTACTGACTCCTGCTCTGGTTTGTTATATCTATAGCCTGCCACACACTGAAGTCCTATGGCTGATGGTTTCCTCCATAGAAACCTTTTCTCCCGCCTCGGGCTCAATCTATTCGCATTCACCGGGGCTGCCATTCGATAGAATGCCAGATTTCAGATCTCATCGGGTACCCCCTCTGTAAGCTAGTCACCCTCGTTCTTTAGCAGCCTATTGATGAGCATTGATTGATATGAAATGGTGAGAAGTCAACCACCTACCGGTATCTCTCCTATACATTCGCAGAGCACGGCCGTATCTGGAAGTGCTGGACTTCTGGGGAGAAACGACAGCTATCCTGGAACGTACACGCTTCAACGGGGCACATTTCCATCGTTATCAAGCATTAGTGACATGTCCAGAATGTCGCAATACACCACGACTCCGCGAGTTTTGGAAAGCACTATAGACCGAACATCTCAAAATTTGTTATATGGTCAACCGGGGAACATGTTGATGGAGCCGGTCCAGCGCATGCCAGCACCAATGACAGATGCTCCCCCTTTTGGCGAGACTAATATTATACACCAAATCATTTGCGGCAATCAGACTATTAAAACAGAGATACAAGCTAAGATACATAAGGGATTCTTTCAGGTCGATGAAAAGTGGACCTGTTATCGGAGAAATTACTTCTCTGTCTCATGTTCTTTCTCGCTACACCCATGGACTCATACGCCTCTTTACCTCAAATATGACCAAGGAACCGAGCGTGTTACGCAGTTTGCCATGTCCATATCAGCCATTGTGAATCAACAGTTTAGCGAAGCCCGCGAGCTAGTTCAACACACACCAAAGCGGGATAAACAGTCAGAGAGGAAACCCGGGAAAGTTGTTTTACAGCCCTCTCAACCACCACCATTGGTCCTTAGCCATTCGTCTGGATCTGGTGGCAGTCAGCATACATTTGGCCTAGCCTCTCAATCAGTAGGGATGTCTCTTGACTATAACGGCTCATACAACAGTCCTCCACAACCTTCGCAGCCTCCGACACAACATACATTTGAGCGCATTCAGTTTCAAAAGGCCACGGCTAATAATGGGAAGCGTCGAGCACAGCAGCAATACTACAACCTAGTTGTCGACCTTTACGCAGAAGTTGCAGAGTCCCAGTGGATCAAAGTTGCTAGGAAGCTGTCACATCCAATGGTTGTGCGCGGCCGCTCCCCCGGTCATTACAAAGATGGCCGACGAGACAGCTCGACAAGCATGGGTCCTGATGGGGGAAGCGGTGGCTCAGGCGACGGCAGTGGAGGGGCTGTACTACACCCAGGCATGGGAGCAGCTGCACGGTCTCACTTGGCCCTCATGTCGTACGACTCTTCGCAGCGCGGTGGTCCACACTATGGCCGGGCTGACTACAGCCAAATAGCAACAACTGGCCAGTCCGCACTAAGTGGAAGCCCGCACATCTCATCGTCGTCATCATCGGCCTTCGATATAGGCGTCCTGAGTGATTCCATGGACCCTATGGATCCCGTTAAGAGCACGTCAGGCATTGATTCGTATCATGACTCCAGCTTTGGACTACTGGACGGCCGAAAACCTGAAAGTCAGTTTCGCCACCAACTGCGCCCTTTCGAGTATGAGCCTGTCTCAAAACCTAGTGAGGAGTCCAGCACAACCTTTCATGAGCCATTCGATCCGATGATATCCATGATATCAAACGGACAAGGCGAGTCTTCACACTACCTGAAGCACCCACCCAGGATGACGTCTCATATGTACCATCATCCCACTACCAGCAGCAGCTATGACCCCATTTACTCAGCACGCTCCAATAATAGCAGTCATTATCCTCGATTCCAGAGCTCCCAAAGCTTATGTGCTTAGCCATGTGTCTCTCTTTGATACTTTTTTTTCATTCCTCTTCCTCCGATTTATTTTGCTACGTCTTCCTTCTATCTTTTTTTGATTTATTATTCTTCTTCATCCTTTCACGGAGCTTTAAACTAAAAATTTTAGGTAACCTAAAATTCCTTTATGATTAATGTATCGCCAGCTGACTTTTCCTGTTTATTTTGTTGTATTGTTGTTGTTGTGTTTGCGTCATGGCCTAGGAGAGACGAAAATTGGAGGTCCGTTTCTTTGTTTATCTTCTATGATAAGCTTCAGACCATGGCCAGCGAGATAGACCGCCACCTTGAGTTGATTTTCAGATTCGTTTGCCCAAGCTGAATTACATGAAACTAACTAACGATTTGTCTGTCCCGCTGCTTCCGTCACTTTTACTTTTCTCTTTTGCCCCCCTTCTTCTGATCTGGTATGAGATCGACCAATTCTTTGTCAATTCTTTTCTGTCATTTTCCCACCTATTCTCTCACTTCCTACTACTTAATCTTCCCCTTTTTTCATTTTCTTTCTTTCCCCCTTGTTTTGCTTCTGAAAAAGAAAAGAACCATTTTCTGGATCCTGGTCCTGGACCAGGATCATTTCCTTGACACTGTCCTACATATCTCGAAAGATTGAGGGGAGGGTTGTCCCAAAAGTTCACGTGTAGAAGTTTCCTCGAAGAGAATTTGTCAAGGTCACCGACAGGATGGTTAAGCTGTGCAGATACCGCCGTAGCCGTTGGCGGAAACCAATGGCAAAGGGAAGCAACATGACGGCGCACCAGGGATGGTGGAACGGGCACATGAATTATTAGGTTAGGATAAAGAACACGAACCTAAATTGATGGTTTGGATCGTCTGCTCATTGGCTCCTGTGGGCGTCATTTTCTCCGATCTACTGCCCTTGCTTCCAGTAACCTAACTAGGACATGTCCGCTGTCAGGGTTTTTGACAACTGCACGCAAAAACAGATTGTTCACGGCTGTCCGTGGTGAAGTTTACTCATAGAAACTGTACAGGTAAGGAGGCGGGAGCGCGCCAGCCTCTTGAAGTTCAAGGCCTTGATCGAGAAAGGAAGTATCTGTTGCGACCAAGCATCCAAAAGAGCAAGGACAGAGAAGACAGAGTAATGAATAAATCTCAATCTAATGTTAATCCGAGGCAAATGAAAACGAAATGACAACGTTGGTCATTTGGATAATTGTGCCGGACAAAGTTGGCGGTCGCCAGTGTTAAGCGGTGTTGGGGGTGCGCCCTCACCTCCTTTCTTGTTTTTTAACTGGTATTGTCCTGTCCTGTCCTGTCATGTATGAATGAATGAATGAATGTATGTATGTATGTATGTATGTATGTGTGTGTGTGCTATGTATGGAGAGGTGAAAGTGTTGGTTGCCTGCTGGTACCCTATTCATCCTTTCGTTCAGGATGAGATCTCAACAATACTACTACTAGTAGTATGCGCCCTATCTGTCTCCCTCACCACACTCAGCCGCCAAAAAAGCATGGGATCCGCCACTCAACGACGTCAAGAAAGATGAGACTGGCGGAGATGATCGTCAGTGGGCTCATGAGGATCGACCTAGCATACATTAGGGGACATACCAACGCCGATAGTTTTCGTATGAAGGATCAACAGCCCTGATGGGCTTTTGTTAGGTACATGAGCCCTGGCTACTGCCCGAAGAAGTTAAGATCACTGGGCTCCAACTCCACTTGACCTACACTTCGGCACGTTCCGACCATTCCAGTCAATCGTCTGGGACCATCAATGTACCCATTTCTGCTTTCGGTGCGTTGTTTACGATGTGTCGGGGCATGCATGGTTGCTGCATCTCGCTTGCTTGTTTCCATTTTCGGTCTTGATTGGAGTCACTTCTTTCATAAACCCCCCAGCAGAACTCCAGGCGTGGTTAACCTCCGCGCCAGTGAGATGTGCAGGACATGCCCATCTCATCTCACATAAATTGACCCGTCGGTCAGGCTATAAGCCAATCAGAAAGGGATCCATCGTTCCCAGAGATTACCAAACGCATCGCTACCGACAAGTGATTCGGTCATTAGCAGCCCCAGGCAGCCTTCATGCAATAACCCTCCTTCAAAGGTGGCCCGTTTATGCACGTCGTACAAGGGGTCAACTCGGCGGAGAGAGAGATGAGAGTATGCGTGTGATAGATGGGGTGTGGACAACTTTGCAAGCCACATGAGATTGACTAACTGTGGGACGAAAATAGCTGTTCTGGAGGGGGAAGAAGCAACCAACAAGGCGCATGTTTCTGTTTGGGGGGTGAAAAAAAAAAAAAGAAAAAGAAAAGAAAAGAAAGTGGAGGGTTGTGCAACGTTGCATCCAATCTGCGTGGACTCCATGACAATAACGTCCTCATCTTTTTCTCTCTCTATGGGTAACGGTTGGGCCTTGGCTTATCAGGACCCTGAAACCCTCCCCTACCGGGTACAGACTACATACAACGCATGTACGAAGCTCCACTGGTTTGCTCAGGGTGTTCTTGCCCGGCTGGACTCTTCAACATGGCGCATGCCATCCAGGAGCCAATGGCTAAGCATCCCCAGGCTGGAAGGCCCTAGGGTCTTTCGTGTGGGTGTCTCTAGTTTCGGGATTAGACCCTAGCCTTTCCTGAGCCCGAAAACACGGACTAGGTTGATTAGGCCTAAAATCCTTGAAATGTACGAGACTCGGACGACCGTGCGCGTCTCTTTCGGGATAGATTGACTATTCAAGTCAACGGCTCCCTTCCATCACTGGTCTCGCTGCCAAGGAGAATCCTAAGCGGACAGCCATCCCTCCGAAACTTTGTGAAGTCTTTGCATCCTTGTTGACTTTCTAATTTACATGGATCCCATTCATACGATCTGAGCCAATGTCCAGCTATACTACCGCCTCTCCGTCTTGCCAGCCCGCCTCTTTGTTCTCCCTCCAACATTCCATGCATTGTATCTCGGTTTCACGAAACGGTCGCCGGATGTTGTGTTGCGCCAAACAAACTTCTGACAGCCCACAACACGCGAGGAACAAGAGGTACAGTAGTGAGGCGCCTTGCTTGAGTATCCCGAAAGTCCTTCTTCTTTTGTATTTACCCAACCTTTCTTCGCCCCTCCTTGCGTCTGTCCGTTGCTGACATCCCGTCATTTCGATTCCCAATGGGCGTCCGCTCCTGCCGACAGTCCCGGAGCTTTGACTTGAGCCCGCGGTCACACGATAAAGTTAACTCGGCCGACCACAATCTATACATTCGTCAGTGAAGAAAGAGGCCGACTGCAAATAAACTCGAAGCCCCCTCCTCCATCACACGAAGGCCCTTCTTCAGTGGCCATCCTTATCCACCCGCGAGATCCGAATCGCCATCTTACGATCCAACTCTTCCTGCTCCTGCTTTGTTGGAGCCATGCCCATGGCGCCTTCTACTTCCGGTAAAACCCAGAGGCCAATCGACGCCCAAGCCATCACGCCGACTCCGAAGAGAGCCCTTGTTTTCGGCGACAAAGAACGGTAGGAGCTAGTAGCGGCGGGGATTAGGCCCAATTCGGATAATGGTCATCGACAGGAATGGTATATACACACCTCCAGAGAGACATGTCTGTAGATCGTTGATTTGCCAGGTGGATGGTGAGGTGTGTCGACTCACAGGTCTTCCTTGTTGTTCTTCACGTCAACTTGAATGAAGGTCACCATTCCTGGAAGAGTTAGCTTAGATGAGATGAATTGCCTCAGGCCGGATTGATCTTCCCTTCTCACCGCTTTTGATTCTGCCGGTGCCATCCGTCCGTCCTCTGCCGACGTTCTTTTGTTGGCTCCCGGTGCTATACAAAGGTCAAGTATAACCCCAGTCCATAAAACCTTTTTGGGGGGGTAAGGAACTTAAATGTGCAAGCTAGCCATGTAGCTTCCCATGGATTAATTGGCTAAGTTAAGTGTGGAACCTTGTCCGTACACTGTCCAAAACACCTCCACTATCAGCAGATTCAGCACTGATTCAGCGGTCTCCACACCTCCAATGCTGTTCGTTTGGTAGGCCGCCCCGTTAGAAGGAGAAGTACGTATACTACCTTTGAATCTAACCAATTGGAATATTGTGCCGCAATCTGTATTCATTCGATCAAGGCATCCGACTATCTCTTAGGGCTCGATACATTTGCTCCGATATCACCACCCAGGAGTGATCCAATACGGAGTAGACATCCAAGACGCCAACTAGATGACTCCTTTCTGTTCATGAACTGAGATTATTAGACCTCTGCTCGGAATTGTAAATGCTCTGATATTGTCTCTTTAGTCGATGACAATTACGCCACTTTCCTCAACACTCGTCAAACACTCGCCCATCAACAGAGAGCAAGGACTAGGGCTTCTAGCCTACTAACCCCACCCCCCGTCTTTTTTTTTCTTCCTCTATTTTGGCTTGAATAGCAGCTAAAAGACTTGGCTTTCATCAACCAGCACATGCTACGTTTCTTTCTTGATCATTTGATAGATTTAGAGTGGACATGAAGTGGGACGTGAATTTTTATAGTAATAGGATGATTAGGATATATTCACTATGTCGACGGCCTTGCCCGTTTTGCGACACATACAGGGAAGTCAAGAGCATGTGTCCTTAGAACTTATAGATACCTAGCCGCTCATACTAGGTGACTAAAGCCACTGTGTATGCACAAGTCTAGGGGTCGCATCCTTTTGACTGCTTCTGTAATATAAAGTGAACAGTAATGACCTTGGAGCTCGTATACATTACCATCCGAAGTAGTCTACCAATACCTTAAGGGTCACCAACAACATATATAAAAATACAAACAGAGATAAACACACCAAACCTAAAGAATATCAACACACAGACACACACACACAGACACACACAGACACACAGACACACAGACACACACACACACACACACACACACACACACACACACACACACACACACACACACACACAC